ATAAGATATAGATTTTAATTAAATAAATAAATATATTATAATACTAATAATATTATAAGTTAATAAATTAAATAATATACTCAGCAAAATTTATTTGTGAATTATAAATTTTTAGTTAAAGTAAATTAAATATAATTAAAAAATAGGCTAGTTAAATAATTAAAAATAGAATATTTTTTTCTATATAGTTATAAATCTTTAAAATTATATAGATATAATAAATAATTATTTTAGTCTTATTTTTTAGACTATTTAATCCTACAATAGACTTTAGATACTTTAGAGAGTATAAAAATAAATAATAAATTTTTATCTAGCTCTTATCTATAACACGTAATATTAAATAGCTAATATTAAATATTATATATAAAATAATTCTCTAGTTATCAGAATTTAATATAATATTTATAACTATTAAATCAGTCTTTCAAAGCTTTTTTTTTAAAAGAAAGCTTTCTAATAATAATATTAAAAAAATATAAATACACGGGGCAGCACTTTTCTAATAATAATTTAAATTAAGTATAATTTATTTAATTATTTATTAAAATTAAAAGAATATAGTTATTTTAATAATATTATTATTTTTAATTATAAGATTAGTATAGAAAATCTTATATTAAATAAATTTAAGATTCTTCTTATTAAAAATTCAGTTCATATAAGTAGTAATCAATAGTAGAAAAAAAACTAGATCTGCCTTAGTAAGAATAAATAAAATATATAATTAATTTATTAAATTAAAATATTAAATTTAGAATAATTATAGATTAAATATTAATTAAAATTATAATAAAAGTATTCTTTTCTCTTTCTTTAAGTAGTTTTAGGGCGTAAAAAAGAATAATAAATAATTAATAGATTTATAGAATTATAATTTAAAATAATTAATCTTTAATTAGAAATTCTTATAGAAGACTTCTATAAAATCTTTTTAATAATTATAAATATAATATATTAGGTGCCAGTTAGTCTCTATAAATAATTTTAATGATTAGATTTATATTTTAATTAGTAATTATTTAAATTCTATAAAAATTAGGCTAGGTTATAGTAATTTTTTTTAAAAATATATTATTTAAAAATATAGTATTAAAATTTTAATTAATACTATTTTTAAAAATAATTATTAAAGAATTAAAATATAAATAAGCTTTACAAGTAAGTCTCTTAAATTTAGTAAAGTATATAATAAAATTATAGTTTTTTTATTATAAATAATATAATTCCTGCTGAATATTATAAGCGTAATTAAGATTTTTTTAAAATATATTTAGAATATATATAAAATTATTTAAAATGTAGTCACTGTCTTCCATAAAAAGTAGATTTAAGTATAGAAAATCTTATCTAATTAGTGATGGCCCGGTTCAGGTTTTTTTAGGGCGGTTCGGTTAAAAAATGTCCAAACCGAACCGCGAAATGCCATCACTATATCTAATTAACTAGTTATATAGACTTTATAAATAAAGACAGTAATATCATAATTATAATTAATATTTATTTGTATTTTAATTTAGAAAGTAAAGCAGTCTAAATCTAAGTAATTAATTTTAAACTTATTAAAATTAAGTAATTATTTAAAAAAATAAAAATAAAAAATTTAGAATTAATTAATATAATTACTCTTAGTAGAGGAGCTATAGACTTTTTAATAATAAGTTTTAGAATAAGAATAGGAATACTAATTATTAATATAATAATTCATATAGTTTTAATATATTTAATTAGAATTTTATTTTTTTTAATAATAATCTTTTTTATAGCTAAAGCACTATCTAGCTAGTAATTAATCTTTATAATTTATTAGATTTAGTATGCGGTTATTATATTCCAGATATTAAAATCTTATTATAAATAATTTTATTTCCTAGTAACTTTTATAGTAAAAATAAAAATTTATTAATAATAATTATATTATTCTCTAGAATATTTAAAAATATATTAAACTAATTTATCTAGCCTGCTGGAATTAATTAGAGATTATAAATTATAATAATTATTTTATAAACTTATTATTCTGAAGATAGAACTATGTAATATTAAAATATAGATAAGTAAGAATAATAAAATAATAGATTCTAATAAATAAAGTTTAGGTAATAGTAATAAATAAAAATTTAATTAGATACTGAACTAGCTATTAGTTAAATTATATATAGATTAATAGATAAAATATAGCTTAAGACTACGGACATGATTCAGAAGACAGATAGCTTTTAACCATATCTGGGGTCACGTGCTGGGTGGTAAGACTTAGCAGTATTTCTTTTCTTCTGGCTTGGGAGGTTGGTTGCACCGTGACAATTATTATTATTTAAAAGAATAAATAATAATAAATAATTTTTAATTTAAAATATTATAATTTAGTTTAGCACTGGAGAACTTATATAAATAAAAAATAATTAAATAAAATATACTTTTATTATTAAGTTAGGATGTGATTTTACTTATTTTTTTTAAATATATTAGGTTTTAAATACTAGAACTTTATAAGGTTAAAATATATTAATAAAAATACTCATTAAAAAATAATAATTAAGTAATAAAATTTTATTTATTTATATAAATTTGTTCAAGTGTTTTTTTATTTCTCATTCATTAAGCTATTAACTGCTCTATAGATTAGAAAATTAAAAAGTAATATAATATAAAAATAATTTTAAATGAATTATTAATAGAAATTATAGAATCTTAAAAAGACTTAGATATTATAATAATTTTTAGATTTATTTATTTACTTGTTTATTATATTCCTGACTCTGCTTCAGCACCTTTTGACATGGCCGTTCAATTAAAATAAGGTTGTATTAGTACTAACTACTCTAGAACTTTAAGTATAGAAAAGAAAGAAGAAAATAGAGAACAATTTTAAATATTTACTAAAGAAAACCAATACTAGTACTAGTAAAGTAAATAGAATAAATGAATATAATATAAATATTGTCAGCTGGAATTTCCCAATTCAACTGGCCAAATTCAGCAAGCCAACTGGCTAATCAAACCGCCAATCGGTCATCTCCGCAGGAATCGGCCACCTCTGATAATTTGACTTTTACGGGCTGGTTTTCCAGCTAACCAAGTAAATACTCGTATTTCCCTGCTTATAATTTATATATGAAATTATTATTCCTTTATTATAATAATATTTATTTAAAAAAACTTATTTTATTTTATTTTATTATTACATCATCCTATGTTCTAATGATTTTATAACTTTATTAATTTTAAAGCATCCTGATCTAGGCCTAATTCAAGATTATTTAGTCTGACATGTAAATAAACATAAATATAATCTTAATCTTTATTTATTTATTTTATTCTTTTTTAAGTGATTTAAGTAATTCAAACAATTCAATTCAAAATTAATTCTTTAATTGAATCACTTTTTCCTTTTTATTTAAGAAACTTTTATTAAATCCTTTCCTTTGACTAGTTAAGTTAATTGTATACAGAAGATACTAGACCTAATTAGGATTAATATTTTTCCTTTTTTGGTTTAATGTCTCCTGTTTTTCCGACAGATATTTACTAATTATTTATCTAGTAATTATAGAATTTTTTTATTATTTAAACTAGATAGCTTATCCTAATAAAAACATATAGATTATAATAAAATAATTCAATTATTAAATTTAGAGTGCCCAGGATAATATATTAAAATAATTATAAGAATTATAAAATTATTAATAATAATTATAAATTCTTTTATTTTTTATAAAATACTGCTTTTTAGTGTTAAACTAGTAATCTAAAAAAATTGATCTATTTGATAAATATAAATTATCTTTATCATTATTAAATAAACCTTATATATTTAATAATTAATTTTTTACTTAGTATAAGGGATCATACCCTTATAAGACTCGTGATAAACCTATCACGAGGAATATCCATGCTTAAGGTAACTCTCTTTAGGTCCTGGTTAATAAGGTATTGTGACTATGTGATCCATAAGTCTTTTATAGATAATAAATATCCGTGAGGAGTATTAGTTAGGAAGTTAATAAGAATATCTTAAGAAAATATAATCCTATGTTTTGTGTAATCTATATAGACTTACTCTTTATATTATCTTACAATATTATCTCTTATATTTAGTTAATAAGTCTTTTATTCTAATAAATAGATTCTATCATATTTAAGTATTATTACATTAATTAAAAAACTTATTTTTCTCTTTTTTATTAAAGATTATAGATATTAAAAACTTTAGTTTTTTTATTTTAATTTTTAATTAATTTTTAAAAAGGTATTCATACTAGTAGAAATACTTTAATAAATATTTAAAAAAAATAAAAATTGATTATTAATAAATTATTTATTTTATTTTAGATTAATTTTAATTTAATTATTTATTATATTATTTTATTAAGAGATGGCATACTATATCTTAAGATTTTATATTATTACTTATTTTATTTATTTAATTAATTATTCTATTAGATTTATTTAAATTGTAATTTTTTAATTAAAGATATTTATTATTCTATTATAATTATTATTTATTATTAATTCTTCTAGTTAGTATAAGCTTTTTATAATAAATAAATTTGAGATTATTATAGATTAAAAATTCTCATAATTATATAAGATAATAAAATATAATAATTTAAAAAATTAAATTTATTAAAGGATTATTTAATAATAAGTAATTATAATTTTTTATATATTTTTATAGAACTTTTTCAAGATTCTTTTCTTTTTCCAAAATATTCTTTTATTTCTTTAAAGAGTCTCTAAGATTTTTTTTCTTTTCTATAGACATAGAACCAGATAGGCTGGAGCAGGAATATTCTAGTCCTCAATAGCTGACAGGGTCTAACCCTTTTTACTAACTAGGCTATCTAGTAAAACACTATTACTCTAAGCCACTTGCTTAGAGTGCGTATCTTATAAACCCTATTCATGGAAGAGGTGAGTCATGTGAGGGGCTGAAGCCTTACAAGAGATCCTACTATAATTTTGATCCACACTTTTCTGCTAGGTAGGTATTGTTGCACCAACGAACCAATCAGATGCCATATTATGTGCACCAATCAGAACTCGCGGCTTTGGAAAGAAATGTGTGCTAACACGCTTCACAAGTAATCCAGTTATGGTGTTTTCCTGCGCGACCGCTATAGTTCGCCGTAGACAAGTGACCCAGTTCGGGGCAGCAACACACCCCAACGTCCGTTGAAGCTCAGCATTGAACTTAGATGTTTAGCTTCTATCTCATGATCGTCCAGCATGGGGGTACCATTTCTCACCCGTCATTTATACCCATTTGCGGAGTCAGTTGTGTTGGGGGATAATCCAGACACGCCGCAGAGCCCAATGCCGTGTGCTAGAGATGTCGTGATAGACGGACCAAGTCTTGTGTATCATGTTTCTATGCGCTTATTATCGCGGTGTGATCCTGGCATCCAATACCCTCACCTACAGCCAACATGCGACGAAGTAAGTTGCGCAGTCATGATGTATCTCCTACAATTGACCATCCTTGGTGTAAAAATGTACAGTATATGATATCGTGGCTATTCTTAAATGCTTCTCTAGTGAAACTGATAGGTAGCAGACATAACATATTTTTCGATGGGGCACTCCCTGCTCAAAAACGGCATACGCGTCTTGCTAGACTAGAGAGGTCAAGAAGAAAGCTCGAGTTGCTCCGGTCTAAATCACCGTACGGCTTTCAGAGATCTGATAGCTCACAAAAAGCTCGAACAATCAACTTCGAGACTGTTCTCCAGAGGCGGGCTCTACCTGCAAAGTTCAATAATATTCCCGAAAGCCCTTTCATTGTCCCTGCAGTGTTCGAAGATCTCAAACATCGATGGTGCAGAAAGAATATTGCCAGCGTCGCCAACGATGTCCCAGGCCTAGACATTGCTTCCTTGGATGATTTCCCATGGGCAGATATCGTGGCGATGGTTCCAGGTGAAGCGGACATGTATTGTGCTCAGCGTGCTAGGCTCATAGGTTCTGTTATACTTACCAATGATTCGGATCTCTTACTTCATGATCTTGGGTCCCTCGGATCTGTCGTGCTCTTGGATTCCGTCGAACTAGGAGTATGCAGTGTCTCTTCGCCCCAACGCCTACAAATACGGGCTCTAAGATTATGTCCAGCCCAGGTCGCCCATCGGCTAGGCACAGTCAATCTGCTTTCTTTGGCTTATGAGTTGAAGACCCACCCGGATACTGGAATAAGACAGCTAATACAGCGTTCAAAATACATAGACGGGTCCCCAGAATATATTTCAGGGTTTCGTCTATTTGCGGAGGAGTACGAGAGCAATCCGAGCTTTGAGCGGGAAGCTGCATGTCTAAGCTATCCCCAATGTTTTGATCCAAGAATTTCTGAGTTGTTCTCTCTCTACAGAGGATGGGGAGCTCAAAGATTCGAGGGACCCCCGCACATGTATCTTCTCGTTCTGAATGAAGATCCTACGAGACAGTGTGCATGGGTCCAAGGCAAGGTGTACAGAGTCATGGGGTATTCCGCCCTTAATATGTCGTACGCCATCAACGAAAGGTATTCCTTTGTCGATGAGTATGTAAGGCGAGGAGGTAGAATTACAGCTGATCGTATCTCAATGAGAGATAAGAAGTGGATTATGATGGAAGTTCGATCACTGTCTACTCTTTTGAACACAGTACGTGATCATTTGGGAATTGATATGAAATCTCCAATTTACTGGAGAATGTTCGCGCTCTATGTGATATACGACGGGCAGACAGGGCCCCCAGCTCCCAGCAAGGAGCATCTAACGCGATTTCTCAGACTCGGTTACATGGGCAAAAAGTTGCATTGGACCGATATCCATCTCCTAGCCCAGATGCAGTCCGTGCTATATTCCCTCAGAATTCTCAAGCAGTTACTTGGGTTTGCAGATTTCAGTGGCGACCAAACCATTCAAACAGATTCCATCTTGGATAGCTTACCCCCCCTTTATATTCTGATGCGGTCGGCACGCGAGATGGCCGAGGAATTCTCCATCGGGTGCTCTGTCAGTGAACTTGTGAGTCGATTCGTTCACCTCCTGGGACAAAGCCCGTACAGCGAAGACGCTGCCAATTGTGAGACAGACTGGTGTGAGTATGCAGATGATTCTGCAGAAATCAATGAATTCTGTGCTATCAGAGCTAGTCTCCCACCGAAGACTCCGTCAAACATATATGAACTTCTTTCACAGGAGTAATTATATACATTTCTGTTCCTTCGAAATATCACTTGATCTTTTAGTTGAAAATGTTAAAACAACAATCGGTCTAGGTTACGTAGAAGTCATCACGAAAATGTATACAGTCAACGTGTAGACCGCAAGAATCCCACAACTCCTCTGCAGTATCCAACCAGGCCAGCTAAACGCTGTGCCTCTTGTTGTAGAGCCCGTTTCCATTCGGCCAGGGCAGCCTTCAAAGCGTTGTCCTCGGCTGCATCAGAACTAGAACAGTCTGCCACGATATCGGCATGTATTCTCAGAAAGACCGCCATCCAAGCATTGACGACTTCAAAGTCCTTTCTCAGTCCCAAGCGCGAGGATAGGGCAGTCACAAAGGCGGATAATTCGGAGTAACCTTCTCTCAACTTTAGATCTAGAGACCTGATTTCAAGATCTGCCTTTGCGGGTGGCATGCCCTTTAAGTGTTCAATAAAGGGGCCAAAATCTCCAGACACATATCCCGAATGAAGGAGACTGGTGAACCGCGTAATTGCAATACCAGCAGTACTATTGGAACCGTGCATTTTGGAGATTCGCGAGCGCTCAGCAACAGCAGTACCTTGAGTTGTTATATCAAGTTCTCCATCTGGTGATGCCTGTTCAGGAGCAGTCGGGAGAAAAAAAGGTGCTTTTTGAGGGACTTTCGGGGGGTCTTTAGGCTTGTTCCGTTCCTAGTTAAAGTTAGAAGCAGCCCATAAATCACGAACAAAGATACAAATCTGTAACAACTAGGAGAAGGGGCATAGACTACCTTGATTAAGTTCAACTGGAGCAAGGTTTGCCATTTGCTCTTAGGAACTATACTAAGAGTAACCAAGTCTCCATTGAGCTGCTCGATGGACGGTAATGGGCCCTCTATTTCGGATTGTTCAAGTTCCTCCGCGAAGGCTGCCTCGATAACCCCAGGACCGTCTTCATTGGAAGACGCAGGGATACAAACATCACCGATGAGGTGATCGTCCACGTTCCGGGTTGAGATAGGTATAAACAAGCTTTTGTTGGACCAAAGGCTGATACCAACCCCGTCTGCATGTGCAGTAGCCAAGAACTCACCTGTAGATGACATCGCCAGAGAAGTACACGTACTTGAGACGCGGAAAACGTCAATGAGATGCCCCGTCGGCAAATCCCAGACGCGTATTGTAGAGTCCATGGAAGCAGCGATTACCCAACGTCCATCGTTCGAGAACGTAAAGTCATTTATCTGCCCAACACAGCCCCAAAATTCACGAATGACTTTCTTAGTCTCCACGTCAACAACACGGATTGAAAGGTCGTCACAGCTGAATGCAACAAGCTCGTTTGTGTGACTAGTTCGAAGTCCATTAATGGATGTCATAGGATCCCAGTTAAGCTGATCGACGAGCAGTCCAGACATAAGGTCCCAGAACTAATTATATCAGAAATTAAATCTCAGTAAGCCTCCATACCGAGAAAGAGGGAAGGGGATAAGACGATTTGACCCTACCTTGACTTTACCGTCGAGTCCACAACTAACAATAGTTCGATTCAGCCCATCGATCATGAGACCAGTGACGGCCTTCGTGTGTTTCATATCATGGGTGTCAGAGACATGCCGAATATTAGACATATTTTTCGAGTTCCCCTTTAAACTGGCTGGCGGAAAGCTTTGTCTGTACAAACCAGACTGCATGTTAAACATATCTATGGCACCACCCGCTGATCCGATCATAGCAAAAGTTCCGCAACGCGAAATCGCAACGCTCTATCATAAGCAGGTTAGAGATGATCTATCAAGGTTTCAAGACCATTTGCTTACCTTGACTTCAGTTTTATCGCTGGTCTCGAATGCCCAACGCCCGGCTTTCTTTTTACCCCAGAACCAGGTCCGAGCATATTTATCCCCACGATGGCCAGTCACTATACTTTCCCAGCCCGTCTTGCTAGAATCGTCTGCCCTTGTAGCTTTTGGATTCGCCCAAATGGGGCCAGATGTCGTGTTTCCCATTCCGCCATCACGGTTCAGGGTGCAGGCAATACACGTGATTTCGGGTGCTCGGAAGTTGCCATCCATGTAAGTCTCGGTGGTTCCATCACGAGCACTAGAGGTGACCATTCTTTTGGACCTGTGTTCCACGGCTCCTTGGGAGATTTCAGTGTTTTGGCTATCTTTCCGTACACTGAAGCCCCAAAGGCTGCAGTCCTTGCTCGCGCTCAGTAACCATTTACCACTCAACTCAGAGCCATCGGATGCCGAAGGCAAAAAGCTAAGCGTCGTAATGGCAGTTGAATGCCCGCTCCTTGAATGAAGAGGCCTTGGAATATACGAAAACGGAATTTCGTCAAATATCCATGTCCTGAGAGAATTGTCTCCCCCTGATGAGACCATCACTGGCTGACCATCCAGAAACTGTATGTGACTTATTCCTGTTCCTGACTCGCCGGCGAGTGTCCGATGTGCTCGACGCAGAACCCCCACCGCCCTGCCTCCGTTGTTCAGATCCCATATAGTTATGTCACCACTATCCATGCAAGCTGTCGCCATCATGCCAGAATCACGGCCGTGTTCGCCGGCTCCTAGACCATCCTGTCGAAAAGCGATAGAGGTAACGCAGGACATTTGTTGTGAGTCCGTTTGCAGAGAAACGACACGCCGGCCCGTTTCGATGTTACAGATTGATAGCGCGCCCCCCTTATGCGCGATGGCAATAAGAGAAAGCACGGGACTCGGTTGAAGAGCAGTCACTGCACCTGCTTGTGGAGACACTGGCAGCATCGAATATATTAGCCTTCCTGTCTTCACATTCCAAATATCAACCTTCCCATCGCATCGGCCGACAAAAATTTTGTTGAGATAGGTCGGCATGTTGCATATTTGCCCAGTATATACCGCTTCCTCAGAAAGACTTTTGACGCGCTGAGGACTGAGAGTGGTATAGTGCTGATATGATGCATTTTTCCAAACTTGAATGCACTTGCTGCTGCAACCAACAATCCAGGAACCGAAAACGAGCAACCGGTCAACAGGCTCGGAAAACCCTGGAGGTGCTTCTAGAGATGCAACTTTTTTTCCGCGCTTGAAAACCCAAATGCCTCCTGCTGATCCGGGGCGAATGTTTCCCCATGCCGCAAAGATTTTATCCTGCCAAGCAAAAGTAGCAGTAATAATCTCCGGTGTCTGGGGTCTGCTAATAAAGACCAAATTGAGACCTCGTTTCAAATCATAGGTTTGCAAGCTGCGCCCTACAGACGTAGTAATCTGGAAAGTCGCTTTGCCCAGGCGCACACAAGTGAAGGGAACCTCGGTAGATACTAGTCCTAATGCCTGATAAAAACAATCAAAAAACTTGAAAAATAAAGCGTCCGCGCTGCTAGGAGACTGCGGGCAAAATGGTCGGAGTAGCTTCGCTTACCCGGTAAGAAGAAAATATTTTAGACCCAGATGCGTGCGATTGTCGTCCGACGTCTTGACTGATTGTTCGCTTTTGCCTTTTCGCAAGAGGCAGATCAAAGCCATCATTATTTGAAGACGGCATCGTGCAAGGCTCAGATGCACAAACTTATGCCATATATAACTGAAGGAATCAAACCTACTATGTAAGTAGGTACCAAAAGGCATGTTTGAGACGGAATTAGTATATCTCCGGATCGCGAAAAAGTCTTTTCATTGGCCCGACATATCATTGCTACGGAGTAGATACTCATTACACAGTATGGGCGCAATCCATCCATTGTTTCCAATGGTACCGTTACTTACTTCTTAGGCAATAGGTGTATTGTCATTTATCTCCGTAGTAGTCCGTAGCTGCAGGTGAAAAAGAGCTTATCAGCAACCGAACCAGTAAATGATCTTTGTCTTATTTGGAAACTAAATCTTTCATGGAGTAGGTATACAGATTTGTAATAGGACACAATACCCTAGGTCAGCCAGGATTTACAAAAAGTCATCGTATAAGAAGGCCGGTGGATTGTGCTATATTGTTATCCAAATCCCAAATTCCGGGTGGTTACTCCGTACAGAATGAGATATTACTCTCTACACACATAGATGGCATCTGGAAGTATACCTATGGAGTGTAAACACGAGTTATTGCTAATATACAAGAGGTAGTGCCATGGAACATACTGGATTTTGTAGAACTTTTGAAGGTGCTCACTACCTATAATTTGATGAATCTGATGATAATGAATGGTCCTTATAAACCAATCCCTTTTGAATAATTTGCACGCTGGTCCTTTAATATAGGTGCAGGCAAGTTCTAAGTTATCTCAACCTACGTACGGAGCAGGACTCCTCCATATCAGTACATGATGTAGAATCTGGCATCCTGCGAGGCATTGGAATCTTCTGCAGATTTGTTAGGTTCTATATGTTTGAACTGTACGGAGTACTTAGAGAATAACTTGCCTGAAGGAGTGGTAATACATCTTCGAAATAAGTCTGATTATAAAGGGTTCCCTTTGAGGGGTAGTCAGAGCATCTTCACCCATGCTGAGGTCTGTGAAACTCAAAGTATTACACTCTTTCCTACGATGGATGAGCCCTTACTCTATATTTATGATCAAAACACGATTTCTGCAATATTTTACTAAGGATTTATGACAATACGAAAATGGATTAGCATAGCATTCTTTAATTGATACCTCTTAACTAGTGTTTTCCTATCTTCACGGTAAGGAATCACTGTTGAGTTATAACAGGATAGTACGGAGCAACACCATTCTTATATAACCCATGTCTGAGGTCAGTAAAGTAGACCCACTGGTGCTGTGTAGAGTATGAACTTTTTCGTCTGTCTTCTTTGTACTATTATATCTTATCATAAATCATGCTGAGCTCAAGCATCTTTCACCATAGTCTACTCCGTATACTGTGAGGTGCTTTTTGTGTGGCAATCATTCATTTTATCTTGCTGATTTAAGGCTGGTGTTTCCCTCTTCTTACCATTCGTCTGTTATGTTAGGTAAGTTTCTCAGTATAGAAGTAAATCAAGTTGTGTTCCTTACATTTCATTGAAGAAATGTAGCACAATAGCCTAATGCAATGATCAATACATTCAAGTTACAATACCACACACAAACAATGATTGGGAGTACTGCATGGTGCTGCTATCCAGTAATAGTGCAAAACTTTTCACACAATGGACCAGAACCAATCATAATCTCTACATAACTGGATAATAGGCTAGTAGTCTCCTACTACCGGCCTTTGCTCTTTCAATGTTCTATGTTCGTCTGGGTTAGAGTCAGAATTGTCGACATTTTGGAGTTTAAGTTTGCTGTTTGCCTGTGGTCGCAACCAAATACCTCAGACTGGATCCATCATATCGAGGAAGGAAGGCTATTACCCACAGCTTATGGTTGCCCTTTCAAGATACCATACGAATCAAGTTCGAGGTACGCCGCCACCGCGATCGCCAGCACCCAAAAAAAAAGAGGAAAGGGAAGAGGGAGCCCGTGCGATTAGAATCTTCCCCCAGGAATGGGAATAACTAGTAACTACGTCACTGAAAACCGACTTTGTCATCTGTCGATTCTTCCCGTGGCCACAGCTCCGCCAGCTAGCTTCTACCAGAATTTGATCAGGTGTTTCAATTCATGATAGTCCAACATCTTTGCCCTAACCTATAGCCTTATACTCAATGGATTTCAGGGGGCCCAACAATTGCTCCTCTGATAATCTTGATCCTACTGGCGCCAGCATGGAAGCAAAGCCGAATTCTCTAGCATCATCACCGAGTGCAGGTTCCGATCGGACAGGCAAAGGCCCTTTCAGCCTACTATACGAACCCACAGCCTCGGGCTCTTCAAAGAGCAATTTGAATGACGCACAAGGCCGCAGACCCAAGTCGCACAAGTCTGATGCTCCTTCGGATCATTGTAACGCTGGGCAAGTTCCAAACTCTTCAACCCGCTCATCCAGCCGAGCACCCAGAAGGCTAAGTGGGAGCACAGCCGCCAGCTCCATCAGTGAAGCCGAAGTTTCTGAAATACCGCAGCTAGGGAGGATCGGTGTCTGTGCTCTGGATGTGAAAGCACGCAGCAAACCTAGCCAAAATATTCTCACGCGTCTTCAATCCAAGGGTGGGTTTGAAGTTATCGTCTTTGGTGATAAGGTGATTCTTGATGAAGCTGTAGAGAATTGGCCTGTGTGTGAATACCTGATAGCATTCTTTTCTGATGGATTCCCATTGGACAAAGCCATCGCTTATGCTAAACTTCGGAAACCGTTTTGCGTCAACGACTTGCCTATGCAGAAGGTGTTATGGGACCGGCGGCTCTGTTTGAAAATACTAGATCAGATGAGTGTCCCGACGCCCAAAAGATTAGAGGTTAACCGAGACGGCGGACCTACGCTGGAATCCCCAGAAATTGCCGAGCATGTATATAAACTGACAGGGGTGAAACTTGAGGGTTCCAGCGACGGAACTGGTGGAGGAGCCTCAAGGACAATGAGCGTGAGAATGTCTGACGATGGCGATGCTCTAATTGTGGATGGCAAAGTTTTCAGAAAGCCTTTCGTCGAGAAGCCGGTAAACGGCGAAGACCACAATATCCATATATATTTCCCCAACGACCAACAGTACGGTGGTGGTGGTAGGAGACTTTTCCGAAAGGTCGGGAACAAAAGCTCTGAATACGACCCCGATCTTGTTGTTCCAAGATCGGTGGCAGAGAAAGACACAAGCTACATTTATGAACAGTTCCTGAGGGTCGATAATTCTGAAGACGTCAAAGCCTACACGGTCGGACCGGATTTTTGTCACGCAGAGACACGAAAGTCTCCTGTGGTTGACGGACTCGTTCGCCGCAACACCCATGGCAAGGAGCTCAGGTACATCACCAAATTGAGCAAGGAGGAAGCAGCCATTGCTTCCAAAATATCGAATGGATTTGGTCAAAGAATTTGCGGATTTGACATGCTCCGTGTGGGAGAGAAAAGCTATGTGATTGATGTAAACGGCTGGAGTTTTGTCAAAGACAATAATGATTATTACGACAAATGCGCTAGCATTTTGAGAGACGCCTTTCTAAATGAGAAGCGCAAATGCGAAGGGATCCTGGAGCCTACTGATACTCTTCCTTCGGATTCTGGTCATCCATGGAGGCATTCTATCTCCCACAGACATACCCTAAAGACCCTGCTGAAATCGCCAAGTGCATCGAAGCTACACGGAAACCAAACAGGTCCTAGAAGTCCTGATACAGGCTCGTCGGACTCCATTGCTACGAGGCCAATAACTTCATCATCTGCTGAGAGAATCGACAATGGAAACAGCCATGTAGATCCTAATGGGCTAGAGAAACTCGCGAACTCAAGGGCCTATGCCGCGCAAAATTCCAAGTCGCCTATCTTGACAATGGATCCGCCTTCCCAAGGGCCACCGCCACCGCCAGCTTCCAAACACTCGTGGAAGCTCAAGGGAATGGTGGCAGTTATCAGACACGCAGACCGTACACCCAAACAGAAGTTCAAGTTCACCTTCCACAGCCAGCCTTTCATCGACTTGCTGAAAGGTCATCAAGAAGAAGTGGTGATCAAGGGTGAAGCCGCATTGGCAAGTGTCTCCCATGCTGTCAAAGTTGCTATGGAGCAAAAACTCGAAGACATGGAAAAACTGAGATTACTCCGTACATCTCTAGAGAGAAAAGGTGGCTGGCCAGGGACAAAGGTTCAAATCAAACCCATGTTTCGCAAGCGAAAACCGGAAGAACTACGTGGGCAATCATCGTCGGCCCTTCCGACATCACCTACCGATCCACCCCAAGAAGAGTCTTCTATACCTATCCACAACCAGTCTTCCTCAGAAAACGATCAACTAAGCCGACCTCAGACGCGAAGTGACTCAATATCTGGTGCAACTTTCTCGAGATTCTCTGCTGCAGAAAATGACTTGATCCTGGATAAGCTGCAGCTCGTAATCAAATGGGGAGGGGAACCCACACATGCAGCACGCTATCAATCACAGGATTTGGGGCTTAACATGCGTGATGATCTAAAGTTAATGAACAAAGAGGCGTTGAATAATGTCCGTATTTACACAAGCTCAGAACGAAGAGTGAGCACGAGTGGTAAGTCAGCACGCTGGTCTTTTTGAATCCAATCTGATTAGACCATATAGCTCAAATTTGGGCTTGCTCTTTTCTCGATCAAAAGGAACTTCCCGAAAACTTTATACAAGTACGGAAAGATCTTTTGGACGACTCCAATGCTGCAAAAGATCTCATGGATAAGGTCAAGAAGAAGCTAAAGGTGCTTCTGAGAGAAGGATCCGCGCCCTCGCAATTTACATGGCCGAAGGATAATATCCCGGAGCCATCAATCGTTCTGGCTACCGTTGTCGAACTGATGAAATACCACCGAGATATTATGAGACACAACTTCCGAAAGTTGGAAGGATCATCATCTCTATCTGCAGCAACGAATGGTATAGATGATAACAGTACATTTTCCCCCCAGCCTAACGTGGGATGCGAGACACCTTTGTCTTCTATCCAAGGACGGTGGTGTACTGGGGAGGATCCCATGCTTTTCAAAGAAAGGTGGGAGAAGCTCTTCGCCGAGTTTTGTGATACCGAGAAGGTCGACCCCAGTAAGCTTTCTGAGCTCTATGACAGCATGAAGTTTGATGCGCTTCATAATCGGCAATTTCTAGAGTGGGTCTTCATGCCGCCTGATAGCGATGACAGCGATGATGATGATGATGATGATGAAAAATATGGTCATAGCTTGAAGAAATCCAAGAGAGATGATACCCTCGGAGATACGGGACTCGGCCATGACAAAAATGAAGAGCATACAGAGGGTTCGCATTTCGCGCATCGATTCGGATGGAAAAAGCGTATGCATGCACTTGAATTAATGCCACACTTCAGGGCCCTTGATGACAGCTATGACCACTACTTCAAGTTGTATCCTGGCTCCAGTCCGACGAAGGCCAAAATAGATGGGAGACTTTCGAAGTTAAGAGAGCTATACAAGCTCGCTAAGGTACTCTTTGACTACGTGACCCCACAAGAGTATGGAATCACGGACACAGAGAAACTGGAGATTGGCCTCTTGACCTCCTTGCCGCTCCTTCAGGGTATCGTCAGAGACCTAGAAGAAGTTCAGGCCTCGCCTGACGCGAGGTCTTTTTTCTATTTCACTAAGGAATCCCATATCTACACCCTTCTTAACTGCATCTTGGAAGGAGGCATCCAGACCAAGATAGCCAGGACCGCTATCCCTGAGCTGGACTACTTATCTCAAATTTGCTTTGAACTTTACGAAGCCAAGGATTGTGAATCGTCGACAAATTCCTATTCGATTCGGATATCAATCAGCCCTGGATGCCATGCTTTCGACCCCCTAGATGTGCAGCTTGACTCCAGACATGCCATTGGATGCGCCCCAAGAAGGAGTTTGACTGCCCATCATGATTGGAAAGAGGTTATAGAAACTCTGAAGGCAAGATTTGACACGTAAGATACTCACCCTTGAATGACTATATTTGCAACTACAGACAGCAGCAGCAGCAGATTAATCGTTATTATTTTCCAGGGTCAAGCTCCCAAAGACATTCATTGCGGTGAACCTTAGTGACAAGCACGGATCAACCTCTTGATGAGCGTTTCGGCGGGAGTTCCGGAGGAGACCCTATTCGCCCATCATAGAAGATTATGGCTATACATTGGCTTCTCTGTGTCCCTATTTCCGGTATGAGACGGTGGTTTCACGAGTCTGTTTACGATGCCAAATACTATATCTATCACAATGTGACAAGTAGTTGTCAGTATTTCAAGTGTGGTAGGGTATACCTTAGCAAGCACGTTATCACTTGAGACTCGCGAGTAATAAGTAGTACGGGGTAGACACTCCGTAGTTGGTGCCTACTCCGTGTCATTAGTATGACATGCTAGCCTTAGTGCACCCCGCTAATCTCCCACATGTACCTAGCCTTTTCCACTAAAGAAGCTGGCAATAAACCACCTTTTGTGTAAAGAGCACACTGTCTACCTTAGCGGGCCTCTTCTCTAATATCTAATTCATCTAAGATCCTTTCCCCTTTGCTTTTAACGCCTTTCATACCTTTTTGCTAGCGAAGGTCCCAGCGATATCTACCTAGCATGACCCCCCCTGCCGTTGTTTATAATACCGATGATGGGTGCTTTGACTGCAATCCATGCAGCGACAGTATCCGATTCAAATCTGATCAATCCCAGAAAGAAACAACAATTGCTGTTGCAAACATCATTTGTATAGTTCCCAAAGATAACTGCGGGGAAACAGTGTATTCTCTGCTATATCTTCGGAATGACGCGGAGGCAACCGGCATCAAAGATGAACGTCTGTTACTAGACAACATCCTGCTAGCTACAGTACCTAAGCCGTTGGCAGAGCGCTACTTGTATGCGCAGCTGCCGCCACACCTGTGTCCCTCCGGATCTAGAAGGGGAAGCATGGATATCATCGTGTCTACGACGTCCGGAACAGGGACAGGAGCGAGCTTCTTTAACAATATTCTACGACCGCTACTGTCACATCTCGGTGTAAACGAGTATAAAACTCACGAGACTCAATCGACACAAACTATCACCGAACTCTGCAACGCAAAGTTTATCCCTCGTGCCAGCGAAAGACTTCCGCAGACCATTATCCTTCTCTCGGGTGATGGAGGCCTGACCGACATGATTGACGCCTTCCACAGTACTCTAGATAGCCTCACTGTTCCCCCAACCATTGCTCTCATCCCGATTGGAACGGGTAATGCTATGGCAAACTCGTTAGGGTTATTGGCATGTCCAGCAGCTGGGTTGGTAGCTTTGCTGCGCGGGACGCCAGCAAGCATACCTACTTTTGCTGCCGAATTTTCACCGGGGGCGCGATATATCATTGACGAGGGCCGCCAAAGAGTCCCCATATTACGCATGAGCGATGACGGACACCCCAGGGTTTACGGTGGCGTTGTTGCCAGCTGGGGTATGCACGCTGCATTGGTTGCCGACAGTGACACTCTGGAATATCGCAAATTCGGGGCCGATAGATTCAAACTAGCTGCAAAAGAGATACTTTATCCTTCCGACGGTACAGAGCCTCACAAGTTTAGAGGCGCTGTCACTCTTTTCAAGAAAGACAACCAGACTCAGAGCAAGCATGAAGAGCTCCTGAGGCGCAAAGAGCATATGTATGTGCTAGCGAGTCTTGTCTCGAATCTTGAAAAAGACTTCATGATTTCTCCTCTGTCCAGACCTTTGGATGGCCGTCTTTGGATGGTTCACTTTGGGCCAATGTCACCATCAAGTGTCATGCAAGTAATGACTTCTGCATACCAAAGGGGCCAGCACGTAGGCAACGAGAGCATCTCCTACGAGGAGATCGAAGGATTCCGGATTGAACTTGGCGAATTGGATGAAAGATGGAGGCGAATCTGTATCGATGGTAAGATCATCATTGTTGAAACCGGGGGTTGGGTGAAGGTACACAAAGATCCTAAAAGACTCCTGAACATCCTCCTGCTGCAAAATTCCCCACACCAATGCAATAACTGAAGTCTTATGACTTCCGGTTACTTCTGGTAGTACTAACGCAATGATGAGTGATCAGCAGAGAGTAACTAATTAGTCGGCTTGTTGGTTCAATTAGGAAATACACGGACGTGCGATTTTTGAACAAATTTAAGGCCATAGTATTATCATTATGGTGGCATAAATCGCCCTTAAAAGAATTAATGGACCATATCTTTAGCTGCTGTCATGCTAAGGTTTTAGATACTAGGCAGTACTCCGTACTCTACTCCATGCGTCCATAGGAACGAAAGGCGGTAGGCCATGTTAGCGTCCGCCCCTATCTACGGAGTACGGAGCACTACTTTAGATTTAGATGCCCGTTGATTTAGGGGATAATGCCCGTGGAGTAATAGAGATGTCGGGCTGCAAAACAACACATAACTTACATCGATTTTCAGTCCATCATCGATAGGCTCCCAATAAAACACAAGCAGTATTAATGAGGCTGGTCATAGCAGTCGTCGCCAGATTCATATCATCTAACCATCGAAGTACACAGTGTCAGCCATTGTCTATGATGGGAATAGTTATATTCAGATCCCATGTTCATATCTCCGCGAACTTATTCAGCATCGCAAACACCAGACCGAGGAGTATACTTGGCCACCAGTGAGAATCAACTGAGGTACCAAACGCTTCAAGGGTGGCGTGCAGACTCGACACTTGCTAGTCAGACTCCTGAAATGCTGCTGATCCATCAGGCTGGCAGTGTTCGCGTGGGTGAGGTTGTCAGGTCTGTAGTTCACTCCCTCTCTTCAGTGCCTTTCCTGGGTATTGATTAAATAACCCATCCTTGAACAACTCAATACTGACCTGCCAATAAATCAGATACACGTTGACGTACACACCTGCAGTGGATAACATCCGTCCCACGCCGGCTAAGCTATACGTCAAAGTCAAGAATACCTCTGCACTCCCCCTGCGGGCAGCATATCTCCATGGCCCTTATAGCCTTTATGCATCATGCTATCCATCTACGTTTAGTCCGAATAACAGCGCCAGGACACAAGGAATAGAGACAATCCCGCAGTATGAGCCGTACCTGAAGGCCGGAGGCACTTGGTATGCGACCCTGAATGTACCGCAGAATGCTGGCCGAAGCCAAGGGGCGTCAAACTCAGAAATCGAGTCTCAAGAAAATACGACCTGGATCATTGAAGTGATCTCTCAAGTGGTGTTCTCTAACACAGCAACCGTCAACTTCGAGCTTCTAGTCGGACGTGATGAAACTTCGGTAGAATCACTATGTGCCAGTGACTCACTCATTACCGGGCTTCCCAAGGCTGCTCAGCTAAGTGATCACTGGTCATCAGAGACAAAAGGCAAGCAGGTGCTTGCTACCAAAGGCGTCTACTCTCGGTCTATCACTTTACTGATAGATGATACTGCTAGTCTCTGGAATACACCTCATCTTCCATCTTCGGGGTCTGCTCAGGGGCAGACGATGGAAATTGGAACTGAACGTGGCTCGGCACATGAGCCACAAAAACCTGATATTACAAAGAAAATTCACCTTGTTGTGTTGACTCATGGACTTCATAGCAACTTGGGAGCAGATATGCTCTACCTGAAGGAAAGTATCGATGCCTCAGTCAAGATAGCAAAGGATGGGGCCAAGAACGACAGCCACAATCACGGTAGCCAGAATAACTCTGGGGAGTCACCTGCAACAGAAAGGTAAGCAAATCGTTTGATGTAAATCCTGCAGTTCTCTGTGTAACCCCTCCTACGCCTGGTTCTAGCATTAGTCTTTGCCCCTTTCTTTCTTTCGCTCTTAATTCTCTATCCTGTCATTTCTATCATAAACCCTTCCTGATCTTCTACTGTTATCTCTTTGACAGGTTATATCCACATAGAAATAGTGCTAACCTAGGTAGTAGTAAGACGCATTTGGAAGACCACGATGACGAGGAAGTCATAGTAAGGGGATTTCCTGGAAATGCGACTCGCACAGAACGCGGAATACAGTACCTTGGCAAGCGCCTCGCAAAATATGTTCTGCAAATGACACGCCCAGAACGACCCTTCGTGTCCTCAAAAGTTACAGGAAAAACTTCCGCGCCATTCTCACCGTGGAAACGAGCAACGGGAGAGCCTAACGAATCTTGTGATGGTTACGCAGAGCAGCCCATTTGTGGGAACGGTGCCTATCAGGTCACCAGTATCAGCTTTGTTGGTCATTCACTCGGGGGTCTCGTTCAAACATACGCCATTGCATATATCCAGAAACATTTCCCTGATTTCTTCGATAAAACCAGGCCAGTCAACTTCATAGCCCTGGCGACCCCGTTCCTTGGTCTCAGCAACGAGAACCCTGTGTATGTTCGCTTTGCCCTAGATTTAGGACTTGTCGGTAGGACAGGCCAGGACTTGGGGCTTAGTTGGACAGCACCCAGAATAAGAAGTGGCTGGGAGACTATAATAGGGGGGAGGGGTAATTCCATAAACTCTCGAGGACATCCAGACGCTCGATCTAAGCCCTTGCTGAGGGTTCTCCCTTGCGGGCCTGCTCATGAAGTTCTCTCGAAGTTTCAGCGCCGCACAATCTACTCCAACGTGGTCAATGACGGAATAGTACCTCTGCGGACGTCTTGTCTGCTCTTCCTTGACTGGAAAGGCCTTGACCGTGTCGAGAAAGCTAGGAGGGAGAATGGCATCGTTGGCACAATGGCCGAATGGGGCTGGGCAGAATTAACGGGTGCTAATTCCAAGTCTCCACGGACCCAGCTGGCGAGTGAGTTAGAACTGGCAGATGTTGGTGATCAAAGCAGCAATGTAAATGGAACTCGACCAGGGTTCGGCCCCCCCTCACGGCAGGATGTCACAGTCGCTGCTGGCGTCAATAGCTTGTCAGCTGATAACCGAACTCTTGAGCCCCATCAATATCCGGCTTGTGTCGAAAGCGATGCAGATTTCATACGGAAGGAGGACCTGCCTCAATCTACGCCAATGAGCCCATTAACCAAGATATTTTCGATCTTGCGACCGAAGGAGACAGCGAAGACATATCCTGGAAATAAACATATGAGGATATACAAGCGAAGCCAAACGATTGACACGCTTCATGATGATATGGAAATATCTCCTACCAGTTCCTATATCCGGGGGTCGCCTGCTGCAAACCAAGTTCATGATAATGGGCCTCATACGCCTCCGCAAACCACGTTCTTCGAATCAGCTAGTGACCTCCTTATGCCGCCTCTGCCACCCACAGAATTTTTCGTTGACCCCACGTCGAGACCAAAAACCATATTTCACGACCGAGTCTATAATCCTGAGGATATGCCACCCCCAATGGCTTCTAAGCGGCGTGCATTGACATTAGGGTCTTTGCAACATAAAGCATCAAATGCACGGCCTGCCTCGAGAGCGGAATCCCAGGACAAGCCACATCCTGCCAATGAATTTGAAAATGGTCTCAAACTTGAGGAGAAAATTGCCAGGGCTTATCACCGTGACTTGTCGTGGCGCAAGGTTCTTGTCCGCCTTGAGCCTGATGCCCATAATAACATCATTGTACGGCGGATGTTCACAAATGCATATGGCTGGCCAGTGGTGCAACACCTTGTCGATACTCACTTTGGGCATACATCTGTAGCCCGGTCCAATAAGGCATCTGAACGAGGTATTGAAAAGCCTAGTATGTCTGTAGCGGAAACTGGCGTTTCGAAAAATGGCGCCGGAGTTCAGGGTTCAGGCTGAAAGTATCATCCTTTGTGGATGAAGACAGGACGCGCTAATTTTCCGCTCGATGCCGTTATTCAATAGCTGATTCCATTTGCAAGGCTGAATGCAGGTGCCAGGTTAGGCCTCGCTCTTAAATAAGAGGCTGGGCATCTCTACATGGAGAAGAATTCTATTAGAGACTGGCTTGTCCCGGTTTCCGGGTTTTTGCAGCGAATTTTGGGGATCTGAAACTCGGTCAAGTATAATAGAAGGTATTCCAGGAAGCTTGCATTGTTGTCTTCGTGTTAGTGGTGGATCGCAGTGAAGAAGAGGCGTACTTCGCATACATATGTACATAGTGACACCCCACGCACATAGTTACATATAAATAGATAGTTCTAATTATTCATAAAGCTTTCGGTACGGTACGAAATAGCTGTGGACTCGGCAAATATCAAAACAACGACCCCAAACAGGGACTATTGCATACTAGAGTTGGATGAGTTGGCTCATTGAAAGTGTTGGCTTTGTAAACGAAACCCAGCCTCTTGACTCGAGCGCTTTACTGCCGATCATCAGTGGTTTACTCTCTTGTTTCCTGAATTCGGGTCTAGTATGACCACCCGCTTCTTTCGTAACCATGCGATCTCTTTTACAGGGTAGAAACTCGCAAGTTCCGTGCTCCAATCGGGATACTGAGACAAATTAGGTACACTGACTAGAATTTAGAGTCTCATGCCTATGTGACGCACAAGCCAGATGATACTAAATCGAGTGGGCGGTACCGAAACCCCGACGGCCTGAGTAGTCGACCCCACCAACCGGCGGGGAGAAGACGACGACGAAGTCACGGAAGGAAGGAGGAGCGCGCATTGCGATTGCCCCTCTCCCTTGCCTCTTAACCGGAACTCAGATTCCTCAATATGCCGACTGAGCTAGAAGAGGTAGGTACCTAGAACCCGGCCTTCGACCCAAAAAGGGGTTCCTCAACAGGAGACTGACCTGTTCGCTCTTGACCAGCTAGTTGAATTCCTTCATCATGGGAATACGCCGATTAGACAAATTGGTGAGCTGCACCACCACTCGCCCCTTCTCCTTTTTCGCACTCTGCCGAGACATACGCCAGTGCCGTTCCTAACACCAAATCCCTTAGCTTGCGAAAATCTGGTTGGCTTTTCAGTCTCCCAGCCAGAGCTTTTCAAACGCCACCAGCTCCTACCAGTGCGCGATCTGAAGCTTTTGGTCCGAGATTACACAGTCAGTGCCCAAACCCTTCGACCCTACAATGAACCTCTTCAGGGCTGTTGCTGATTCTTTCTCGGTGCGAGCCACGAAAAGCCTATCGCCAAGAACGCGATAACGATACTTATCAACCTCTCAGCCGATGAGGAAGTGTTAGCTTCTCTTGCCGAGGATGATACTTTCCTTGAGACTCTTTTGGTAAAATTGACGGTGAGTTGTCGAGTTATTATTCTTATCCATCGCAAAGCGGTCAATCTTCTAACACCCGAGCCTGTAGAATGTCAAAGAGCCAAATGCGGATGATGTCGCCATGTTATTTGCCAACCTCGCAAAATCGGACAAGATGAAGAAATTGCTCACGTTGAAGCGGAAGATTCCAGAGACGGTGTCTAGCTCTGCTAACGCGATCGATCAGCTGATGGACTGTTTTGTTAAAGGAGCAGAAGGCGCCCTTAACAAGAACGCTAATTTTGATTATTTGTCCTACTTGTTTGCTGACCTCTCGAAATTTGAGGAGGGACGAGCCTATTTCACTTCGAAACAGGCCTATGATGACGTCGTGCCAGTAACGAAACTAACCGTGTTCACCGAGCACATGAGCGCAATCCGGAGAAAGGGAGTCGCATCGACTATTAAGAATGTCGCATTTGACTTGCCCTTTCATCCAAAGCTCCTTTCCGAAGATGACGCCAATATTCTTCCTTATATTTTGTTGCCGATCATGGGGCCTGAAGAGTTTGCTGAGGAGGAAGCCATGGAAATGCTTCCAGATCTCCAGCTGCTTCCGCCTGACAAACAAAGAGATAAGGACACTAGCATCATTGTAACGCATCTTGAAACCCTACTGCTATTGACAACAACACGCGAAGGGCGGGATAGAATGCGGGCCATCAAAGTATACCCTATAATCCGAGAGTGTCACCTTCATGTTGATGATGAGGATGTTCGTGAAGCTTGTGATAGGCTTGTCCAGGTTCTGATGCGGGACGAAGAGGGCGAAGATACATTCAGTCAGCCTCGGATTGAAGGAGGGAATAACATTGACCTTATTCCCGGGGATCATGACGAAAATATTGAAGAATTATTTTAGAAGGTTACACGCGGATGGTGTATGTGTATCAAAAAGGAATACCAATAGAAGACGCTACTAGCCATTGTATACATTTGCACTGTTCAATAAATAATTTAAGATCTCATAATACCCGGACATATTTGTAATTGCTATTGCTGTAATTGATTGGAAGCTCTGCACGCTGGGCCTGGACAAGGTTCATTGTCATAGAATGTCTAGTGGTGCTTAAATACTAACTAATTCTGAAGCGTCATGAGAGGTATGTCTGAAACCTGTAGGATAGCCTAGTCGATAATTTAAGATACCTCTGCTGTCTAACCCATTCCATTTGGAATCTTCACAAATGAACTAAAATGAACGAAACATTTAGAGACCTACTATCTGACAAGGCATAGCATGGATCGGCCTGAACACAACATATAGACAAAGAGAAAGTGGTGATAGCGAAGAAAAGAAATCCTGACTCTGCCAACTCGATCTACCTGTCCGTTCACCTGGCAATCTTTCTGTGAAAACCGAGAATAGTAACGACAGATAAACAAGAGGCAATGCCCCGGTTGTCGATAGCAACAATTTATTATCCAGTTTCGCGCAACCCATGATCCCTGCAATGAGCTTAATATTGTGGTGTTTATAGGGGCTTCACTCGCAGAAGATTGTACTATCCGGATGTGTGTCATTGAACAATAATAATGCACCTTCTGAGATTTTCTCGGACCGCGCCTCGCCATGACAGACAAAAACGTCGAGAATACCCTCGGAAGAGAGAGCAACTCATTAAAACAATCCACGGCAGCGCTCTTGCCCTGACGGCTGGGCGTCGCATAAGAGTAAATTGACGGTGTCTCCTGCCCTTCGATCGTTATCCCAAAACATGCAGTTCTGCATAAATGGATAGCCTTCGGCTTCTGCAAGAATATCTTCGCCTAAATTTACCCCATATTAGTGCGCCATTAGCAGCCTGCCCCTGGAATCCGCTGTACTCTAGATATAATGGGCTGAGATTGTCGCTTCGAGCAAATCAAGCTTCTGGGGAGGCTGCTCTTCAGACGCTAAGACTTTACTCAAAGAGGTCTTCATCGCTACTAAGTATCGAAGTCGGTCGGCATTGTTGTCGGATTCAGCAACTGTCGCCGCATTTACCATGCTTAATAGTATTCAATTGCATGGGCAGTTGGATGTAACATGCAAAGAATAGTCGGAGCCACAGGCAGCATTATGACCACGGCTTATGTTGTAAGCAGAAAGCCCGCGTAGCAGCTCGTCGACAGATTCGACCGCTGTCTGTATTGGACTAGGCCTTGCTTGAATCTCTGCGCCCTATTGAAGAGATGAGCCTTGCATCCCTTAATAGACTGGGTGTTTGGCGGACGCGTCGATTTAAACCTGGCACCATAGGTAAGTATACAATACTTGCAAGAGAGTGGATGATCACCAGTAGGTAGCCATGGGAGCACAAAATCCACGATAGGGTCACTGATTTTGCCGAAGAGGTTCTTAGTTTCACAAATACCAATTCTGTACTCCGTAATTGCGGAGTGCATGGCAGTTCAAAGTTGTATAGCAGTTGCCTAGTGTTATAGATCTTGCACTTTATGGTGACTTTTGAACCAAGAGGTTCTGCTAGCGTTACAGGAGGTCACTTACATGTGGTGGGCTTGGATACCGGGAGGCCCAAAAGGGTCTCATCTCTTATAATTATCCTTCAATATTCCTGTGGACTCGTAAGAGAATCCCTGTACATTAGGATGATTAGGCTGTGTGCTTAGCTTTGAGATAGAAGGCGTACTATACTCGGCCTTGAGAAAGTCTTTATTCAAGATATTGGAAATACGTGGCGCGTATGTCCCAAGATCATATTCCTCTAGATGCGCACAAGCAAGTCTATTCCTGTCCACGGCAGTAAGTCCATTACGCAGACTTCCGTATTTAGACTTAGCAGCCTTGGGGCCCAACACATACCCCGGCTCTTGAGTGTATTGGTGAAGAATTTGCACGCGACATTCAAGGGAAATGGCAAGATCCCTACAACTCCTTGACAGAGCTTGGCGAAGGTATTGGGGCCATCGCAGGTCCATATTCAACCATTCGAATTTACCAGCGGGGGTCAGATTGTCAATTTCCAGATTCGGGCTTAGGAGTGTAGGAATAGAATCAACCAGAGTTGTTGGTTTGGAAGACATTGGTAAATCTGAATCGGGTGATTTTCGACAATGACCCTCTGCAGAACACTGTCATAAGCTTCACCTCGCCCTTACCTGGGAGCCTCGAGCCTATCGATTCATGACAAAGGGGAAAAGCGGTTGTATCTTGATCCGTGGCATTCGTGATGAGTTGTTGGTGTTGAGATTTCATGTTGAAGCAGGTAGGACTCAAATGGAGCAACAGTATTCCTTGCAACCTGGTGTAGCCGGGTAAAAAGAGATAGAATAAAAGCCCAGTGGAATCGCATGTATGGGGCGTCAAGGACCTATTTTGTTCAGCAGCCCGAATACTAGTAACAGATTCTAGGGCTCCAGGCAATAAATAGCGCCATGGACAATTCGCTTTCACATCCTTTCGCCCGGATCTTCTTGTGCACCTGCAGCCTTCATTAAAGGATAGCCTAGTTAACCTTGGGTCACCCACTGGAGGGGATGATGGGGTACGGTGACAGCATGAGCCAACAGTATTAGTTAGCAAGCATGATCACTTAGGGATAATAGCTCAGTGACATGACATGACGCCACCTTTGGCCGGGAGGACCCACTTACATAATCGGCTTCCTTCACCTCATTCATCTTCACTTCAGCCGTTCAACACCTGACCTGAGCTTCCACTTTTACTCAAAGTGTTTGCCGCTGGGCTGGTACTTCACGGACTTGAGTCATTAATGTGGTACTAACAAGTCTGCGCGCTTTGCCATCAACTTCCTCTTGAGTCTGGAAGTCGATTCGGAATTCGAGCGGCGGCTATTATGACTACCCCTTCGAATGACCACCCAATGCCGACCCCAACGGGGTCGAACGGTCCACCGCCTCTGAGGAATCGTCGCCCAAAAGTGGCGGATCCCCTCGTGCGACCGAAGAGAAGGCCGGCAATGAGAACCCCAGTTTCAACATCAGCAGCAAATGGCGCATCAAGATTACCATCATCCAGGCCCGTCACTTCAAATGTGCTTCCTGGGAGTCGAATCGAGAAAATTGGCCCTGCGCTTCCAAGACATGAATTCTCGGCAAACGGATTCAGTGGCCCATTGTTGTCCGAAACTTACGTTGATTACCCGATTGTGACTACAAGACGAGCATTGCGTGAAGGCTTGAAGCATCATATTGCAAGGTTCACGTCGAAGAAATCCGTTGATCCTCGCGATGAGTCTCAATTTACTCGTCCCGTTAGACTCCAGCGCCGGGACCCACGAGCACGATCGCATGAAGCACACGCCGAGAGAGGTCATTTCAATTCGAAAATGGGCCCCGAACAAAGTACTCAGACAGATGAACTTGAACGTGAGGAACTGGAGGCGAGGAAGGTAGCTCGCGAAAAGGAACGTGCAGAAAACATGGCCCAAATAGCCCCCTCCGTTGGATCAGCGCCGAAAAGACATAACGCACCTAAACAGAAAACTCAGCAGGTGGCTAAGACGGATATGACACCCGAAGAGATAGCCAGGACTCGAATAAAGTACGAAGAGGCTCTGCCATGGCACTTGGAAGATTTTGACAACAAGAATATCTGGGTGGGAAATTACGAAGCCGCATTATCAGAGACCCATGCAGTGTTTGTGCTTGAGAATACCGGGAGAATGAGAATGATACCGGTGGAAAAATGGTATCGCTTTAGTGCGAAAAACCAATTCAAGGCCCTGACCATAGAAGAGGCCGAAAGATTCATGGCTAAAAAAGTCAAAGACCCGCGGTGGTTCATGGAGAAGCAGCAAGAACTAGCTCAACGGAAGGAGCTCGAACAGTTTGCCAAGCAACAGAAGGTGTATGCCGGAAAACAGGGTACTCCTGCCGGAGTTGAAGGCTTAGAAGCAGACGAGATGGACTTCGAAGAGGATAGGTTTGCTGACGATGAGGAGCATGACGATCTTTTCAACGAGGACGAAGAAGCAAAAGCGGCTGAGAAGCGAATTAAAAAAGACCAGTTGAAAGCGAATGTGTTCGATTTGAAAAACGAGAAGGATTATGAAGAGGAGGAGATCAGAGAAAAGAGAGAGAAAGAAGCCCGTCGCGTGCTCGGGAAGAAAGTGAGGAAGGCTCTTCAGAAGAGAGAAAAGAACTACGATTATAGTAGTGGCTCGGATGTGAATCCGTATTCTGATGATGAGGTATATTTCCCACACTTTCTGACCCATTTTAGTCTTTGTCTGCGTCCATGTGTATATGTGTAGCCACCATTACTGATCTAAAATTTATCAACAGAGCTCGGATGAAAGTGAAACTGAACGGCCGAAGGAGGAAGAGGTAAAAGCGGAAGAGGAGAAGAGCAAGAAAGAGCCTTCCTCAAGGGGTAACCTTACGCCATCAGGTCGCTCAAGACACATGGATCTGTTGAAAAAAGGCACCGTCACAGCGCCTCGGAAGCGACTGGGATCTCCGTCTGATGCAAGTGGGACAGATACTTCTCGTAAGAAGGGGAAGAGCAAGCATCCATCTTCCCAGCCTACACCTCAGCCATCTTCTCGTCCCATGTCTCCCAGTGCAGCATCAACGTTGCCTGTAAGCTTATTTTGGCTTTTTATAATTCCAATCGAGTTACTGATTCAGTTTAGGTGAGCAAAAAGCGCGTCCGGAATGTGCTAGCGGCGGGTGCGGGATCTATCAGCGATGTTGACGGTGGTGCAGGGTCAGGAGGTGAGATGAGTGAAAGTGGGAAGGCTAAGAAGTTGAAGCTCAATCCTCCCTCTGTCACCTCGCAGAGTGTGACACCCCAAGGATCTAGGGCTGGCAGCCCGGTCCCCTTGGGTAGCAAGAGCTTCTCAGGAAGTCGTGCTAGCAGTCCAGAGTCATTGAGAGGTAAGCTGCTTGAGTTGATGTGGTATCGCATATTGTTTACGAAACGGCTTACTGAGTGACTGCACACGTGTAGGCCCGACTCGCATTTCAACACCAGGTCCATCTAGTAACACTCAGGGTTTCCCGACGCCTGCGGAAATTCATGCCGCCATCCCGCAATCCGGCATCTTGAGCAGCGACTTACTGAGAATCTTCCGTCCTCGTATCGGGGAATCCAAGGAGAACCACCGAAGATTTATCGCTATTGTCAAAGACGTGGGGGTTTATGGAAAAGAGGACCGGCTCCTACGACCTGGTTCACTAAAGGGACCCTGATTGCATGTGACATCCTTTTGAGGAGGGTTAAGTACTGCACGTGTCATGCGCCAATTGTTGAATAGCTCCTGATGATGACCTAGTAATGCACACGTCAGGAGAAGATTGCAGTGGCCTTCTTGTAAAAGAGAAGTTCTATTATGCTTGAGTAGTGGCCGCTGCACTGTGTACAACTATGGTATCTATCCAAGTTGTTAACAATCTGAATAGAACAGCGGCTGCTGGCAAGTGTAAATGATCTACATTTAGTTGTCTGCAACTGTGATGTACAATTTTCTACTCATCACGCCGCCGACCCAACCGTGAAACAGTGAAAGGGTAGGTTGGCCACGGCTCTATTAATCCTCTCAGCTCCAAGAATCAGGTATTACCATATAGAATATAATATTTTTAGAGTATAAGATCCAGCACCGCCGAGTATCTAGATTCCTAAATATGGATAGTTAGATAATTGTTATATTAAGTTTATATATACTGGAATTTATTATGTCTCAACCTTAAAACACTTATAATATTTTTAAAAAAACTGATGTTATCTTTATCTCTATGATTCAGGTACTAGAATGGGGATTTCTATAATTTATTTACTAATCTGGTAATTTTTCAGGCTGATTTATAAAATCATAGACAATAATCATACCTTTAAATTTGAAGACTAGAGTTTGAAGAATCATTAGGTCATTAATAATTTTGAAAACATTCTTTATATTGAACTTACATGTAAAAGGTACCAATTCATTGAGCGAAGAGAAATCGTAGAGCTGTGGTTGACCTAATCCTGAAAAAGTGGGTCAGCAGTGTGACGAGTATCTAAGCTTTTCTTCACCTTTTGAGTCACCATTTACTTGAAATTTCATCTGTCGAGCCTCGCACACTGCGTGCGCCACTATCAGTAGATTGTGAAACAAATCAGAAGGCTTTTTCACATGCCCTAGGGCCACCTGTTCATCCGGGAAAGTAGATTTGCGATGTGAACCATGCAAGTAGTGTCCAGCTATGACTTCTAATTCATGTTTACTTCTTCCTTGCTCCCTCTACTGATGCTGATAGTCTAATTGATGGCTGCACTTCTGCAAAAGTCGCCACAAGCTTGACCTGTTGAATAGTAATATTGAAGGGTTCTAAACACCAGCGCTAGAACAAGGTAGATCAAATTCAAATCAACAACAACAACAAAACAACAGATGACAGAGCCACCTTATGTACTTGAACAATTTAGCTCTAGACACCAGTAACCCCAGTGGTGCGTGAGCCTTCACCACCTTCCTCATACTTTTCCCAGTTTGCTAGAATGTGCGCAATTCTAGGGGAGTTGGTGAGTCTGTAAACATCCTCGAAGTACTCCTTCGTAATTTCGAACGGGCGAGCCGTGACGTTCGGAATGTATTTGCCGACCAGTTTACTGGGATCAATGGTAGTCTTGTTGATCTTCTTCAGCAAGAAAGAGCGGAAGGGCTTGACACCAGAACGAAGGAAAGTGCTGTGGAAAGGCACATCGATTCCTCTGAGAGGGATGGTAGCGAAGCCACGTTCGAGAGAAATTGGCTTAGGTTTAGACTCTGTCTGTTTGACGCACTCCTGGATGATTTTCACGAGGTGTGCTTTGACATCGTCCAAAGACATACTTTGCATGAGAGCAGGGATGTCAATGTTCTGAGCTTTGAGATAGTTGAGCAAATTGGTAAGGCAATCAAGTGCCCGGAGCTACAACAAGGTTAGAACAGAACGCGCGGCAAAGTAATTACATAGAAGTATAGGGAGGGACTCACATCACCGGCGGCAACATATTGCATGTTGGCAACGTTATAGTTGACAATCTCCAGGAGCCAGCCCGTCTGCTCAGAGATGACCTCAACCACATACTGCAGGGCTTGTTCATTGAAGGTCTTCGAGATACGGCTTGGGTTGACGGCGCACATAGAGTAGTTCGAACGACCCTGTTCGTCTCGCTCCACAGCAACCTGCATTGTCAAGCCACGATAGAAAACAACGGAAACCAAGCTTTCGATAGGCATGACATCGGCAAGTGCTGCAAGTGCTGAATACTCGCCCAGTGAATGACCCGCAAAGCTGCTGTCTCTCTGGACGAGACCCTTAGAACGCATGTCTTCAAAGCTTGCCTTCTCCATCAATGTTAGAGCCGGCTGTGTGAACTGGGTCGCAGAGAGAAGCCCAGATGGCGAACGGTATGTATAAGATGCCGTGTTCTCATCAATCTCTTTGAATATTTTCTCTGACTTAATGGTTCCATCTGCATTGACAGTTTCAAAGGTCATCGACATATAATTTTGGCGGATAGCTTTGCCACGTGGACCGCCGAAATAAACAGTCAGCTCCTTGGGGTTGTTCTTCACAATGTCAATGATCGAGAGGCCGTAATTTTCAATGAAATGGCGGTCTGCCCGATCCCAAACTTCCCTAGCAACTGGGCTGCTCGCATAGAGTTCCATGCCCATTCCCTGCTCCTGAGATCCCTGGCCGGTAAAGACATATGACGTGACAGGTTGTTCAACCTCGGCTTCACCCAGAAGAACTTTATCTTCGGTATCTTTGTTGATGGCCTCGACCTTGATAATCTTACGACCAGCAATCATACCAACATGCTGCAACTTGACAGTAATGACATCATTGGGAAGGACCATGCCAACCAAGGACACATGAAAGCCTCGGACGCGGCCAATATTGTTTTCGGCTGCCCAGGTTTCCACGTAGCTGCGGACCGCAGCGCTCGTGTACATCCCATGAGTGATGGTACCTGGTAGGTTGGCGTAGCTTGAGAAGACGCGAGATACGTGTATTGGGTTATAATCGCCCGAAACGCGAGCGTAGGTCTCATTCGACGCAGGAGCGCGCAATTCCAATGCAGTCTTGCCGCTAAGAGGGATGGGGTTCTCAAAATAGACCGGCTGCTCGATAGATGTTCCATTCCGCTGTAGGTAGTCGATCACTGGGTTTCCATGAGAAGTACCAGCTTCATAGTCCACAGAGGCCACTTGGATGATCTCCTTGGTGGGTAATTCCAAGAGTACTTGGCCAATTGTCTGCACATTGCTGAACACAGTCTTATTCTTGAACCGGATCAAGCTCTGGAGACGGAAAGTCAAAGTCTGACCCAATAGCTCGACCTCGGGCTCACCCATGCGGAACCATTCTTTCGAGCGCAGGATGGCAACGTCTCGGCTAGAAGCAAGGTGGACCTGCATAGGCACTTCATCCTTGCGCTGGAAGGTATTCTGGAAATCCAGGTATGCTCCACGGTACAGGAATTGACTGGTGACATGCATGATGGGTTGACCATCTCTTTCAATTGTACCGCATACCTCAACCATCTTTCCAGACTCCTGGTTAATAACCGAGTTGATTTGAGCGGTGGTGTCCAAAACATCGCCGACCTTGAGGGGCTGTGCTCCAGGAACCATCTTGAAACCGTTTGATAGATGAACCAGCTTCAGCAGGTCACCATCAATAGTGCGTGGGAAGATGGGTTTGGTGATTGCCTGCCAACCTGCAACGATGGCGAAGTCCATGGGAGCAAAGACCTCTTTACCGGGACGGTCGACAAAAGCTTCGCCAGTGTTGCCGACAGCATGGACGAAGTCGGCAACAGCTTGGGATGTAACAGTGGTACGTCCGCCGCTGAAGGTTGCGGTGGTAGGAGTATCGAAAGGAACGTCCTTGTTTCCAAACCACACACGGTAGTAAAACTCCTTGATACGATCATTGCGGCTGTCCATGACCTCCCGAATTGGTGCATAGCCTGCATCAGGATGGTATGTGAACAAGAAAGTCAGAGGCACAACAGCAGCCTCCGCCGTTCTTCCTTCATACATAGTGAGACTGATCTGACTCTGGTTGTTCATCTTCACCTCAACCGTCTTGACAAGTTTGCCAGACTGATAGGGTTCCCTCACGATGATAGCTGTCTTGGAAGGATCTCCCGGGAATGAAATTTCCACATACATACCCGGAACGGGAGCAACAATCCGTTTCATGGGGTTAGTCTGGAAACGATGGCCTTGAACGAATACATCTGCCAAAAACATGGCGTGCCTCCACGAATACGATGGCCCGGCAAGAAGACGTAGCCAACGGTCCAAGTCAGGCAGGTCAGCCGAAGGAGATGATGACAAGCGGTAGCTGACCTTGTTAGTGTCTTCCGAAATCGTAAGGCCGTCAATATCCGAATCATCGTCAACCTGATGGAAGCGTCCCCCAAAGTATTCGATGACAGGTATTCCGCCATCCTCGCCGCCATAGACATCCCTGACCAAGCTTTCAATGTGACCGTTATGTATGCCGTTCAGGATATCCGCGATAGGCTCATCGATGACATTCGAAAACTTTGCAGCCATCGGGCCTTGCAGGATACATGTCCTACCAACGTCCTGGCCCACAACCGCCTCAAGGTCTTCGCTCTGCCAAAGGGAGTCCTTTTTGAACCAGTATTCAAAGTTTTCATCCAGCGAGGGGACAAATGGAACCGGCTTCTGACCACGCCGCTGGCAGAGCAACAGAAAGTGCTGTACATCTTGAGCATTGATCAACTGAGTAGCAGCTTCCGGGTAGGAAGCCAAGATGTTGTCAATGGCCGGGTACGGCGTGTTAAGCTCCGAGTAATTTTGCAGTAGAGACGCTTGACCTTCGGTAGTGGTGAATCTTTCTTCAACTCGACGGATGAAATCACCGGTCAATTTCTTGAGGGAATCATCGATCCATCTACCCTCATGTTTGACATACATGAGGTCCACCATGCGGTGTACCACTTCTGTATAAGTCATATCCTCCAGGTCGGCCGTCTCTCCAGAAGCATTGCGACCGAACCAAACTTTATGAAAGTCATCATTGAGCTTCTGGATGATGTAGTTCCGAAGCTTCTTGAGCTCAGGGACGCGCTTTGCTTTGTCAAGCTTGAAGATTTTTTGATCCATCTCGTGCCAAAACAGGACGCCTCTAGTAGCCAACTTGTGGATAGGCTCGCCCATCTCGGAAAGCACGGTGACAACACCACCTGCGGAGCCCTTGTATGTTTTTTCCCAATCTTTGTCGTCAAGACCAGGAGCATCGGCAATGGCCTTCTTGGCGTTCTTGGAGGTATGCGCTTCCTTAGATATCATCATGCGACTACCAAACAAGCACCCGTCAAAAGGCATCGGCGGGTAACCGAAGCTTGAAGACCACGCGCCCGATAGGTAAGGATATGTATCTTCAGAACCGCCAAAACCACTGCCAGCGACAAGCACAATGTTATCACAGCGTCTGATGCGACTGTACATTTGCAGGATCGGCTGGTGGAAGTCTTCAAAAGAGTGGTGTCCTCCACCACGTCCTCCAGTCCATTGCAGAATGACAGGAAACTTGGGGTTAGCCTTTGCAATGTTGATGACTTGCTGAATAGCATCAACGGAACCCGGCTTGAAGGCAATGTGCTTTATACCGAGTGTTTCAATGTACTCGTTGGCCACCTCAATAGATGGCACACCGGCACCGATGGTCAGACCTTCAATTGGCACGCCGTCGGCCCTCAGTCTGCCTATCAGGGGAATTTGCCAAGCCATGGCGCGAGGATTGACGTAAATCAGGTTGATTGTGATGCCGCGGCCAGGTGGAATGGCTTTTTCAATCTTGTTGATGGCCTCTGTCATAGACTTGGCATTGTAATACCCGCCACCGGCAAGTTCAATATGGTAGCCTGCATTCATTGTCGCAGCAATGAAGTCCCATGGGACTGTCGTCGGTGTCATTCCAGCGACCATGATAGGAGGAATACCTAGCAAGCGGCTCATCTTGGTATCAACAAAGGTTTGTCCAACGGCATTCTTGACTAGACGCGGTCCATATTCCTTGACCCAATCGATGGCATACTTGACGGAGTGTTCGTCACGATCGAACAGCTCAGGCTTATATCCAACTTCGGCATTGGTACCATCCATAGCCCCAGCGAGGACTACACGGACACCGGTACCATCCTTGTTGCGGTTGGTAAGTACACCAAGACCGGAGATCCCACCGGGACCAAAGTCGACAACATGCGTTGCACCGGCGAAAACAGTCGCCTGTTCCCAATTAACGGTGTCATGAGTAATCATGCGAACCAGTGATGGAACGACATTAGGCTCCCCAGATTTGCTCAGGTCACCGCCAGTTTTTGTATCATAAACGGGAATGGCAAGGGATCCAGCGGGTATCTCGATGTCCTCCAAATCCTCCAAGATTCGGTCATAGGCTGGGTACAAGTACTGGCTGTGAAATGGAGCAGTGATAGGAAGGAAACGATTCACAAAGCGAACCTTACGCTGAGTAAACGGCACCCGATTTTGATCCAAGCCAGTCGGAGCTTTCACTTTGCGCAAGCGCAAGTTGAGACCGTAAAGAGAAAGAGGCGGTCCAGTGACAACGAAATTGCGAGCACTATTGACTAGCGATATGGAGATGTGGCGGTCTTCGGGTAGATGTTGGTTCGTCGTGTCAATGTGTTCCTGAACCGCAGCTCTTGGAAGGTCTCGAATAGATAACATAGGCGTAGGTGTACCTTCTCCGTTCTCGATCGAATCTTGGAGGACAGAGGGGGCGATGGATGTGCGAGGATAGGCTTGCTGACTACGGAGACCAATCCAGAAAAGCATAGTCAATGCATTCTTGGCGGCCTTCTCGAAGCTCTCCCAAGATGTTGCAGAGGCGATTGCCGCAGCCGTTATAACACCTTGAGAATGGCCAGTAGTTCCACTCAACCTTTCCAGAACCTCACCAGGTGTTTTGCCCAGGACCTTACAGGTGACGACGAAGTGCGCCAACTGAACCAAGCCGATCAAAGGTAGGCTCACCGGAGCCGACACAAGGTAGTCGGTGTCGGGCTGGGAGTCGCGATCCTGAAGCCATTGAATGATATCCAAGCCTTTTGGATAGAGCTTGTTGGCTTCGGGCTCATGAGACAGAGCCTGTAGCAATTCAGCGGATGAGGTAATAAGCTCATCCACGAAAGAAGGGTAAGTGGTGTAAATTTCTCTCAGTTCGTCAAAGTATTCCTCGATGTTTCCTTGCCCTCCGAAGACTGAATAGATGCTCGCCTTTTCATCTGAGGCATCTCGAAACAACGCTGAGTCATACGGTTTAAGGGGTCGGCCGACTGCTGTTCTCCCGGCATAATAAGCCTTTACAACCATAACCTTCTTGGCAGCGATGCCAGGAAGGCTGGCAGCAACAGCATGAACATCATTGCCTCTCATAAAGGCGCGTTCAAATTCGTTGAGAGCCAGCTTTAGAACCTCTAAGTACGTCCCATGCGCATCATCCTCGCCTTCTTCGACTTCATGTGCAACATGCCCGATATATCTAGCCACAAGCTCAGGGACCGAAGAAGGCTCATCGTCCTGAGCGAGCTCGTCCGTCGGCTGTGGTAACGAGGCTGTGAAGTTATCCTTCAATTGCGACGCATGGAAATGGAGAGAGGTCGGCACAAGGAAGGAGAATTCGAGCGACCCATGTGTGAGAATAAGGGGTCTCAACGACTGTGACGAGCGAGGGGTATTAATGCCCGTCTGAGGGCCAGTGGATGTACCGTACATCTCGTGGATTCGTTTCTATCTCTATGTGTTGGTCTGGGATAGCACAATTGGAAGCCAAGGGAATGGCGAGGTGATTATCGAAGAGAATGTATCGAGAGACTCTGTTACAAGTAAGTGTCAGGCAGAATTTATAACAACAATTGAAAAGAAAGGGATTGCAATGGCAAAGCTTTATCCAAGATACCTGCGGGGAAGAACCCGGAGTAAAGGACGAGGCTTGCCAGTAGAGGGTCGAGCAAGGACTGCGAAAAATAATTTGACTGCCCCGGGGGTGTCCTACCTAGTTCTATCCGGATGGGTCTTTTCAAACAATACTTGATCAAGCCTGGCCGAGAGTCATCGGCTGGTCCACCGTCCAGTGAAGATGAGAGATGACGGTAAATAGAATGGGCAAGATTTAGAGGGGGAAATATTACAATATGAAAAACAGTAAATAGTTATAAGAACAAAAGGAGAAGAGCCAAACAAAAAAGAAAGAGAAAGGTGGACAAGGTACTATGGATGCGGTGGACAGGGTGAACCAGGCCTTAATTGGCAAAAAAAGCTGTTCACCACATCCAGGCGATATTTTATTATTACACGTGCGAGATAGGTGTGGCACGCACACAAAAACACACTCTGTTGAACCGGCCGAGCGGAGGCAGAATTCCGCAGGTTTGGGCTGGTTGAATGGGAACCGTCCGGATTAGGTATGGTGGGCAGGAGGATCTCCCCAAAGGTCCAAAATGGTTGGGCTGGGCCTAGCGTTCGATATGACAATACCTGACCACCAATGTACCCTACCGGGTACTTCCATAAGCGCCTCCATCCCATTTACCGCTAGCTATGGAGTATACGGAGTAGTAGATAGTAAACAGTAGATAGGTAGGATACGGAGTGGTTGTACCCCTCTTTCTACTACGTACTATCCGTCTGCGGGCATCGTTCCCCGACATGTTTCCTTGTTTCAATTACTTTCGGATTTATCGTCTGACATACTCCTAATGTGTGTATGGTCCAGATTATATCAGAATCCATTCCCAACCCGAATTCATTTTGTAAGATACTACCCTACATACAGGAGGAGCCTTTGGAAACATAAATACTTGCTGATCTATAGAGATACTAAATAGCATAGGATTAACTTAAAGGCAAGGCGAATTCAAGTTAGAAGGACTTCGCTCGTCCTAGTAGTACGTGGTAGTTATCATGGTCGATGCATTCCAAGTGATACCTACTACTACTACCTAGATACTTAGTGTGTGTGTGTATGTGTGGATATGATGTATCTAGCCAATCTGGAGTCCTACATAGTACTCCCCAACTGTATCCATCCATATGACCTAGATAGTTTGATTTGACAGGATTTCTGGGCAATGGTGAGGGCCAGGCCATGGATGGCACGGGAAGCCAAGCACTGCAATGTTACTCGGTATCCATAGATAGATACTACTAGTAGTATCTACAGTATGGGTAGGTTGGATACCTACTTCCTTATCCAATCATCCAGGTCATTTTACTATGTAAAGACGAAAAATTACCGAGTATGCCTAGTAGCTCAACCATTCATTACCTTCGATTGCTCTTTCTTTACTTTTTCATTGGAGGGACGGGATTTCTTCTTCCCTGTTCCAACCTCTTTCTGTGGCTGTTTCTATGGGTATGGCGACCAAGAGTATTGGACCAACCCACACTCCGTACTGTGTACTCCGTACCGCACGAAAGTAATCTCCCGCCCCAACACTCACCAAAAGCTCCTAGTCAAAATCCCATCCACCCATACTCTGTAGCCCTCTTCTCTCTGTCCATAGTATCTCTCAGTCTCCATTTTCGTTCAATATTTTATTTTATTTTATTTTTATTTTTCTTTGCTCCCAAACTTCATCTGCTTTTCTTTGGGACATCTCGGTTCCAGGACATCGGCGAATCTCCCCCCACCGCCAGTGGTCCTAGGCTGGGGTGAGTGCTCTTAATTCCTACCCTACGTTAACACTTTTCCCCCTTCCTGTCCAGCATCCTTTTCCTTCCCACTGGATGTTTGTATGCTCGATTGATTGAAGCAAGCGGCAGAACGAGCATGTTCTTCCAGTAAATTACATTATACTAACATAAATTCTTCGATTAGGATTGAAACTGCTCAGCCATCCATCAACTATATTATCAGTTTAATTATTATTTTTCTCTTTCCCTAAACCCCACCACCATCACTCGATTTCTCTAGCCCTGGCCGCAATTGTCACTGGACCACTTTTCACAGAGCTGTCTCAAAAGTCGAACCTTATTCCCCCACCTCCTCGCATTCGTCACAACTGCCTGATATCGTGGTTGTCATACACGAACAGCATTGGGCTTTCATACGCTCTCGCCATTTGATTAACTTACCTCCAATATGCGTCCCGAAATCGAGCAGGAGCTGGCTCATACTTTGCTGGTAGAACTTCTGGCCTACCAGTTTGCATCACCGGTAAGATGGATTGAGACCCAGGATGTCATACTGGCAGAGAAGAGGACAGAGCGGATCGTGGAAATTGGACCGGCAGATACGCTGGGTGGAATGGCAAGACGGACCCTTGCGTCTAAGTATGAAGCATATGATGCTGCCACTTCCGTGCAGCGTCAAATACTTTGTTACAATAAGGATGCCAAGGAGATCTATTACGATGTAGATCCCGTGGAAGAAGAAGAAGCGCCTTCAGCAGGAGAGGCTGCGGCCAATGCTCCTGCGGCCAGTGCTCCTGCAGCTGTAGCAGCCCCAGTGGCAGCTCCACCTCCCAGTGCTGGACCTGCAGCAGCAATCGAGGATGCTCCGGTTACAGCTGTAGACGTGCTGAGGACACTAGTGGCGCAGAAGCTGAAGAAGAGCTTGGCGGATGTGCCCTTGAGTAAAGCTATCAAAGATCTGGTTGGAGGTATGCATACCCTATCTTGCCTGGCGGTTCGCACATTGAATTGCTGCTAACTAATCTGCTTTCAGGTAAATCTACTCTGCAGAATGAAATCCTGGGAGATTTGGGTAAGGAATTTGGTTCTACGCCCGAGAAGCCGGAAGATACACCTTTGGACGAACTGGGTGCCTCTATGCAGGCCACTTTCAATGGACAATTGGGCAAACAGTCTTCCTCCCTCATCGCTCGCCTGGTCTCTTCAAAGATGCCGGGAGGATTCAATATCACTGCTGTTCGCAAATACCTAGAGACGAGATGGGGTTTGGGTTCTGGTCGTCAAGATGGTGTCCTTCTCCTTGCCCTCACTATGGAGCCACCCTCTCGAATCGGCTCTGAGGCTGAGGCCAAATCCTACCTTGATGATGTCGTCAACAAATACGCTGCCAGTGCAGGCATCAGCCTTTCAGCCCCTACAGCTGGTGGTGATGGAGGAGCGGGTGCTGGAGGCATGCTTATGGACCCGGCTGCGATTGACGCCTTGACTAAGGACCAGCGGGCATTGTTCAAGCAGCAGCTGGAGATTATTGCGCGCTACTTGAAGATGGATCTACGTGCTGGTCAAAAGGCATACATCACATCACAAGAGTCCCAGAAGGCTTTGCAAGCACAGCTGGATCTTTGGCAGGCTGAGCATGGCGATTTCTACGCTTCCGGTATTGAGCCAGCATTTGATCCCCTGAAAGCTCGTGTATATGATTCCTCCTGGAACTGGGCACGCCAGGATGCTTTGAGCATGTACTACGACATCATCTTCGGCAGACTCAAAGTCGTTGATCGTGAAATCGTGAGCCAGTGCATTCGCATTATGAACCGTTCAAACCCGTTGCTTCTTGAATTCATGCAGTACCACATTGATAACTGTCCCACTGACCGGGGTGAGACATATCAATTAGCCAAGGAACTTGGCCAACAGCTCATCGAAAACTGCAAGGAAGTTTTAGGCGTTGCTCCTGTCTACAAGGACGTCGCTGTACCTACCGGGCCTCAGACGACGGTTGACGCCAGAGGAAATGTCGGGTACAAGGAGGTTCCGCGGGCCAGCGCTCGCAAATTGGAACACTACGTCAAGCAGATGGCGGAGGGCGGCCCCATTTCCGAATACAGTAACCGTACAAAGGTGCAGAATGATCTGCGCAGCGTTTACAAATTGATCCGCAGACAACACCGCTTGTCTAAGTCGTCTCAACTTCAGTTCAATGCCTTGTACAAGGAGGTAATCCGTGCTCTCAGCATGAATGAAAACCAAATCATGCCACAAGAGAACGGTTCTGGAAAGAAGTCCACTAGGAACGGTGTGAAGCGCAACGGCAGTCCTCGCACTGGCAAGGTGGAGACAATCCCTTTCCTGCATCTCAAGAAGAAGTCGGAACATGGCTGGGATTACAACAAGAAGCTTACGGGAGCTTACCTGGACGTTTTGGAATCTGCTGCGCAGGGTGGTCTCACCTTCCAGGGAAAGAATGTTTTGATGACTGGTGCTGGTGCTGGCTCTATCGGAGCAGAAGTACTGCAAGGTCTCATCAGCGGTGGCGCTAAGGTCGTTGTCACGACAAGCCGCTACTCCCGGGAGGTCACCGAGTACTACCAGGCGATGTATGCCCGGTACGGTGCTCGTGGTTCACAACTTGTTGTGGTACCTTTCAACCAGGGTAGTAAGCAAGATGTGGAAGCACTTGTAAACTATATCTACGACACCAAGAAGGGACTTGGCTGGGACCTGGATTTTGTTGTTCCGTTTGCCGCAATTCCTGAGAACGGACGCGAAATCGACTCTATTGACTCAAAGTCTGAACTGGCTCACCGCATTATGTTGACGAATCTCCTTCGGCTCTTGGGCTGCATCAAGACCCAGAAGCAGAGCAACGGTTTCGAAACTCGCCCAGCTCAGGTCATCCTTCCCCTATCACCTAACCATGGTACATTCGGAAACGACGGTCTGTACTCGGAGTCCAAACTCGCTTTGGAGACGCTCTTCAACCGCTGGTACTCGGAGAACTGGAACAATTACCTCACCATTTGTGGTGCTGTCATCGGGTGGACGCGTGGCACCGGTCTAATGAGCGGCAACAACATGGTTGCTGAAGGGGTTGAAAAGCTGGGCGTCCGCACATTCTCACAGCAAGAAATGGCCTTCAACTTGCTTGGTCTTATGGCGCCTGCGATTGTCAACCTTTGCCAACTTGACCCTGTCTGGGCTGACCTTAACGGTGGTCTCCAGTTCATCCCTGACCTGAAAGACCTTATGACGAAGCTCCGCACTGATATCATGGAGACAAGCGATGTTCGCCAGGCAGTGATCAAGGAAACCGCAATTGAAAACAAGGTTGTCAATGGCGAAGACAGTGAAGTCCTCTATAAACGGGTCATTGCTGAGCCTCGTGCCAATATCAAATTCCAGTTCCCTACTTTACCCAATTGGGAGGAAGATGTGAAACCGCTTAATGAGAACCTTAAAGGCATGGTCAATTTGGACAAGGTTGTTGTCGTCACCGGCTTTTCGGAGGTTGGACCTTGGGGTAATTCTCGCACCCGCTGGGAAATGGAAGCCTATGGCAAGTTTTCTCTCGAAGGCTGTGTCGAGATGGCGTGGATCATGGGCCTTATTAAACATCATAATGGTCCATTAAAGGGCAAGGCCTACTCGGGATGGGTCGACGCGAAGTCCGGGGAGCCTGTGGACGACAAGGATGTCAAGCCGAAGTACGAGAAGTTCATCCTTGAACATTCTGGTATCCGGCTCATTGAGCCCGAGCTATTTAAGGGCTACGACCCCAAGAAGAAGCAGTTACTCCAGGAAATTGTCATTCAGGAGGACCTGGATCCGTTCGAAGCTTCTAAGGAAACTGCGGAGGAGTTCAAGCGCGAACACGGTGAAAAGGCGGAGATTTTCGAATTGCCGGAGTCCGGCGAATTCACTGTGCGTCTCAAGAAGGGAGCCACTCTCCTAATCCCGAAGGCCCTCCAGTTCGATCGCCTGGTTGCCGGTCAAATCCCTACTGGTTGGGATGCCAAGAGATACGGAATTCCTGATGATATCATTGAACAAGTTGATCCAGTCACTCTGTTTGTTCTTGTCTGCACTGCTGAGTCAATGCTTTCAGCTGGTATCACCGATCCTTATGAGTTCTACAAATATGTTCACTTATCCGAAGTGGGTAACTGTATTGGTTCTGGTATCGGAGGCACCCACGCACTGCGAGGAATGTATAAGGACCGCTATCTGGACAAGCCCCTTCAGAAGGATATCCTGCAGGAGTCCTTTATCAACACAATGAGTGCCTGGGTCAACATGTTACTCCTGTCCTCTACAGGCCCAATCAAGACACCGGTGGGTGCTTGCGCCACGGCAGTCGAATCCGTTGACATTGGTTATGAGACGATCGTGGAAGGAAAGGCCCGCGTCTGCTTTGTTGGAGGATTTGATGACTTCCAGGAAGAAGGGTCATATGAGTTTGCCAACATGAAGGCTACCAGCAATGCTGAAGATGAGTTTGCCCACGGTCGCACCCCACAAGAAATGTCACGACCCACAACTACCACTCGTGCTGGGTTCATGGAGTCCCAGGGCTGCGGTATGCAGCTCATTATGAGCGCCCAGCTTGCGCTGGATATGGGCGTACCCATCTACGGTATCATTGCGCTGACGACCACGGCTACCGACAAGATTGGCCGGTCCGTTCCCGCCCCCGGACAAGGAGTTCTCACTACGGCACGAGAGAACCCTGGCAAGTTCCCATCTCCATTGTTAGACATCAAGTACCGTCGCAGGCAGCTTGATCTACGCAAGAAGCAGATCAAGGAATGGCAGGAGTCTGAGCTACTGTACCTTCAGGAAGAAGTCGAGGCTATGCAAGCCCAAGCCTCGGAATCCTTCGACATCTCTGGTTACATGCAAGAGCGGGCTCAGCACATCGAACGCGAGGCTGTTCGACAGGAGAGGGATGCACAATTTAGCTTTGGAAACAACTTCTGGAAACAAGATTCTCGCATTGCTCCTCTTCGTGGTGCTCTCGCTACTTGGGGTCTTACCGTCGATGACATTGGCGTTGCTTCCTTCCACGGCACCTCTACAGTTGCCAACGACAAGAACGAATCCGACGTCATTTGCCAGCAGATGAAGCACTTGGGCCGTAAGAAAGGCAACGCCCTTTTGGGAATTTTCCAAAAGTATCTCACTGGACACCCCAAGGGTGCTGCTGGCGCCTGGATGTTCAACGGTTGTCTACAGGTTCTTGAGAGCGGATTGGTTCCCGGTAACCGAAACGCGGATAATGTAGACAAGGTGATGGAGAAGTTCGATTACATTGTGTACCCGAGCCGCAGCATCCAGACGGATGGCATCAAAGCCTTCTCTGTCACGTCGTTCGGTTTCGGCCAAAAGGGTGCACAGGTCATTGGTATCCATCCTAAATACCTCTTCGCTACGCTGGACCGGGCTCAGTACCAGGCCTACAAGGCAAAGGTAGAGGCCAGACAAAAGAAGGCATATCGCTTCTTCCACAATGGCCTGATCAACAATAGCATCTTCGTCGCTAAAGACAAAGCTCCATACGAAGATGACCTCCAAAGCAAGGTCTTCCTTAACCCTGATTATCGCGTGGCTATCGATAAGAAGACCTCGCAGCTCAAGTTTCCTGCTCAGCCACCAAAGGCCAGCGACAAAGGTTCCGAGAGCACAAGGATAATGGTTGAGTCGCTCGCGAAGGCTAATGCTTCTGACGACTCAAAGATCGGCGTCGACGTTGAGAACATTGAAAGTTTCAACATCGAGAACGAGACCTTCATTGAACGGAACTTCACCGCAAGCGAACAAGAGTATTGTCAAAAGGCCGCGTCTCCTCGGTCATCCTTTGCGGGACGCTGGAGTGCCAAGGAGGCAGTTTTCAAGTCCTTGGGCGTTAGCAGCAAGGGCGCAGGTGCTCCACTGAAGGACATTGAGATTTCATGCGATCCAACCGGGGCGCCCGTTGTTAACGTAAGTTCTCTCACATTGCTATTTGAATGACTGTTAGTACTGACATGCCATGCAGCTCCACGGTGCTGCAGCTGAAGCCGCCAAGCAGGCTGGTGTCAAGCAAGTCAGCGTCAGCATCAGCCACAGTGATACCCAGGCAGTCGCCGTCGCCGTCTCGAAGTTTTAATGCGCTGATGAGGGATAACGCCTGGATCTCTGTTCATGTAGCTTGAGTGTAATCTATCATTTCTCTTCCTTAATCTTAGACAGCATTATATTGTCAATACAACAGGTGTGTTGTTCCAATGCTTCCGGTCCCTCAACCGTCCTTGTGTCTGCCCTTCACGCCGCTTCGAGAGGCCTAAAATTTATGTAACACCCGGCTCAATGCTCTTAGTGTCTTGCACATCGATCACTCGGAATTGTACCGCAGGCTTCTAATGAACTCTGGCTGTGAAGAGCCTTGGGGAGAAAGAGGGAGGGGGGGGAGGGGGTCATTTGTCTAAGGGTTGATTTAAGCGTCCGTAGATCTGACATACTGTTTAGTATGAACCAGCGTACAGGTAGCCTCCCGTGTCACTCCCATAGCACTACGGGACGGTGAGCTTAAACCGGAAACCATAATAGGCTACCAATTACAGTGTAAACTGGAACTGCTAGGCGATCGTGAGCCGCAAGTCCTGGCACACCTGGATTTATAGTGCATTAGCAGAGGTCTAATATGCAGTGTCTCTATTGAATTTTCTAGTGGACTAAACAAATCCACGATTACCTGCCTCCGGATGCTCGGCTTAAAGGACCCCAATTCTCGCGAGGATTGATTTGATACCGCACTAGCCGCTTTTTGGTCGTTTCCTTGCCCAAAGCCTCATCAAAAACAACCTCGAGCGTGCTGGGATGAGGTCTGTGGGCAACCTTAGGGCTGTGGAAAGGCTTTGTATCTTGAGCAACCTTCTGCATTCCAGGTTGATTGAGCTGGGGACCCGGTACGGTCTTCTCCCATAACGCTTCACGGGCACCGGAGCGATATAACGCAGCCTCAATTTTGGTAACCATGTCCTTAACGTCCTTTGCCCCCACGGTCGCAGCCTCAATTTCCGATTTGAAAAGAGCTAGGGACGGATCTTCTTCCCCACGTCCTTGAATGTTCTCTCGGCACTTGGACATAATGACGGCTCCAGGGCTCCCGGGCTTCAGGACACCTTCTTTGATGGGGGACTTCTGCCTCACCCATTCCCTCATGACCTCCCAGATCACCTCCCAAGGAGCATCCGTACGAATTGTGTTCGGCCTCGCATGACTGCGAGTCGACCGATAGCCTAGGTGTCGAAGAGCCCCCCGCATGGAGTCAATAGAGACTGTTGATGTATGCAAGACTTTGGACAGGGCGCTGAGGCTGAAATAGAAAGGGTACTCATCCCGGACGGCCGGATCTAGCCGCGGGATAATGGCAGAAGGATCACCAAGTGGGACATCCCCACCAGCTGCGCCGGTAGGCTCCTGGTCCACATCATTGCCAGAACCTTCTAGGGTTATATCTTCCTCTAATGCAGTGGTCAACATGCCTTCAATCCTGTCGATGGTTTGGTACACCTTTCTATCTGCCTGGGGGAGCATATCAAGGACCTTTCGGATGAAGTGAGCATTATGAAGGGGACCAGCCCACATAGGGCCACTCAGGTGGGTCTTAGAACCGCAATGGGCACAGCGACTGTCTGCTGCTGGCCCCTGAGCAAAGCCGAAATGGTAGAAAGGGTCACCCTTCTTGTCCAGCTTCTGTTTTGTCTGCGTCAAAGGCTGAGTCGACCATGCTCCACAGCCAGAATCGCAATTATAGACCATCATCATATTACCGGAAGAAAACTTGACTTCAGCTGGGGAGCGATGGACACGAACAAACACTCGGGCATAGAAATCGATTGATAAAGAGAGGAGTGGCTCAATTGCAAGGCCATATTTCGCCGCAGATGATGCAAGCCCGTGTAGTATAAGACGCAGCCCACCTTCATGGCAATGCGGTCCTTTGATGGGAACTCCGCCATACAAAGCAAAAGCTTTCTCGGGATACCCATACGAGGCCCAGACACCGGCATCGGTACAGGTCACACAAAGGAGGCCACCATCCTTGACTCCTTGGACCGCAGCGTCCATGAATGGTGCAGCAGTGCCATAGGGGTCCAGATCGATCACATCGAACTTCCCTGTATGCGGTTCGGCAGTTGGAGTGGTTCCCTGATTCTGGAGGCTGTACATGTAAGCGCGCGCATCCCCCGTATTGGGTCGGATTTGATCGCCAAGGCTATTGTATTTGATGTTCAACTTCATGGACTGTATTGCCGAGGGTGACAAGTCATTGGCCACAACGTAGGAAGCGAAAGGGATCTCCGATGCATACCGCAGCGCACGAAGACCCGTGGCAGATAGCGCGTCTAGGATGGTAAAAGACGGCGCTGCGTCCTGCTCGGCATGCTGTGCGGGGGCCTGGGAGCACCTGCTCTTTGCTGTGGCCTCATCTTCCTGGGTTGGTTCTTTGCCATGCTCCTCCTCCCGCTTGCGCTTCTTGCCTTTCGCTGAACAACTTTCTGTCGCCTTTTGCTTCTTTCGTTCGGCCTTCTGTTTCTTCAGGGCTAGCAGATGCTCCCCATATGCGCGGATTGCAAGGACACTAAGGTCGCGGTTGAACTGCTGGATAGGGTTGTAGAAGACTGATTGGCATTGGTCGTCAGCTTTGAGATCCTTCTTCGTGGCCTTTGAGGCGGCATCTTGAGCAGGGGGGTTCAGAATGTACGCCAACCCTTCCTTCACTGCTCTGTATTCTGTGCCGTCGTACTGTATCAATTGCTCAGACATGTCCGTGGCCGGGGATGGGGTAGTAGATAAGCGGCGGAGTGGTGGGCGATCGAAGATGGGGGTGCAGCGGGCAATCGCGCGATGGTGGATGGTTTGAGAGTGGATGAAGAGGGCACGGCAAGGGGCACACAGGCGTGAGTTCATCGACCCAGTCTTGAGTGAAGACAGTGGTTAACTTGAATCGGGTGTGGGGGAGGGAAATACCGCAAGAGTTCATCTCTGGCTTGTCGGAAACTTTTTTTACTTTTCCAACCCCCGAAAGCACGGACCATGTCGGATCGGCACTATCATTCATTACGCATGTATCCTTGCTAGTCTTATTGTACAATCAGGTCGGCCGTGATTTGCACCGGTGCATTAACCGGTCAGAGCCAGCTCCCAATAAAAGGGACCTGGCTATATATCTCATTCCACCCACTGGCCTCCCAGCCATAGCCCTGCCCGGCCCGCCCTATCATTCCGAGGGCGCCTGCCAGCCAGATTGATGCGCCCACCGCGGCGATCCCGTTGACAGTCCACCACATCTTTTTCTGTCGGCGGACTCGCTGCTCGCTTTCTGAGTAACCCAGATAACCCTCCAGCGAGCCTTTCTTTCGGCCCCGTTCCTTCCGGACCGTCGTCACTCTCCAGCCCATCCAGGAGGCCCACCCCCCAACGAAGTGCCACACTCCGACAGCGACGAATAGCATGTAATAAAGGTTCCAAATGACGGGGGCCCGTGAAAATCCATGAGCCACATAACCCAGACTGACTCCTGAGCTTCCCCCATCAACCATCAGCGGGGTGATGCGGTTGACAAGGACATGTGCACCCAGTAGTGGGACGAGGGAATATCCTAACCGGGCCTGCAAGCTCATCCGAGGCCAAAATTTCAGAGAGGATCTTTGTGACCTCGTCTCGGCGCCGTAAAGTCGCGCCCGCCTTGCAGCGCGAATATTGCGCAGGGCGACTCCGGACGCGATATGGATCAGAACAGGAACAGTCAGGACTAGGTGTTCGAGTGACGGAGACTGGTAGATTGGTCTTGTGAGCAGTAGAAAATTTTCGCTCTCAGGAACAGATCGAGTCGCGAGAGGAATGAGGGAGGTGTTGGCCCAATGCAATGCAAGGAACAGGCTGGGTGGATAGGTCGAGTAGCGTTGGAAAGCAGACACTGAGGAAGACGCGAGAATCACCGTTAGCCACTCTGAAGAGATATTCTTTCCATGTTGATGATATATAGGGATATATTTAGCCGTACACCAGGAATCCCAGCTGTGCCCGCGCAGACCTAACTTGAGCGACGAAAACCATCCCCCGGCCGTAAGCTGGGGTGTCGCCGGAGGGCTCCGTTCGTTGGGGAAGTATTCACCAGATTCAAGGCCTGAAAACTCATCATCCACCGGTGACGGGTCCAGTTCCTGCATGGAGAATATGGAGCGTGTGTCGATGTCATCCGGCCTGTGTGTCATGCTTTCTTTAGAGGCTGCCATGGCGCGACAACGGCACCAGACTGCTGAAGTCTACAAGGTACTCCGTACTATGGGTGTATTCGGTACCAGGAACCAATTCCCCCGATTAAAAGAAGCAGTTGCGATGGGTTCTTCGGATTAGCACATGATCACTGACCAGCGGGGACGGGTCAAGATTCCGGGGTGTTTTCCTTGGAAGCCAATATCATTTAGTAGTAGTATTGATCAATCGATACTTCAGGTTTAGTCCTGCTAAGCGATGATGATCTACCGCATTCGAGCGCTGATGATTGGCCTAGCACTTGCAGACGCGGTATGGTACCGTAGCTGTATTAACATTACCTGACATAGCCCGACTTGTGAAGCATCTCTAGGGCGGTAGGTTTCCACTGGCAGAAAGTAAACCTTAACTACTAGTCCGCCAAGGGAAACGTCTCGAGTGCAAGTCATAACCACTGACTCAAATCATCATTATTGCCCAGCGCGCAAGCGGCAGACTCTGGTCCCGTGCAAAATCTTCGTGTGCGCTGTCACTGACCCTTCAAAGCGCCACCTGCGCGCTCTTCCACCTAACGATGGCGCCTGCAAGTGCCCGCCTTCTGAATCCCTTTGAGCTAAATATCTAGTGACTAATCCTTGGCTGACCGACGGGTGCATACACATAGCGAGGCTTCACCAACCCTACTCCCAAGGTGCGATTCGATGCTTACAACAGATGAACATCTTTGTGCTAATGCAGGGTCATCTGCTCCCGACTAGACCGAATCTGCGCGTTCCGCTCTGAGCTCTTTCACCTGCACTCTGTGCAACAAGTCCTATTCTCGCCATCCAGAATACGAAGCTCATATTTCGTCTTATGATCACCAGCATCGCAAGCGTTTGCAAGATCTCAAACAATTGTCACGAGATCCAAATGCCGCAGAGAAGGCCAGGCGAGCAGAAAGGAAAGCTGACGCAGAGGCCGGACTAAGGGTACTCGATCCTTTTAAAGCCGTCGCAACATCGACAGCCGGGACTGGACCTGGAGTTGGTGTTGGTGCTGGAGGTGGAGGAGGATTTAAGAAAGGGGGATTCAAAAGCTCCTTTACCACCGTCAAAGGACCCGTGGCCCCAGCTGCACCCACGAAGAAAAACGTCCTAGGTGGTGACGATGAAGACAATGATGTCGCAGAAGCAGATGATGCGAGCCTGCATAGTCGAAGCCAACCCACCAGACACGAAAGGGCTCAGCTTGATCAGGCAGAGAGCGATACTGACGAGGAATATGACCAAGATGTAATAGGCGGGGGATATTACAGTCCTCGTAATCCCACTGGTTGCTCTCCAGGGTGTGCTGGAGCCAGCAATGTCCAATTGGGAACTTCTACTGTTTAACAAACGGTTGTTCCGACCCCATGAGCTCCGCATTTCAAATAGCCGATAAAGTTTTGCTCTTATTGAGTCTTGGTCGAATGGTACCGACAACAAAATTTCTACCTGGCTCGATACAAGTTCACCCACGGGCTATTCGGTGGGATCCCAGAAGTCAAGAACAGGGCTATCAGGCAAACGCGATTATGAAGTTATCTTACGGAATACATGGTTACGACAAGACATTTGGCTTCTAAGATGCGGATTGATGTTGATTGCGTTGTATAGTCGTACAAATTCCAGGAAATCGGGTGGTTAGGGAGAATGGGAGAAGAGGAGGCAATGGCTGCGACAATAAGAGGGTACTAGACAGATGGTTTTATTACTTCAGATTTTCTCAGACGCCGTCGGTTGATGTACAGCGACCCACTTCACAGCCGCAGCAGCTTGGCAGCCTGGCTGACAATGGTGTCCTCCTGGGGGAAGCTCATTTGCTCAAGGCCGGCGGCGTAAGGGGTAGGCACCTCAGCGCCAGTCACACGGACCGCAGGAGCAGTCAGGTAGTCAAAGCCGTACTCCATAGACAGAGCAAGAATTTCGGAGGAGACACCGAACATGGGGAATCCAGACTCGACGCACATGAGACGGCCAGTCTTCTTGAGCGACTGGATGATGGTCTCCACGTCAAGGGGCTTAACGGACCGCAGGTTGATCACCTCCGCGTCGACACCGTACTTCTGCTTAAGCTCGGCAGCAGCATTGAGCGACTGTCCAACACAGCGGGAAAGGGTAACAATAGTCAAATCCTTGCCGGGGCGTTCAATCTTGGCCTTGCCAATAGGGAGGACGAAATCGCTCTTCTGAGCAGCCTCGCTCATCGGGAAGGCCTGGCCGTACAACAGCCTATAGGCATTGTCAGACTCGATTTCTGCAGATGTTGTGGTTCTTACGGAACACCTACTCGTTCTCCAGGACGACGACGGGGTTGGGGTCACGGATGGCAGCCTTCAACAGACCCTTGGCATCCTCAGCGCTCCAAGGCGCAACAACCTTCAATCCAGGGATGCTACCGTACCAAGCGGAATAGTCCTGGGAGTGCTGGGCGGCAACACCGGCGGCGAATCCGTTCGGTCCGCGAAAAGTGATGTTGCAGGGCTGGATTCCACCAGACATATAGTGCGTCTTGGCAGCGGAGTTGATGATCTGATCGATAGCCTGCATGGCAAAGTTGAAGGTCATGAACTCGCACTAGGATATCGAGGGATCATTAGTATACCACATGTTTGTCTAGTGAACGTAAAATAGCCAATGCTGGCGAAGCGGGGAACTCACAATGGGGTGCAGTCCAGCAAGAGCAGCACCGACGGCGAGACCACAAAAACCGGCCTCCGTGATGGGGGTATCAATGACCCGCTTGGGACCAAAGCGGTCCAACAGACCTCTCGTCACCTTGTACCTATACAAAGAGAACTTGTTCAGAGATGCGATCCAATGACAACTGCCAATCCACGGGGAACGGGGTGGCATACGCTCCGTTGTACTGCGCAACCTCCTCTCCCAAGATGAAAGTTTTCTTGTTGCCCTCCAGCTCCTCGGCGAGCGCCTCGTTCAGTGCATCACGGACCGTAACCTCCTTGGTACCGGTCTCGGTAGCATACCCTCGGAAACGCAGAATTGAGGGTGCGCATGCGGTCTGGGAGAAAGCAGGGCGAAGAGGCGCCGAAGAAAGGCGTGAAGAAAGCAGGCGAGCTGCCGGGCGGAAAAGTCGGGGAGCAGCCATGGTCGAACTGGGGGGTATAAAAAGCAGGAGAAGGGAACGAGAAGATCTTCACGGAACTACCAGACGGTTGGCAATTGAAGTCAATGGAGAACGGACAGCCGAAAGGGCCTCGTAACACTTCCGGGTCGGGGAATCTTTTTCGTCGACGCGGTTCGGGGAAGTTGGTTTTTGGTGAGAGCTTCGAAGGGACTGTTGGGCTAAGCGCTGACTAAGCCCGTCGCGGTTTCCTCACGTTCTCACCGGGCGACTTCTTCCGTAGTCTCCGTTCCCTCCTGGCTTCCCTCTCCGGGACAGCCGATAAGCCGTCTCCTATCGAGAGATAAGCTCCGGAGTACTGTATGTGCTCTGTCGGTCAGCAAAGGCTCGAATCACTTTTCTCCCTCTGCCAGCTGCTGTGCGTCGCTCTTTTTTGATCATTATCCATTCCTACCTTATCTACGGAGTACTCCGTATTTGCTATCGTTCTATACTATCCCATAGGGGAGCGTGGCCATGTTCCGTAGCTATTTGCTATCCTCGGCGTCCGTGTCCCTCCTCTTTGCCTCCTTGTCCTCGTCCGTCCGAGCTATACAGCCATCCGCCCCCGACCCCGTTGCGGCGCCATTGCGCGATCTGAAATGGGGACAGATCAATTTCCTACACACCACGGACACCCATGGATGGTTAGCTGGTCATCTGCAAGAGTATGGCGCTGAAGTCTTCTTTGAGGCCGTTTCCAGGCCTTACTGATTTGCGTCCACTATAGACCCTCGTACTCGGCTGACTGGGGTGACTATGTCTCCTTTGCCTCCCGCATGCGCGAGAAGGCAGAGTCCGTGGGCTCGGATTTACTGGTGATTGATACCGGTGACAGAGTGGAAGGAAATGGGCTCTACGACTCTTCGGAACCTAAGGGCATCTATGTCTCCGAGATCTTGCGAGAGCAACACATTGACCTGATCTCGTCGGGCAATCATGAACTTTATAAGCAGTCAACGTCAGAAGCCGAGTTTTACACCACGGTGGCCAATTTTCGTGATAACTATCTAGCATCGAACATCGATATCTTCCACCCGGTTCTCAAGGTGTTTGTACCATTGGCACCTCGCTTCAAGAAGTTTACCACCAAGCAACAGGGCATACGCATTATGGCTTTTGGGTTTCTTTTCAACTTTAACAAGAACAACAATAACACTGTTGTCCGGTCTGTGCAGAAGACAATCAAGGAGGAATGGTTCCAGGATGCTATTAGGGACAAAGGCGTGGACCTATTCGTGGTGATTGGGCATGCCCCGGTACGCTCCATTGAATTTCATGACATATTTTGGGAAATAAGGTCTATCCGTTGGGATACACCAATCCAGTTCTTTGGTGGCCATCACCACATCCGAGACTACGTTCATTTTGATTCCAAGGCCTACGGTCTGGCCAGCGGCCGGTTCATGGAAACCATTGGGTTCATGTCAATTAACGGCGTTTCTAATGCCACTCACCGCATACCGCCCATTTTAGCAGCTCCACATTTCAACCGGAAGTACATCGATAATAATCTCCTGTCTTTTTATCATCATACAGGCCTCAATGAGGAAACCTTCCCTACAGAGCATGGAACAAATGTATCCCTGCTTATTCAAGATTCCCGAAGCGCTCTTCAGCTGGATGAGGTGCTCGGCTGTGCCCCCCGAGATCTCTGGATGTCCCGGGTCAAGTATCCGGCCGATGACAGTATTTATACCTGGCTGGAGAAGGAAGTGCTACCCGTATCGCTGGGAGACGATTCTCGTGCTGGGAAGCCAGCCCTTGCTATAGTCAACACTGGTGCTATTCGCTTTGATATATTCAAGGGCCCCTTTACCCAGGATACTACATACATTGTTTCTCCGTTCACGAGCGGTTTCCGTTACGTGAAAGATATCCCGTACAAAAAGGCCAGTTTTGTCGGTGAGGTGCTAAACAAGCTGCCCGGAATCTTGATTCAAAACCATCAACTAGACTTTCCAGCCTGGCGGCTTGCCCCTCCCGAGCAGTCGGCGTATACCGATGATATTTCTGGCGACATTGGCGGTCGATCACGCGCCGGCTTCCTTGCCAATCAAGCCACATTCCTGAGTAGTGGCTTTGACGAGCCCGATCTGATACCCGGATACACTACCAAAGACGATGCAGGCACCGATGGCGATGACACTATCCACTCGCGCATCCCCTTTTACCGTGTGCCAAATTGTATTCAGGCATTGGCTCCTTCGGATCCAAACTCAACGCCGGAAACAGTGGACCTCGTCTATGTCGATTTCATAGAATCCGACGTGGCTATGGCGGCCACCTTCGCGGGACTACATGTTGATTTCTCGCGCGACAGTGACGTTTATATGCCGTCTACAACGCTAACGACTTTAATATCGGACTGGGTGAAGAAAAATTGGCCTTGTAACGAAGGATGAGCCCCCCACTCAAATTGCCTCTCACTTTGTTATTGGTACAATTATGTGGATCGCCTGATGGGGGCCACTGGGCTCGAGTCTTTTTCTAGACGAATTGTTTGGTCTCTCGCGCACTGCAGATGGAGCTGGTCGAAGTTTAGATAGATGCTAAGTTGTTCCTTCAAATGGCGAGGAGTATTATAGGCAAAAAGGTAATAGCTAGTCATCAACCAAGGTTTTAATAGTCTTTCTGGGAGTGTTCTGTACAGGCGTGGACTTCTCGAAACGTATGAACCGGAAGTCTAGTCTCAAGCCCGTTCAATCCTGGCTCTCGTACTTCAGCAGGCCCTTGCCGCCCCGGTAACCGCTAAGGGTTTCCTGCACACCGGCTACAAGCTCCGAGCCATCCGTATCCCAGCTCCATTTCAGCTCCTCGACGGGAATATCCTTGAATCTACCAGACCGTGTCAACTGCAATACATCATTGATGGTATTCTCCTTGAGTTGTGGATTCTTATCCCCCCACTTGCTAACCCAGAAGCCATCGAAGACGAGGTTCTTGAAGATCAACAGTCCTGACGGCAAGGAAACCGGCTGCTTCGACATGGCGCCGTAGGTGACCAGATGCGAGCCCGGTGCAAGTGTTTTGGCCAGTGCTGTGGCACTCTTCCCGCCCACACAATTCAAAGCCAGTCGAATGGGCTCCTTCCCTTTGCGCGTGAGCTCATGCACAGTGCTTCTGAATTCGCCCGATAGCAACTCGGCCTCCGTAACCACCGCGGTTGCACCTAAATCTCGGAGTTCCCTCTTCAGAGCTTCCGTCTCTTCCGAAGTCTTCCGTTCCCGAACAACATTGATTGTCTTGATACCCCACTCCCGCGCAAGTTGGATAGTAGCGCGTCCAACACCACTGTTTGCCCCGTTCTGGATCAACCACTCCTCTCCTGCACGCATCCAGTCCCAGTTGCAGAAGTCTTTAATCATGCGGTAAGCCGTTACTGGATTGACGCTAACAGTGCTGATCTGAAGCGGGGTCAGCCCCTCTTTGTTCTCAATCTTAATCAACTGTGACTCGTCCATCTGAGCGTGCGTGCGCCAGGTGCCCTGCCCAGTCTGCTTCATGACAACCCAGTCACCCTTGCTGAGATTTTTAGCGCCAGAGCCCGTGGCAATGACTTCAAAAGCGCCTTCATTTCCGGCGACAGCGGATGGTTCCCGTGTGCCGAGAGTCGTTTGAAAGGGTGGCTTGCTCGGGTATACGCCCTGAATCTGGTTCACATCGGCGGGATTTAGGGGCGCAGCAAGAAGGCGAAGATTGACCTGAGTGCCATGAGGGGGGGAAATGGAGTGCTTGTGAAGCCTGTATATCCGTTAGATCTTTCATCCAATGTGTCATAGCCAGCACGCGGAGGGTGAGAATTTGACGCAGTCAAGACACTTACTGCAGAACGTCTTTCGGCTCTCCGTACCGTGAGTAGACAAGCGCCTTGGACTGTGTATAGCCGTAGACTGAAATCCACCTTCTACACCCATTTAGAGTACGATGAGATGCTCCTCGCCCATGTTGCTTGCTTGCTGAGACCAACCGCGACGCAGTATCAGTCTTGCAAAAGGACGGGGCGTAACCCCCAGGGTTCCCAATCACGGACCGGATCAGGCTACAAGAGAACATCGTGGCCGCTAAGAGGTGAGCTAATCAATGATACTGGTGGATAGGGGGAGGGAGACGAGGCCTAACGATTGTTGCGTCGCGAGGAAATTCCTGATGACGTCGTTCCTCCAGCCCTCGGACCGACGGAGGTAAAGGTGCCGACTCGGGTATGCATTTGGCCGTTCAGCAATGACCGGAGTGAAGGGCTGTCACCGGAAATTTACGGGCATTGGAAGAAACATACAGTACCCTATAACGCACTCCAAATCCCCCCTGGTGAACTCGGCTCAAAATTACCCAAGACCTCTACTTCGTAGCTCTCCAGAAGCTCCAGAGGATTGGTCTGGTATCATATGGCCTGGTACGGTAAGGTACTGACAGGTTGCGGCCTGTACACTGACCGCCCTTGTCCCTCTCACCGCCCGCGGAGATCCGCCGCATGCCAATCATTGCGATCAATCAATAAACGATCGCGGATGGTTTAGACGGCTTCCATTGTCTACCTTTAACAATTTATTGAACCGTCATAGGTCTCAATGTCCCTACTGCGCGAAGCAGAGAGATGTTTCGCTAATCAGGGCTCTCATGCGGCCCTCAATGCCCTCATTACCACCCTACATCAGTCAGGGCAATGGTTGGAACGAGTGAAAGATGCGGATGCGCGGCGCACCCGGGGTAAGCATAGCGGCTGTGTTGAGAGGATTCCCAACCTATCCGGAGCTGACCAGCTCATCTCTCTGAACAGGTACACCTAAATCTAAGGTGGATGGTCGATTGATCGCCTTCAAAGACAACATATGCACGCGGGACCTCCCAACTACATGTGCTTCAAACACCCTAGACAAATTTATCAGTCCGTTCAATGCGACAGTGGTTCAGCAACTGCAGGATGCAGGAGCTCTCATTGCTGGAAAAGCCAACCTGGATGAATTTGGGATGGGCTCCCATTCTATTCACTCGAAGTTTGGGCCCGTTAGAAGCTTGCGCTGTGATCACGATGCAGAGAGTCTTTCAGCCGGTGGTAGCTCTGGCGGAAGTGCGGTTGCGGTTGCTACAGCCCAATGTTATGCGTATGTAGCTCTTCAGGCCAATTTTGGTTCATGTTATGGGCAACAATCTAGCTTAAAGTCGCTGAAACACTTACAGGTCGTTGGGGACTGATACAGGCGGTTCAGTGCGACTTCCCGCCGCCTATACCGGAACGGTTGGCTTCAAGCCCTCTTACGGCCTGGTCTCCCGCTGGGGTGTGGTTGCATATGCTAACTCATTGGACACGGTCGGAGTCTTGGGAAGCGACGTGTCCAGCGTCCGCAATGTCTTCGGTATACCCCTATATTTACCATTCAGCCCTTATTTTCCTACCTTTTGATTCGCTAATATGCGTTCACACAGACATTGTGAACCAGCATGATCCTCGCGACCCGACCAATCTTTCTCCTTCTAGTCGGTCGCGCATCGACTCACATCTGAGAATGCCCGCTCTGGCATCTCGGGTCACTTCTTCCCTCAAGATTGGCATTCCCCTTGAGTACAACATATCCGAACTGGCCCCTTCTTCGCGCCGCGCGTGGTCTCGCTCTCTAGCCTATTTGCGGCAACAGGGCCATACTCTTCACACGGTTTCCCTTCCCACAACCAAACTTGCCTTGTCTGCGTATTATGTACTCGCACCTGCTGAGGCATCCTCGAATCTAGCAAAGTATGATGGCGTCAGGTACGGGAATCGCCCTGAAGGTCCCGATAATATCACTTCAACAGAAGGTTGTCTATATGCGAACACACGAGGAGAAGGATTCGGTTCCGAAGTCAAGAGACGCATTCTGCTCGGGGCATTTAGCCTAAGCGCTGATTCTATGGATAATTACTTTATCCAGGCGCAGCGGATTCGCCGCCTTGTTCAGCACGATTTCAATGCCGTGTTCAGAGCATGCCAACCACTCAATTCTCCGGGGCTAGGAAAGAATTTAGATTCCGGCGAAGCTGGAGTAGACGTTCTTGTTTGCCCAACTGCGCCGTCGCCGCCACCACGTATCTCAAGCCTTATGGGTCACGGTGCAACAACTTCATCCCTGGAAGCATATGTGAACGATATTTTTACTGTGCCTGCCAGTTTGGCTGGCCTTCCAGCCATATCCGTTCCGGTCACCACGGGTAGTGCTAAAAATTCTGAAGATAGTGACTTGGCTGGAATCCAAGTCATTGGCCAATACGGTGATGATGGGCTTGTGTTGAAGGTCGCGGAACTGCTCGAGGGTAAACATCTATAGAGTTATCTTCAACATGCATGGAAACCCGAAACATGATTGTTGAAACGCATGTTAAATCAATACAAGTATCATGTACCATTACTTTAAACACGCTCACGGCTCGAGAAGAAATCAGATCAGATCCTGACTGTAAAAAAGTATAATGAAGACTGGCACGTTCTGTAGAGTTGTAGGGAGGATTTCATGCCAAAGGATATCTACTGGTCATGTTTACACTACCACGAGATGTCGCAGCATGACCCTCGAGGGCGAAGGATCAAGGGCCCTGTCAAGCGAACATAGAGCGAGATTTCGACGGCACGGCAGTCAAGACATTTCAACATCCACATCGCCAGTTGCCGCCTCGGGCATAGCAGCCTGGGGCGCTTCTACTACAGGTGTGCCTGCTGCATCGGCGCCCATGGCGTCCTCAAACGTGGTGTGGCCTGGATCTAGGTCCATGACACTCGCTGTTTCGTTACCAGTAGGATTAACAGTAGCCGCACTCTGAATCTCTGAAACCGGAGCCATGGCAGACTCATAAGCCGCACTGACACCACCTTTCAACACCTCAGAGCCACCAACTGCCCCAGTACCAGAACCATCAAGCTCCGCATTGTTGACAATGTTGCCGTCTACTCCGCCCCAGACACACATCGCTTCAACCTCATCGACAATGTCAGCAACAACATCCTCAACAATTTGCTCATTGAAGCGTTCGCCTATCCCCCGGACTGGCTCGCCATTCTCCGCATGAGAAGGTGGGCCCACCCACCATGGCCCTTCAAAGCGGCATTCAACAGCACCTCCGCCATAGCAACTGACAGCAGGGTAATAACCGATCATCCCGTCATCTGCATTCTCGCGCTCACCAATGCCCAAGTTATTTGTGCCATTGGCAAGCCGGCTAGCCGGGGGTAAAAATGCATACAATTCCTTGAAGGGGGTCCCCATCTTGACACCGTTCTTATATATCGTGATATTTGAGCCGGGCAAGGTCCGCAAAGATGCATCCTCGCCGTTAAAAGGGGATGGCGGTCCAAAAGTAGGCGTCTCTTTGAGATTGAACGCATAATCGCGCAGCTGTTTCGTTGAAAATACATTTGATTGTTGCCAGCAAAAATCAGACTTGTAGTGGAAAGGAATGCGATCACGGACTATATTCGGAGCCGAAAAGACTTCTGAGCTCGGTGTTGAAGCATCGCCGTCTGTATTCGGGTCATATGTTCCCTCAACGACTCTTTTGTGGAGCGACAATGACGGGAGGGTAATGAGGAGACCGATAACATCACCCTCGCGAATAGATTCGCCTTTGGGGAAAAAATATTCGCAACGCATTCGATTGACGACCTCGCCATTCACGTCACGAATACCATATCCATAACAGTCAACGCCAACATTGACATCGAGGTCTGCCTCCCTCCGTGCAAATCCAAGGCGTACATGGCCTCTAGAAGGCAGGCACGTATTGCCATTGGAAGAGGCCGCCAGTGTGCTATTCGTAACCCCACTAACAATACGCGCCTCGTAGTAATAGGATCCTTCACGAGCGCAGACGTTGGCACGTGCAGTGTGCCAGGGCTCATTAGAAGTGACAGCAAGAGCATCCCTACTGAAAAATATAGCGGCTGGAGAGTCTTCAAAGCTAAAACGAGCGTGGTAGGGGTAAACGTCAGTCTGGCGGTACTTGATATGGGGGAAGCCCGGGTCAGCTATGGCATAGCTATAGCGGAATCCATTTTTATTTGTGAGTTTGTCGACAATTTCGAAGAAGTCCCAACTCTGGCCCATAGCCTCCGACTCTTTCCGATTCACAAAGTTCAACTGACGAGGCTGTGGAGGTAATAGATCGGATGCTCGAGGCTCAGCAAGCAATAATGGCCGTAGTATGCTGAGTTCTGAGCTTGGAAGCGCGGCGTTCTGGACAGCAACCGTCCTCTTCTTGGGTGGCATATTTTCCTGATCCAGCCCCTTGGCCTCGCGCTTTTTGCGGCTATCACGTTTCGTGCGTTTTGACTTCGGCCCATCAGCTTGCGTCAGGGCATGACTAGCCGGCACAGGAGAGGACCTTGCATTAGTGTCTGGTATAGAACCGGCGAAAAAAGAGGTACCTCCGGGAGGCAAGATTGGAGAATTCAGGTTAGATGAGGGCGCAGAAGACCCAGTCGGCTGCGTGGAAGCCATTGCTAAAGCAGTCTCAATGTTCCGAGAATAAAAGCTACAGAAGATAATTCCGAACACAGCATCAAATTAGATGTTCTTCGAAATGAAGCCCCTTGTTGTGGGAGACTGATAGGATCCGCTGCTTGTTGCGCATATAATTCTCCCCCAGCCACGACACCGTAAGCCGACCTGCACCTATCTGTATCACAGGAGTTTCGTCCAACGGTCAGCGCTGGGACTAGTTTTACTTAGACCCTTGACGATCGATGAGCGGGGTATGGTAGTAAATATGAATGATAAACGTGGGTTGGAGATAACGCCTATGGAAATATATCACAAAGTCAGAATCAGATATGAAGTTAGGAACGGCGAGGCCCGCTCCATTTCCTCACGCGTGAAAACAATGCTCAAGAAAGATATCGAAGATACCAGGTGCATCATAAATTGAAGCATCATATAGTTGAATTGAAAACGCGCAACAACTTGGTGTAAGTGCCTTTTAACTTACCAAAAGAGCTGCTGTCAACACAGCTCGGACTAGTCAATAGCAGATGAGAAAGGCCCACGGGTGGCTTATAAAAGTCTGTGTAAAATCAGGGTCTCTTCAATCGGGCTCTTGGTGTAAGTTGACAATCTCATTCATCACATGTCTGTTGTTTATTCCTAACGCCCATGCGAAGAGCGGAAAGCAGTCTTGTCGGCGAATCAAGGCGGTCAGTCAGTGTAATGCCGGCAGGTATCGAAAGGGCCGTGGTTCCTCTGGACAGGAGGGGTAAAAGCGGTATAGACTGAACCAATGAAAGGGTTAAAATTAAGGCGGTGAAAAGGACTCCGCTTTTGCTGCGCAAAAAAAAAAGCCCAACAGAAAAGTTTGGGTCACATGATCTAGAAATTTACACACATTTTCCTGAGGTCGATACCCGAGGAGAGAGACGACCTTTGTTTTCAGTCGTTCATGCTGGTGACTACATGGAACAGACTCCAGTCACAATCTCCTAGTTGATACAATTCTCGGGTTATCATTATACCCACGTCCAAAGGGGGAACGTCACGATGCCCAAGGCAACATCCTCTCGCTCCGCTGCTGCCCGCCGGCATAATCCTCTAGCTGAGGATTATCTGACTGCCGGCCATCTGAGGACCCAATCGAGCAAAAAGTCCAGTCGGAAGCCTCACCGGGAAGAAGATCAAGAAGATGGAGAACGCTTCATTGATGCGAAAATGTCCCGGAAGATCTTGCAAATTGGACAGGAATTGGCTGAAGAAGATGCCGCAGAGCAACGGGCTGCAACAGGGGGAACGACAGACAAGATAAATTCAGCCTTCGATTTTGAATCTCGGTTGGAAGATGAGGAGGTTGTGTCGGACGACGAAAAATTCCAAGATGATCAATGGGACGATGAAGAGGAAATCGAGGAAGTGGTTTGTCACCGGCTTCTCGTTCAAAAAATTATCTGGAGGCTTACATACTGATATGTTTTGAATAGGAGGTCGATCCGGATGACCTTGATATGTTCCACAAGTTCGTTCCTGGGGGCGACGAAGACCCGATATTCAACCCTAGTGGACGGGATACTGAGGGTCAGACCACGAACCTTGCCGATCTTATCCTAGAAAAAATCGCAGAGCATGAAGCGAAGCAAGCTGGAGATGGCGCACCTTTCATTCAGGGTGGGGGGTTGCCGGAAGATGCTGTTCAGATACCAGCGAAAGCGGTGGAAGTATACGAAAAGTGAGTGTTCGGTTGCCCTACGCTCTAGTCGTGCAAGGCTAATTAATTTGGATAAGGGTTGGCATGATTCTTTCTCGCTACAAGTCTGGGCCTCTTCCCAAACCCTTTAAGATCCTGCCTTCTGTGCCCAATTGGCCCACTCTTCTAGATATCACACGGCCAGAGTCTTGGACAGCCAATGCTGTTTATGCCGGTACCAGGATCTTTATTTCATCGAAGCCAGCAGTTGCCCAGGAATTCATCTCGACAGTTCTGCTGGATCGTGTCCGTGAGGAGATCCATGAAACCAAAAAGCTCAATGTCCACACCTACAACGCATTGAAGAAAGCACTGTATAAGCCCGCCTGCTTTTTCAAGGGTCTACTTTTCCCGTTGGTTTCAAGTGGAACCTGCACACTTCGAGAGGCTCACATTGTCTCCTCGGTTATTGCACGTGTCTCAATTCCTGTCTTGCACTCTGCTGCCGCATTACTCCGCATGTGTGATCTTGCTGCTGAGCAGTCATTGCGCTCCCTGGAAAGCACTGGTGCAGTGAACATGTTCATTCGCATCTTCCTAGAGAAGAAATATGCACTTCCTTATAAGGTCATTGACGCTCTTGTTTTCCATTTCCTTCGCTTCCGTGCTAGCGACGGAGCTGAGGATTCCATGATGACCGATGGACCTTCTCGTGAACCCAACAAGGCCTACAAGCTTCCTGTTCTCTGGCACCAGTCCCTACTGGTTTTTGCACAACGCTACCGCAATGACATCACTGAGGATCAGCGAGAGGCACTCTTGGACCTGCTTTTGGTCCGCGGCCACAAGGATATCGGACCCGAGGTCAGACGGGAATTGCTAGCAGGCAGAGGGCGAGGTGTGGTCGCACCGGATCCAGAGAACCAAGGTGCTATTGATGCCGGCGATGATACGATGGATTTCACGTTATAGATGAAATGCTGCGGGACCAGTTTGGAGGTGTCTCGAGTGACTCCAAAACCTGCATCTTGCTATGATTCAATCACGACTCGTGACTGGCATGGGCGTTATTATTGGGCTATTGAATTATCATTCCTGTTTTCTTTTTCCTTCGCCGGCATATATTATTCCCACAGTTACACCTACATTTGGCGAGTTGTCCTCAGTTTATGGGCATGTTATGTGAGAAAGATGGACCCGATTACTCCGTACATTAAATGAGGATAAAAGCATGTCGTACCCCACTCCTACGTTCCCAGCGCCTTACAACAAAAATGATAAAGGGGGCCGCCCCAATCTGACAAGGGGGTTAAAGCGGCCGCCGCTGACTGCGGCTGCTGTCTCTCTTTAGCTATGTAAGAGCAACAAGCGGAGTTCTGTTAACATCATGGATGATCTAAGAGGTTACTGTGGTATTGAGAGAAGGGTATAGGTACTCCGTACCCTGTATACCTAGCAGTCGATAGGCGTGGAGTATCTACTGTGTACTCCAGAGTGGACAGGACAAATGATTCTGGTACATTCCATCCGCTAACCCAGCCGGTGCGGGAATGCGGGAATAACTACGGGTACAGGTCCAGACCCCAAGAATTCAACAAGGCTCGGGGCTCCAGTCAACGGCCGAGTCAAAGGAATGGCGCCACGGTGGATCAGCCCCACAGATCACTTCACAGCCACCAATTATAACGCCATTCCCTGGGAGACTTTACTTCATACGTCAATAGGTGTAAGCATTGCTACTAAAAGTAGTGCACAATAGACACTCAGCTTTAGAGTCTAGACACCCGACAATAAGAGTGATATGATAATGATAATAATGATAATAATACGGAGTATAATCTACACCAACAGATAGATGCCAGTATGAGATACGGCTATCTGGGGGAATAGATAACCTAGCTGGGTGGGACTACTCTATAGATAGGACGCTCAGCTAACGGACCTAATTACCCGACAGAGTAGGACGCCTGTCAGAGAGGCGGAGTAGAAACAAGAGGAAAGACTGGTTGATAAAAATGGCACAGGCAGCATCGTACCGACATACAGTACGGAGTACATACTGCATCGAATGATTGCGGAGAACTGGGAACAGCGGCACGGGATAGTCAATCATCCATGATCCGCAAGGTTACAAGTTGACCATCAAAGAGGGAGAAGGAGAGCACGGGTGGTTGGAAAGGGGGGTTCCACCTCAAGGAGACAGGGTGTCGCAGGTAAACAGCCTGAGACGTGAAGGAACCAAAGGGAGGGGCCAGACAGGGGGAATCTCCCCTAGTCCTTGGGCCGCCCGTCCAGTCACCGAGTATGTCAGATTCCCACGCCTCAGGACGGAGAACCACGGGGCTGGCGGTATTCGCCATACCGTGATCGGGGCGGAAAGGGGTTCACCCACCCAACCAAACCGTGAAGGCGTCCCATTGCCGCGTACGAAACCTGTAAGGTTACCGGTACTTGGCTGACGACGATGACTCCGCCCCCTTACTCAAGGAGGCCGCCCTGAACAGACCACGTTGGCCTTTTAAAGAGTCGCTCACTCCCGCCCCAGAGCCAACCAGGAAATCATCCTCAACCCTCTTCTTTTATTGTTCTATGGTCGCTGAGGACACCTGTCCTTTTCTCGCCCAACCATTCCTGTTGTCTGGTACACTTGACCCCAGCACCGCTTGGCCAGTGTCTGGCCCCCCAGCTTCGACCGTTATGACACCGTGGCCTGTGTTCCTGTGACGTGGGCACGCAGACGTGATCGACCAAGCTATCCCTTCCACACCAAGCTGTGCCCACCTACATTACCGTCTCTCATCGGTACCTGGTCATTGGATTGATTTGGTCTGTTATAATACAAGATCAATCTGTCAGTCACGCTTGCACAATGGAAGGTGCATTTTCCCCTGTGGATTCTCTCGCCGGTTCGCCCGCACCAGAGATCCCAATGCTCACAGTGTCCCCGGCGGACACTTCTTTGAACGACCCGTCTACGAAGGAAGGGGACAGTAAAGCGGAGGAGAAGAAGCCTGTGAAGAAGAGGAAGTCCTGGGGTCAGGAGTTGCCAGTCCCTAAGACTAACTTGCCCCCAAGGTATGTTGTCGATCTCAATTTGGGGTATATAGGCGTGGTGCTGACTTTGGATAAAGAAAAAGGGCCAAGACTGAAGATGAGAAAGAGCAGCGTCGTATCGAACGTGTCCTTCGCAATCGTGCTGCGGCACAAACCTCGCGCGAACGCAAGAGACTGGAAATGGAGAAACTAGAAAACGAGAAGATCCAAATGGAACAACAAAACCAATTCCTTCTCCAGCGGCTATCCCAGATGGAAGCCGAAAACAATCGCTTAAATCAGCAAATCGCCCAACTATCTGCTGAGGTCCGAGGTTCCCGCGGCAACACTCCCAAGCCCGGTTCTCCGGCCACAGCTTCTCCCACACTCACCCCGACCCTGTTTAAACAAGAGCGTGACGAAATCCCTCTTGAAAGGATTCCTTTTCCCACTCCGTCTCTCACCGATTACTCCCCTACCTTGAGGCCCTCTACTCTGGCTGAGTCCTCCGACGTGACACAACATCCTGCAGCGGTGTTGTGCGACCTGCAGTGTCAGTCGTTGGACTCGAAGGAGAAGGAAGTACCCTCTCACTCTTTGACCTCGGCCCAAACGCTGAGCCTCACGCTGCCGATGATATTGCAGCTCCTCTTTCTGACGATGACTTCCACCGCCTATTCAACGTTGATTCACCCGTTGGGTCAGATTCTTCAGTCCTTGAAGATGGGTTCGCCTTTGACGTTTTCGACGGAGGAGATCTATCAGCATTTTCATTTGATTCTATGGTTGATTTCGGCCCCGAATCTGTCGGCTTCGAAGGCATCGAGCCGCCCCACGGTCTTCCGGACGAGACTTCTCGCCAGACTTCTAGCGTGCAACCCAGCCTTGGCGCGTCCACTTCGCGATGCGACGGGCAGGGCATTGCAGCTGGCTGTTAGCAGGAAGTCTTTTAAGGAAGACCCTTCGGCTATCGATGCTGGCAGAGTCCAATGGAGCTGGGAGTCCCTGTTGACCTTGGCGTGGACGATAGACCTACTCGAAAAGCCAGGACGACGCAAACGAATCTTGAGCGGTTTGAAATCAGCGCAAAACGGACGGCGAAGTATTAGCGGAAAGTCTCTAAGGCGTACACGGAGTTCACGGAGTTCACAAAGCACCCGAGAGGCGTTGACGTCTCTCCTTAGGGGCAAGCATAATTGAGGATCTGGCTGTAAATTATCATAAATCCTTTTTAATGCATTCCACAATCAAAGACAGCAGTTAATTGCCTGCTCATGTAAAATGTTCCGTACTCGGCCGGAGTTCGATCAAATTTGCCCCCAGGAGGCATCTTACTATGCTTGGAATTCATTTGGGCATCCGCGACTACACCTGTCGTTGCTGTTGTCAAGCTATGCTACGTCCAGGGTGATAGATAATCGGGTGGTGGATAGGTCTACCTCCGCGCGCAGCGGATACGGCGATCGGGATGACGTTGCCACGCAGTCCCCACCTCCATCCTAGGTATCTTAGTAGAATCTCCCTCAACGCTGGATGTTGCCCCCCGCTCGCTATCTTTTTGAGCCCGACATCCCACTTGTTTTCACTAACAAAAGCCAACGTTCTCTCTAGATTTTCCTTACGCGTTCCTCTTTTGCTGACTTTTGCATAACATTGGACAAGATGGTTCGGAAGGATCCTATATTCGAAGCCCGTACGAATGTCAAGGTAGGTGGTGCCCCCATTTCCGCCCCCTCGTTCCGGCAACGCCGTTGCGCCAACATGAGCTTTAAGCATACCTTTGGCATTGTTCAAGTATACTGATGGTTTTTTTTATCCCTCTTGATTCTATAGCTACACTCTAATCGATTGAAAAAGGAGGCCGCCCGCGCGGAAGCGACCTTCAAATCTGAGAAGGCAAAGGCCGACAAGGCCATGAAAAATCGTGAATTCCAGATCGCCCGCATTCATGCTGCCTCTGCTGTACGTGAGAAACGCAGACAGGTGACACTCAAAGCAGAGGCTGCCCGAGCTGATGTCATCATCAATGAGCTCAAGGCAGCACAGAGCACTCGGGACACCTCTCGGACGCTTGCGTTGGCATCACGGGGCTTGGATGCTGCGTCCAAGAGTGTGAACCTTGAGAGCCTGGTCTCTCATGCAAATAACTTCCTGGCGCGCTCTGAAGATTTCAAGATCGCTAGCAATGCGATCGAGGATGTTGCACAAGGTGTCTCTTTGCAAGAAAACGGGGCGGAGGGTGAAGCCGATGTGGATCGCCTGATGGAGCAACTTGCTGATGACGCTGGTGTGGACCTACGGATGGCTTTGGAGCAGGATGTTGCCCCTAAAGAGGACGTTAAGGTTCCTAGGCAGGCCGATTCTGAGCTTGAGGATGGCTTGGATGCTAGGCTACGGGCTCTTAGGGCGACCAACTGAATTCTAACCTGATAGTCTCTGACATATTCTTTCACGTTGCCTTTTCATCGTTATTCTTCTCTTTCGGGCGAGCTACGGCAGTAGTGAATAGTACCTCGGGAATGCTTGGTCGAAATTTGTTTGCTTACATTCTGGGAGTGGCCCATGGGTACCCTGGTGTGTCGCCCCGCTATGGGCACTTACGATGTTATGTGTCATTACCATTCTACTCTGTATACTCTTTATGGTCCTCACTGTCGCTCTTCTTACTGGCATTGCATTTGTTGCGGGTCACCCCCAGGCGCGCAGGTGAGAGATACCAAACATTCAACCTTATAATGAATATTCCCTGTCATCTTGAGTACATGCTGTGTGCGCTGTGGGCTTACTTCTCAAATCAGGTTATCTCTGTCCTACTACCTTTCGTCTTCTTGTACATGGTTTTTGCTCCAGTTTAATCACTCTCTGCAGGCAACTGTCGACACGGACCGAGAATACATGTATACACGTGTCTATCTATGGAGATATTTAATGTCTATCGATTTGTCCTCGAGCTTGTGATACAGCCTATGTAGGTACTAGTCCTGCTCCGACTGGCGATGGTGCTTAAGGGGGCTGTCTCACATAAGAAGTCTTCCGTGGTCAGAAGATGATCACATGCTGCTACTACGCTGATGCACCTAGACGAGTTGAAATATAGTACTATGCGGATTGTCATTACTTGATGATATGGTAATTATTCTAAGCAGTCTCACGACTTGTTGACTGGACCAAATATCACAGCTGGCTGATCGTCAGTCCTTATATGTCAATAATTATGCACCGGATTGTTCTCTTGTAGTAGTATGTCAGGTTTCTTGTGGAGGACAAAGGAGTACTCGAGTCTCCTGTTGTCTTGGCTCATTCATTAAAAATAAAATACTGTCCAATCAGCTCGCCGGGCTAGCTCAATCGGCAGAGCGTGAGACTCTTAATCTCAAGGTTGCGGGTTCGACCCCCGCGTTCGGCTTGTAAAACCTTTTTGCATACTCCGTATTCCCCTCCCCCATCACTAAACTTACTTTTACTATCTTGTTCCACTTTCATTGCCATGCCTAGCCTCATGTCGATGGTGTTTTGGCCCTTTTTGGCATCCTTCATGTAGGTATTCTTTCGCTGCCTCTTCGCCCGCTCTTCCACGCCTTCTTTCGGAGGAAAGCCGTTTTCTTCCGGGTTTGTTCCGTCCTGCGGCGACACTATGTTTCCGTGTCCATCCACACACCACTCTTTATTCTAATTGTGCTGTCTTCATGACACGGTACGTCCTAGACATAACCCCGGACAGCCATGGTGGGAAATTTCTAATCAAAAAACAAGAACTGCATCCGGCTTTAACAGGCGATGGATAGCTCCGCTGCATTGGACCCCAACAGAGCATCCCATGGTCGACAAGCCGCCTGCTTGAATTGCAGAAAAAGCAAGGTCCGCTGTAACCGAAGCCAGGGTGATGTACACTGTGGTAGATGCAAGCAGGCCAATGTAGAATGCGTCATACCCAGCCACCATGTTGGTAGGCAGAAAGGCGTCAAAAAGTACGCACGAAATGCATTGCTATTTCGACGGCCCTGCAAGCTGACTGCCCGCAAAATAGCAAACGCAAGGGCCTCGAAAAAGCCATCCATCAGATCGAGCAAGCTATCAAGCGACCCAGGAATGACGCCTCAGGGATTGAGACCGCTCAAAAACTCATATCAGACCTTCAAGACTTGCTCAGCAACACGCGAGAACAACAACTTCACAGCGAGGTAGATGACCGATCTGAGGACCTCAACAGATCCTACTCGTACCCTTCTCCCCGGGACAACAATGCCGGGGACAGCCTGTCCCTAGATGATGCAGAGAACCCTTTGCAGCTACTTGCACGTGCCTCGGATCTTCAGCTATCACCAGCTGAGGTGCGTGACTCACACAGATGGACACCTTCAACGCACCCACAACACACAGGGGTGCCACAGAGTAGTACCAATGAAATTGTGCCTGCTGCACAATCATACTTTGTACCTATCCGGGCAAGCTTGGACGTCGGCGCGGATATAGACCCTATCGACATCGGTCTTGTCACCCTAAACGAAGCCGAATCGCTTTTTTCCTTGTATGCCTAATGACGCGTTAAGGAGGCTCGTGGCTATCTGGCTTACCACTGATGATAGCTTTTACCAGAATCTCGCACATACTCGATGGGGTTTAGACCCACTGGTTCACACCGTTCCATTTGTTCGCTCCCAATCCGCATTTCTATTTACCTCCATCATGTCTGCGGCTGCCTTGTTTCTATCGTCTGCCACGGCGCTGTCGAAGCGGCTTTCTAGGCACTGCAAGACCTTAGCTCAGATCGTCATTGCCCGACGCCACCGATCAGTCGAGATTGTCCTAGCCTTCATGGTAAATGTTCCATGGATGGAACCAGGTAGTTGCCTAGGAGATGATGATACATGTTCCTACATTGCCATGGCTCTAGCTGTTGCGTTAGATTTATCATTGAACAAGATCGTGCTGCCATCCACAAGCTTTGACCATGGCCTTCTGAAAAGACTCGCAAAAGTCGAGTCTATCGATGCAAAGAGAGCCCTGTATGTGGATGGGTTTGATGGCACAGATCCAGGTTCCGATTGGGGCCGGAGACTACTTCGGAGGCGAGAGAGAACCTGGATAGCCTTATTTGTCCTCGAAAGAGGGTGAGCGTCTCTTCCAAACCTCCGTCATGCACATGCTTTTGCGTCTATCTAATCATTGGTTTTAGCGTATGCCTAGCCCGTGGGCGAAGCTATACGGTGCCTTCAACCGCTCTAATTGATTATTGCGATAAATGGCACCTATCGGACTTCGCGGACTCCCGTGATGGTCCGATGAATTCAATGGCGGTTCTCCGGCGGAATTTGGTAAGCCACACCGACCTTGTTTCTCGCATCGCTGCCGTAGAAGGGGTCTTCTAAGGAACGTCTCATAGGATGGCCTCTTCCAAAGGGTAAAGGCCAACTGCGATAGTCACCAGATCACTGGTGTCGGGTCTGAAGTAGCTCACTCGTATGTATGCACCCCATCAGGTGTTGATATGTCAATGGCTTACGAATATCTAGAATCAAGAACATGATAGAAAGTTTCTACGACCAATGGTCTGAGACATGGGCGCCTGAAATTGGTGAAGGCCCATGTAAGTTTCTTGCAAAATCAAGATAGGCCCCATCATCTACCCTATAGCAGTGGCTGATCCTATAAAGCACGCTCTCTTCCACCGTACGTTGAGATTATGGCAACGCATACAAGGCTGTCAACATACAGTGGCGTGATCAATCATCCTACAGCGCCGGTCGAAGTTAAGCGTTTCTTCCGTGCCGCCGGTCTTTCTTCGGCACTGAACGTCCTGAGAGCAGCCATCCAAGGAGAGTCGCGATTAAAGTCTATGCCCAACAACACTGTTATCATGATCTCCTTCGCTGCGTGTTCTGCGCTTAGTCTCAGTGTGATGCCCGCAGACTGCAGGTCCAGCCTGGCCCCAAGTGTCCATAATCTGATTGAAGAAACTGCGGGTGTCCTTGAACGGATCGGGGAGACTCCCAGCCATAGGAATGGCGCGTCCGTCCTCTATGGGCGCTTCCTGAGAGCGCTCGTGAGGCGCTTCCCTGTAAGCTCAGGCTCCCAAAATCTCCATGGGCCGCAAACAGTGGCCGACACGGGAACACTACATCATCCGTCGGATATCGATGGGCATTGTCCCGTAACTTCGGGCACGCAGCCATCGTCGATCTCGCCCTCTTTTATTTGGCCTGAGCCGCTCCGGTTTTCCACCATGTCCGATGACCAAATCATTGACGCAGTAAATCGAGCCGGCACTGCATTCGGGGCAAATATACCCGATATCTCCCTCGACGATCTGATGAGCTGGGACTGGTTCGACGCCGGAAATGCGGCCGACTTTGGCTTCTGAATGGAGGCAAGTGAGTGGGCTACGTTTGAGCCACCCATGGGTCTCATGAACCACTTCATACGTCACCGATCGCATTCTGGTTCCAGACCGGGAGGCCCTGGGAGGTTCCGCCGGTCGGCGTCCAGAAGTAGCGCCGAGTGCCGAGGGTGCCGTACTCCCAGCGTCCCATATCAACCAGCTTGAATCCCTACTTTTCACGGCTTGGCTACCCTTTCTTTTCTTTACTTCACTTTCCTTTTTTTTCTATTACCGCTGTTCGACGGTGACTATAGTCGCGAGGAAAAAAATGGCAACGGTGCGATTGGCTGCGTTGGTCTCGTCGCGGAGGCTACTTGCTCAACCGCGGCCTCATCTAGCTGTGCCGCAACTTTCCAGAAGCCCGTTTCCACCTTCTACAAGAGCTATCACTCGCGCCCGATTCTCGACTTCTATAAATGAGCAGCCCGCGCGAGCTCCAAGGATTGACCGGAGTGCTTCAAAGCTGTTCAAGAATGCGGACGCTGCCGTAGCGGATTTGAAGAGCGGATCAACCATCCTTAGTTCAGGCTTTGGTTTATGTGGTGTTGCAGGCATGGACTCCCCGTATATTCTGTCAACCAAGATTGCACTTTGATTGACTGAACTATTGACTGCAGAAACGTTGATCTCTGCAATCCATCGCAGAGGAGCAACTGATCTACATTCCTTGACGGCAGTCTCAAATAATGCTGGCGCCGCCGGGAAAGGCGGGCTTTCTACTTTAACGCAGGCCGGACAGGTCAATAGACTGATCCTTTCCTACCTGGGAAACAACAAGGCTCTTGAGAAGAAGTACTTGACAGGGAATATTGCCATAGAATTATGCCCTCAAGGCACATTGGCCGAGCGATTACGTGCCGGAGGGGCCGGAATTCCTGCATTCTACACCCCCACAGGGGCTCGTGAGTTTCAGTCCTCGTCCAAGGATCGGTGATTTTGGTCAAAAACTCGAATCTTTTTCTAACCGATGTGTTTTCTACAGATACCTTACTACAGGATGGAGAGATTCCGGTCCGTCTAGATGCGTCTGGGACGGTGGTTGAGCATGGCAAGCCCCGAGAAACGAGGGTTTTTAATGGCAAAACATACCTGATGGAGACTGCACTTAACGGGGATGTGGCGATTCTTAGAGCGTGGAAAGCAGATGCGGCAGGAAACTGTGTTTTTCGGTGCGGATCCCCATCCCTCTGTTCTGTAGGCTGACGTGCTAATATTTCATGATGCTAGTTACACCACAAAGGCTTTTGGTCCTATCATGGCTAAGGCAGCTACACTTACTATCGTTGAGGCTGAGAACATCGTCCCTGTCGGCTCAATCGACCCCAATGACGTTGATCTACCCGGGATATATGTCGATAGGATCGTCCCCGCAACCGACGAGAAGAGCATCGAAGTCAAGAAACTGCAGTCTGACGGTGATGACAAGGCGATCAAAATGGCGCAGGATGCTGCGACAGTCCTTCGAAACCGGATCGCTAAAAGAGCTGCTAGAGAACTCAAGCAGGGTTACTACGTAAACCTGGGCGTGGGTACGTTGGTCTTCAATGGCATAATTGCTGGCTGCTTATGACTCGATAGGGATCCCCACACTCGCTCCATCATTTCTGCCCGCCGAAGTAAAGGTTTGGATACAATCCGAGAATGGAATTCTCGGAATGGTAAGCCAACCCCTCGGCCACGTGGAAGAAATGAGACTGACGGCCATCCAAGGGACCTTATCCGACGTTAGAGCAAGTTGATCCGTAAGTATTTCGGCGCCGTCAAAATCTCCCTAACCACTTGGCTCATCCGGTTTCGGCAGGGATATCATCAACGCTGGCAAAGAAACCGTCACTCTTGTCCCCGGTGCTGCGACCTTTGACAGCAGTGAGTCGTTTGGCATGATACGAGGGGGCCATGTAGATGTCTCGATCTTGGGGGTACGTGATAGACCCTTTGTTTCCGATGTTTTTCGGGGTAATCGAAACTCACTGGGTAAATTACACAGGCTTTGCAAGTGAGTGCGAATGGCGACCTGGCGAACTACATGATCCCCGGGAAGGTCTTCAAAGGAATGGGAGGGGCCATGGACCTGATTTCCAACCCCGAGAAGACCAAGATCGTGGTAGCCACCAGCCATACAGCTAAGGATGGGTCTCCGAAAATTGTGGCCGAATGCAGCCTTCCTCTGACGGGGGCAAACTGTGTCAGCACTATTATCACTGAACTCGTGAGTTGAAACGTCCGGCGACGACGACGGGGGAAACCTGTGGAAGGCTGACTGTAGAATATAGTGCGTTTTCCAGGTGGACCGGGCGAAGGGCAAGCTTCTGTTGACGGAGCTTGCTCCGGGCGTGGAGGTCGAGGAGGTTCAGAGCAAAACCGGGGCGAAATTCACGGTTGCGGACCACTTGGAGCTCATGGAATAGTGCGAACTGCTTTATACCCATAAATATTCAATCCATGACAGTGAATGCATGCCTTTGACACAAGGCAATCCTTCCTACCCATTTGGCCGGTTGTCTACCGTTGCTCCTTCCTGTATGGATGATGCCTATAGCTGCCGATGATCATTGATGAACGCGGCTCCGCTGAAGATGAAAGCCAAGTCCAACTATGGACAGTGATCCTCTACGCTCTAGTGGCTAATTTCACTGGTATATCATGCTCCAGTCACGTTCTACGGCGAAGAGCAGATGGATACTAGATCTAACTTGCATCAAGTGACCACGGTCATGTCTCTGTTCGAGCGCCAGAAGAACGCTGCCGGTTGGGGCGACCCACTCGGCCTGAAAGTTTGCAGTGACTGATATGCACTTTATTGCCATTTTTGATACAAGCTGGGATCCACCAAACTCGATGTATATACATAGGATCTATAAAGCAGATGGTCTATAGCAGCCGGGGAGCGCTCACTCATGATCTCATTTAGAGAAGCCTGGTTTTGCGGACGGTATAATTTCAAAGGCGCCTGAGGCATCTAAGCAGACTCTTCTCCTTGATCTGCGGGCGCCGGGCGCCTGGCTTGCTTTTCTTTCCCGGCAAAACTGAGCAGCATGCCGATATCATAGACGGCCTTCAGGATACCCGCAATGGTGAATGAAAGCCCGAAGTAGCCTTGATTGGCTAAAACACCAGTCAGAAGGGGCCCGAGACTCTGGGCGCAGGTTTTAACGACATTAATGGAACCCATTATAGCCGTACGGCGGTCCGATGGCAGTGCAGCGGCTAGGAAAGCTGAGCGCGGCGCCACGTCCATAGTCTGAGTGCAGGAGCGGAGGACCAAGAATGTTAGGGCTAGGGGGAGGGCCGCAGGGACAGGAATGAGTGCTAGACACACGGCGGAGGGGAGATGAGTGAAGACCATCGTCTGTTGAAGTCAGCTCGACTGATATGGTGAGAAGGGACCGGGGTAATTCAACAAGAAGCAGACCTTGACATTGCCGATGCGCTTGGCGATGGACGAGGCAACCAGCACGGAGGCCGCCGAGATGAGGCTGGTTGTGAAGAAGATGGATCCGAGGGACCCTTCAGGAAGGGAGAACTTGCGCTTGAAGAAGTACGTCATCCACGACCTGTCGCAAGTATCAGTATCAACGGACTACATTCTGGGGTCCGGTTGGAGAAAAGCACCGCCGGCCTTTCGAGGGGTGGTACATACAAAGATGCCAACCCAGAGGCGAACGAGTCCAGGCCGAACAGGATCGCCAGTCTAATGACCAAGGAAACGAGCTCTGCATCGCCCACAAAGGAAAAGTCTGATTTCTTCGGGGGTTGCTGGTCTGCCCGATCGCCCAGCAGAGGCTGTGCCTCGCCCTCGCTAGTCTGCTGGGGAGTACGCACAGAAGGCTTCTTCTTTTTCTTCTCTTCCGCCTCCACAGCCGGACTCAGGGCGATAGAGAGAAGAAACTTGAGCGCGCCAACCGCGGCGTAGGCGAAAAACATTACTCTACAAGCGGGGATGTAGGGCCATTCCCAGATGACCTGGAGGAGATTGATGGCCCATCCACCGGTCATCATGCCCAGGGCGGTGCCTGCATTGCCGAAGAGGGAGTACCAAGCGAAAATATCGCTCAAAATATCATGGGGGGTCAGATGAGCCAGGGTCGATTCCTCGACGGCCCGGAAGGGGCCGATTTCGTTTCCACTGGGAACGAAAATTAACTATAAATAGCCGGACGTTGGGCTCGGACGTCGGAGAGGGGAAGGCAGCACCCACCTCGGACTTATCACGCCAAAGACGGCCGCCGCCAAAAGAACCCAGTAATTGCCGACCGTAGCAAACAGGATGCCGCTGCCGACCATCAAGGCGGAGCCCAGGGCCAGCACAGCCCGGCGACCCATGGCATCGGCAAACAGGGTGAGGAGGAAGCTAATGGCGACATCCCCCACGAGAGTCAGAGTCATGAACAGGCCGATGCGGTCGTCAGCGATGCCCAAGGCCGACAGATAGGATGCCAGAATCAGGGTCGATCCCCCGTAGGCGAAGAGCCGAACAAAGCGCTGGGCACAGAGTAATTTGACATCGCGAGGGGATTGCCAAACCGAACTGAGGCCGAGTTCAGCGAGGACCTTGTGGTGCAAACGACGCGTTCCTGATGTGGGCGACATGACAAGAGCCCGGGGATGATGAACCCAAGTCAATTGGCAAGGGCGACTGGGACTTGAAAGGAGGGAGCGATCCAAGGAAGGGGAAAGACAAAAAAATAATGAGAGGGGGAGAAGGAGAGACAGAGAGCGATGCAGGATAATAAGTGAAGTACTCCGGGGAGACGGGGGAAAAAGAAAAGCGGAGTTGATTTCCTGCTTCAGGCAGCCAGGCACCGAGCCAGCTGATTCTCTCCAAGTCCTCTTTTCGACTCTTCTCTCTCTCTCTCTCTCTCTCTCTCTCTCTCTCTCTCTCTCTCTCTCTCCCTCCCCAACGATTTGGCAAAACCCATCATCTTCAACCACCAACCCGAGGACCTCGCCTTCTCGTGCCCATGTCCGGCTCATCCGTCAATCCATGGTTGGCCACCACCAGTATATCATATCATCATGTTCAGTCCCTTCGACCAACATGACATGGTCATGCCCTAATCCAGCCTTTCCTTCCACATTCCCTCCTTTTCTTCCCTCTTTTCTCTCCTCCTCCTCCTCCTCCTCCTCCTCCTCATCCTCTTCCTCTCCCCTTGCCTCGCCTCCTTGAGCTCTCCATAACTCTTGCCTCAAGTCCTAAACCCTCCCATATTGTTACATGCTTTGCTTATTCCTAATCATGGGGCGCCTCCTCCTCTCATTGCTCCCACTGGCGCTTGCCTCCACCCCACAATTCCCCAATCTCATCGTCCCTGAAGTCAGTCATACCTTCTACGGCTACCCGGACAATGACCCTCCAGGTCCGGCCATCTCCTACGACTGCGGCCGTGGCCTGACCGCGGCTGGCACCGGCACCTACGCCGATCCGTTGACCTTCGCCTCCGCTCCAGACGAGTTTGACTACTGCGAGATCATCTACGACCCCTACCTACGCAAGTACCTTCGCCACGAAGACTACTGTGTCCAGTGTGTTACAGACTGGGGAAATAAGTCGTACCACATCGATGTCTGGACGGGTAGCAACTGGCTCAGTGGCGACGATGATCAGATCGCCTGCGAGAAGAGCTTGACGCCTCAGGCCCAGTCGCAGAGTGTGATGCGGTATCCTAGTTCAAACCTGACGGTTGATGGTAGGTCCTACTCCACTTCATCCCAGGTAGCCAGTGCGTGCGATGCTAATATGAAGCCGGCAGTCACACCTCTCTACACCGTGTCTGTAGACGAGTCCTGCGAGGTGATTGCTTTGTGCAATGTGGATCATGTTTATCCGGACTACAACCTAGACAACTAGCTTTAACATTGAGCCCTCAATTTGCTATCACGCTCTTGCAGTTTTCCACTCGTTCCTTCCTTCCTATTCTACGACTGGCCGTTCCATTATCTTTGTAGATATTAGAGCCTTCCCCGTCGCTCTGATCTTCCCAGTTGTAGCTTCCAAGTCGCAGCCACCTCAGATGCATTACACCGATGTAATCTCCTATCAGTAGTACTCAACGCTCAAATCTAAAAGTATATATTTGTAGGGATTGTCTTTTCTACGTCAACCCTCGGAGCTCCTGGGAGGCCGAGCCCTGTTTTTCGTTGCCCTTACGGCTGTGGAGCTACTACTTATACTACTGACCCAGTAGATACTACTAAGTACTAATGGTGGCCCACAAATAGGGCTGATGCCGCCCAATTAACCACGGACCAACCCAGCCACTCCAGCCTTCGCTCCCACCATGTATTCAAAGCCAATCCAGCAGACAAGAGATCTCAGCTTCTAAAAATCTCACGATAAGCCCATAGAAAACATAGAGCCAGGAGCTGGAAGCCATCCTTGCCGATATTCTCCCGCTCCTTAGTGTCTCTTTATTTCCCCATTGTTTCCCGGCGTGGTAGAGGCAAGATCGCGTAACCCGGTTTCCCAACTTTTTAAGTCAACTAAGCGATATCAACTAAGCGATATCGAGACAGTAGAGAACACCCCTTTTTTCTACTTTAGTCTTGATAGATTTAAAATATGAAATTTAACGCATATCGCATGTCCTCGATGGTCTAACGGTCATGATTTCCGCTTGTCAATCCCAGTTGGGAACAAGCGCGGGAGACCTGGGTTCGACTCCCAGTCGGGGAGGTTCTTTTTTGGCCCTTCCCCTCCTAACAAGGAGGGGAAAGGGTGGCTTTTTCCTTCTATATATCTATCGTCTGCAAGAGAAGATGAAGGAACACCTTTGATCCATGCTACATGTATTATAGGTGAGCAAAGCCAAGAAAGAATGGAATTCATCATGATATGGAATAGAATAAACGCTGGTCTAATTACAAGAAGCATACACCGACTCTCTCAACGGACACCCCGTCGCCGTTGACTCATTACCTCCCGTCTACAGCGACGCCGTCGGCATGATGGGACTTTCTGACTTCGGGGGCCATTTAACACGCCGCTCAGCACGGACATACAGGTTGTTCGGTCGGATGAGCTGGAACATGGGATCGTACTCGATCGGGCCCTCGGTCTCCTTGATGAACTTGTACCGGTAGACCAGTTTCGGCAAAAACACCTTGACCTCCTGCAGAGCAAAGTTGAAACCGATACACATCCGAGGACCGGCAGCAAAGGGGATGTAGGCCGACTTGTGTCGGTTCTTGACCTCTTCGGTATCCCAGCGGTCAGGGTTAAACCGCGTCGGGTTGTCCCAGACGTTGGGGTTGTTGTGGAGATGGTGGAGCGCTCCGATGACAACGGACTCTGCGGGAAGCTTGTAGCCACCGGGCAGGATCATGTCCACCTTGGCTGTGCGTCCGGGTTGGTAGGATGGGTTGTGTCGACGCTGGGTTTCTTTGATGAATTTATCCATGAATGTAAGACGGTCGGTCAGGTCGGCAGTGATCTGGGTGTCGGCATCGATGCCATTGTCCACGAGCTCTTGCAGTAGTCTATCTTGCACTCCGGGGTAGGTAACCAGACTGTAGATCAACCATGACAGTAAGGAGCTAGTGGTGGTGAAGCCAGCTCCAGTGGCTACCACGAGGGCTTGGATCAAACTGGTTTTGGGCAGCTTTTCGCCTTTGTTATCCGTCGCCCGGATGGCGTAGTCTGCTCAGGTCAGCAATAGCCTGGTGAAGGGAAGTAGCCGCCGCTGGGGTTTAACATACCGATCATGTTATGGGCTTTCAGTGCGGCATCCTGGAGTGGGAGGTCCTCAATGCCACCTCGGCTAGCATTTTGAATGGACTCCTCAACAATAGCCCAGACCCGGCCTCTGATGTCTTTGAGACGCTTGGGGTCTCCAAATGGTAATTTGGCATACCAGTCACCCCTGGCGGTGATCTTCTTGTTCAGCTCCAGTGACTCGGCGATCAGAATGATCAGTTCATGCGGGGGGGCGTTCAGGGTTGAGAAGTGTTGGAAGTCAATGCCGAGAACGAGCTTTCCAACCGCTTGCGACCCGAGCTTCAGCATGTATTGATAGACATTCCACGCTTCGCCTTGCTCGTCAAAGGCATCAAACACCTTGAATGCATCCTCCACCGTCTGCTGCATGACGGGCGCATAATGACGAACCGCTTTTGGGCCGAACGCGGGCGGGAGGAACTTATGGGCAGTTCTCCATTCATGCGTGTCGGTATCACCAAGAAACACACCGGCTTCCTTGTTTTTGATTGCATGGAGAGGGTGAGACTCGTTAATCTTCTTGGTGAAGAAGTCGCTTTCCGAGAAAATGATCGCACTGAGCTCGGGGTCGTTGGTGTGATATACAGTACGGCCATAATTAGTGGTCTTGAAGATGGGCCCATATTGCTCAAAAAGGCGTTGATGGTTGCCCAAGTGATCGGGGTAGATCTCGAAGAAATTTCCCAGCACCGGGAGTCCCTTTGGGCCAGGGACCTCTTTCACCTGTTTTCCATCGATGGTGATACTGATTGGATCTTCTGAGGCGGTGATTTCGGCCACATTGGTGAATACGGCGTCTTCAGACTGGAATCCAATGCCTAGAAATGTCAGCCTGCGCCAGACCGTGCGAAAGGCTAGAGATCGCAGAAAGAAAAGGAAAAGTTCTCGTACCACTAGGGTCAACTATCGCAAAATGCGCAGCGATCAGATGCCTCAACGCATCATAGTCCAGCGCCGAATCTACCTCGATCTCCCGCGCCGTTGCGACAGGTTCGCCTAGGAGATAGAAAAGCTTAGCCGGCATGGTGACAACGATGATTGAGAATAGATAGCCAGACGGATGGGGACATTCCGATTGCTAAGGGCCATCGTGCAGCTTTATACGTACGCGCCATCCGTAACGAGACCAGGACGACGCGACAGACAAATCAGGGTGGGTAGCTAATAGCTATGTTGGCGACGAATCCACATCAAGTGGTCGTGGATTCCACATCAACGATAAAGGGCATGGCTTGAGGTTTCAGTGATAGTGCGCGAATTGCGTTCATTTCCAAGCCGGTTATGCGCATAAAGGTAGAAGGCCTCGGGGCCTTCCTCGGTTGTTTCGCACGAAAACTCGCACTAGCTGCAGGGAAGACAACGATCGCCACCTCTCAGACCCACTGACTAGGACGTTTCTGTACAAAGGCCCCAAGGAAAACGGCTGCCAGCCTGTCACTCGGCGGAAGAGGACGCCGAGCAATCTTGACCTTCTGTCGTTCAGGCAAGCTCTTGTATAGATTTCTAAATAGACTTCTAAGCAAGCTTTCAAGCTCTCAGGCAGACTTCCAGGTAGCCTCCTAGGTAAGTTTTCATAGGCAGATTGGCATGTTTCCATGAGACCTAGATCATTCAAAAATACAGTAAAATCAAAACAGGGGTTGGTTTCCTCTTTTAGGCGTACCAGTAAAGATGGGTCATTTAGCCTCACTAGGCCCCTTTACGCGGCGGGGGGGTCGGTGACCCGGAGCAAAATATGGGTATACGCAACAACTTCCTAAGTTTTAACGTCAAACCGGGCCAATCTCCGAGGCAATTTTGCCGACCCAAGCCAAGCCTAGCAAGCCTTTTAGCAACGCAACTGTGGATAGCATGTTGACATTTATGTCTCGCCCCATTAGCCGCATACCGTAGTTATACCTCGGAGCGAGAAAGCAGTTATAATGCCACAGTTCTGGATTATTTTGTGTTCCCCGGGACAACGGTTATTCTTCACATTTTCTCTCAACCAAAGTTCTTCCCGCCAAAAATGGCCCAGTCTACGCCCATAGAGTCAAAAATGGAAACGGGCGCTGACACCCAGCTCGCCGAATACACATTAGCTGATGTTGCAAAGCATAACCGCAAAGGCGACCTTTGGATTGCCATCCACGGGCAAGGTAGGACATCCCGCGACCTTCAGATAGTAGGAATCGGATGCTGAAACTGCTCAATAGTCTTTGACATCACGGAGTACCTGCAAGATCACCCGGGTGGCGCAGATGTCCTCATTGAGACCGCCGGTTCGGATGCCACCGCAGATTTTGAGGATGTTGGCCACTCCGAGGATTCCCGCGAAATCTTGCAGGAGTACTTGATCGGCACCCTGAAGGATGCGAAAGAATACGTTGCTCCAAAGGCAGTCCGTGTGATTGCCCCAAAGTCAGAGAAGATTGAACAGTCGACAAGCAGTCGTTCAATGCAAGTGATCACTGGCACCCTGGGAGCGGTGACAGCGCTGCTCTGCGTCCTGAACCGGGGAACTCCCCGCATGTTGGACATTGCAAAAATCCTGCAGAGAGTCGTGCCACAAGAATTCAACGAGTTTAGGATGCCAGGCGGAGGGTTTGCCAGTGGATTCTTTGCAGCTACTCTCGCCTCTTGCGCTATCGGAAGTGTCGTAGCTCGTCAAGCCGCCAAGTTGATGAAGATCGAATCTGGGTTCATGCGCTATCCTCCACACGTCAGGGCACGGAAAATGGCCCGGGCAGACCCTCACATGGCCAAAGGGTTTCTTGACTCCAAAGAATACCAACGCCTACCTCTGGTCCAGAAGGATCTGTTGTCACCGGATGTGTACCGATTTGTGTTCGCTTTGCCTGATATGAAGGGAGTGATCGGTCTTCCCATCGGGCAGCACGTCGCCATTCGCGCCAACATCAACGGCAACAGCGTGACCCGATCCTACACCCCAGTGTCGAACAACCTAGACTTGGGTCGACTAGAATTGGTTGTGAAATGTTATCCTGACGGCTTACTGAGCGGTCAATACCTTGCCAACCTGACTGTTGGTGACGAGGTGGAGTTCCGGGGACCCAAGGGGGCTATGCGCTACAGCCGAGGGCTATGTACTAAGATAGGGATGGTGGCCGGAGGGACAGGCATCACACCTATGTACCAGCTCATTCGTGCGATTTGCGAGGACGAGCGGGATACGACCGAGATCAGTCTGATTTACGCTAGCCGGACGGAGGGAGACATCCTACTGCGTGAAGAGCTGGAGGCCTTTGCACGCAAGTATCCCAAGAACTTCAGACTCTGGTATATGCTGGACACGGCTCCGGAGGGATGGATGTATGGGACCGGCCACGTGAACCCGACGATTCTCAGCGAGCGGTTGCCTGCCCCGTCGGCGGAGACGAAGGTCCTGCTCTGTGGGCCTCCGGGCATGGTAAACGCGTGCAAAAAGGCCTTGGCTGGAATGGGGTTCCAGGCGCCAGGGTCGATCTCCAAGATGAGCGACGAGATCTTTTGTTTCTAGACAGTAGACATCGGTAGTATTGTTAGCCTTTAATTTTTGTCGATACTCTTGGTACGTTGGTGTGCTGATGTTTCGCCCTGTAGGGGGCTTGAACAAAAAAAAAACCATTTATTTCATCATTATCATGCCACAATTGCCAGGTGCACGCAGGAACCTGCCCGAGCCGTCAGCCAATGATTGATGCGAGTGAAATAAGTGGATGCGTACTCGCACAATGGTAGATAGTATCTACTGCGTACTGGTGTTATGAAGGGTCAAGAGGGGTTCAAATCTCAACGGCGAACGAGTCAACAACGGTCACACCGGTACTAATGGTCCACCTCTGGTGGATGTGGTGACTGGTGACTGGCGTAGTTCACAGTCATTGATGGTTGGGAAATGGGAATGGCAAGAACGTTCCGCGGTGGAGGCGACTAGGCCGTACTTGCCCAGTCGGGACTGGCGACTTCACTCGGGGTTCCACTCCTTTTCTAGGCCGTCCACAGAATTCCTCCTCTAATGATTCCTGGACCTCGGCTGTTCACTTTATTTCTGGATTACTACACAGTCTCTTTTAGCGCCCGTTAGATACGGAGTACAGTATACACAGCCAACGGTCATCCTTGCACAATCATTCATAAATGAATACCGAAGTGATTGCATTGCATCTCCACCACCGATCACGCACCATCCAGCCGAGGTTCAGGATCTCCCTCAATGCCTCAACTCAAATCAAACTGAGGTCCTTTCTCCTGGTTTATGACTCCCGGCCGGGATTTCTCCGTATCACATCCACCCACGCAGAAACCCGGCTCATTCTGAAGCCCCTGTACCATACATAAACCTGGGCGGTGTGTTAGGATAATGCTAAACAGCGGTCAACAGTTCCCCTTGAATCTGCAGACCACCTCGGAGCACGCTCGAGTCGGTGCCTTTACGGGCGTCAGCCATGGAAGCCACCAAGTATATCCCAAAATCCCCGCGGAGCCTACTGTCAGATCTCGGTGCCTCAGGCGCGCCAAGTTCACGCGCCCAGTCTTGCATGCGGAGACTTGAAAACGTTTACTAGCAGCCACAATTTTTGGTACAAGATATATCCTCCTTCCTGGAGACGACAGATTTGTTTTTGGAACACTACCAGTTCGCTCTGACCCCTGGGACCGACAAGCAATCGCCTCGCCGTCGGGGGCGCATAAGCTTATGCGGCTTGGCGGACCCACCTTGTGTCAAGTGGTCGTGTTGGACTTCTCGCCTGCGTACCCTCATTGCATGAGCTCATATTGCCACCCTATCATCTTCCCTTTGGACACAAGCTCGGAGAATCGATACAAAGTGTGCAGCATTCGATTATTTTCCTTATCAGCGCAAAGGAAAGCAAACAAAGGGCCAGTGTAGCTACGGCCTTGCGGGTCACAATGAACGCCAATGAAGCGATAGCTAGAACTGATTCGCCCTCACCACTTCATTTCCATATCCGCAGTTGTTCTTCCTGTCGGCAACGAAAGGTTAAATGTGACCGGCAGCGGCCTTGTGTCAACTGTGTCCGCTCTGGAGTGGAATGTGCATACCCGCCTGGACGTGGCAGGGCCCCCAAGCGGCCTCGCGGTGCTTTGAATGCGCAGTTGTCGCAACGATTGTCCAGGTTGGAACTTATTATCAGAAGCTTTGAGACTTCAGGGAACCAGGGAAACTCCATGCTGCATCCTACGGGGCCAACCTTGCAATCGTCCACAGCGGAGAGCGGAGTGCCACAAACCCACCCCCTCCATCCTGGTTCCAGCACGAGCAATTCGGATTCGGAACTTTCTATCGAGCAGCGTCTAGGGCGTCTACTTATCAATGAAACGCAAAGTTATTATGTCAGCAACGTGCTCTGGGCGAATTTGGGAGATGAGGTATGTCTGTGCATCCACCACCGTCGAAATTCTCATTGCATTGCCTTGAAGCCAACTAGTGTCGTTATAGATTGCCGAACTGCGAGATCTACTTCATGAGCCCGAGTTGGAAGAAGACAACTATATGCTTTCAGAAAGGTCCGTTTTGGAACGGCCTTTACCCTCTGGATCCAATGCCGCAATATTAGGCTTTCGGGCTCTTGCTCATTCGCTTCGTCCCTACCATCCGCCATTAGCGCAGTCAGCTACGCTCTTCGAGCTATTCAAAGACAATGTTGCTCCGATGGTGCGTATTTTCCACATGCCCACGTTGGCTCGGAGTCATTGGGATGCTATTGCATCTCTGGAATCACTTGATAGGGATGCCGAAGCACTGTTGTTCGCGATATACTATTCTACGGTGATAAGCATGGATTCCGAGCAGTGCGCAAGCGCTCTAGGTGTTTCCAAAGCGTATGCTTCCGAGACCTATCTTTTCGCCGTGGAACAAGCTTTGGCACGGGCCGACCTACTAAATACCCAAAGCGTGACATTATTGCAAGCTGCCGTGCTTTTTTTATTCGCATTACGCAACGAAGATGATTCCCGGACCGTCTGGTCTCTAACATCCCTCATCTTCCACATCGCACAGGCTATGGGTCTCCATCGTGATGGCATCGTGTTTGGGCTGAAACCCATGGAGACAGAGCTACGCCGGCGGCTGTGGTGGCATATCTGTCTTCTGGATGCCCGCTCGTCTGAATATCATGGATGCGAGCCGATTGTGCGTGAATCCGCCTTTGACACGAGATTGCCGCTGAACATTGAGGATTCCGACTTGACAGCTGAGATGACTGAGCCGCCTGTCGAGCGGGAGGGAGCAACTAGTATGTATTTCTGTCTCATCAGGTGTGAAGTAATGCGTACTATGTGGAAGATCAGTTGTGCTTCTCGAAGCATGGGAACCCCGGGGCTTGCGAAGGGCAGACTGTCCTTAGAAGAACGTGAATCTTTGGTCCAAAATCTGCACGATCGGCTTGAGGGTCGATACCTGAAGAACTGTGACATCTCCAAGCCTTTTTTCTTGGCTTCGACTTTTGTTGCCCGTCTCATGGTGGCGCGAGCGTGGCTTATTGCACGTTACCCTCTGAGTGAGAAGGAATATGGTGTTGACCTATCGGGCCCTGTGCGCGATCGGCTCTTTTTGTCCTCAGTTGAGGTTCTGGAGCTGTCCAGCATGGTGCTCACAAATGAGAAGATTTCCCATTGGAGTTGGCACTCAAAGACTCACATTCAATGGCATGCAGTTGCCTTTGTGCTGTCAGAGATCTGCACCCGACCCCCCTCTGCAGACTGTGACCGCGCATGGGAGTACGTCAACATTGTCTACAACAACTGGAAAATGAAAGAGAGTGGGAGAAAGGGTACCCTATGGCGACCCATTAGACGGCTAATGGCCAAGGCGCAGTACGTGCGCGAGATGCAAAAGCTAGACCCGCTCGGCCGATGGCAGCGGAGGGCAGCCCCCACGGATGATATACAACAAGTCCCGGGTCCCGCGTCGTTCTCGAACATGGGTATGGAATACATGCCTCCGCCTGGCGACCCAATCTGCAGTGGGATAGGGGATCTTCCAAGTAGTCTCCTGATGGAAGCAGTGGACCCCTTCCAGGAGCTTTTCCCGGGTGTTCCGCAGACCGAAGGCTTTATAGATGAAGCGAATAACACAATGCTGAATCTCGATGAACATTCGCAGATTCCTGAATGGCTGGTACCGGAGTGGATCAGCAAACCGCCAGGAGACCAGGCATAGATGAAGCAGGGAGCAGCGCTTCCCTGCTTCCTATCATATCATCATAAAACCACCTCCTACTTAGGTCCTAAAGACGATCGAGGCCACACTTATATCAGTAACCACAAAGTGATCGCTTGCCCTTCCCAGATGGAATAGTCAGGAAAAGAGAAAATATCGCTCGTACGACCACCTCCAGATCCACAAGTTAGTTTACTGGAGAAGATGTCTGGCGTTGGGATCGGGATCGGGTAAGCCTATGCGATCGGGGCAAAATCACCTCAACCCTCCGTCCCGACCATCGCTTGCGCATAAGTCGGACTGCCCGAGTACCAAGCTGTATGAGAAACCATTAAATGGTGAGACTCCCCCAGCCCCAAATTCATCCCTAGCAATGACTTTTTGCTGCCTTCTTATCACTGACTGTCAGCTTTTGTGATTCTAGCCATGTCTCAAGCACACGGTCTAGAGCCTACCAAAAAGGAAACGACCTTTACACATCCCCTGCTCTATGAAACCACCTCGCCAGACGCTTTAGTCGACTTTGATGGTCAGGAAGACCCGTACCGTCCCGTCAACTGGCCCTTTCGAAAGAAGGCCACGACGACGATCCTATACGGAATGACCACATGCTGGATCACCTTCGCGTCAGCCATCTATTCAGCGGGCCTGCAGCAGATTGCGCATGAGTTCGGTGTCTCCACAGAAGTATCCACTGCAGGAATCAGCTTGCTCGTCTTTGGCCTCGGGCTGGGCCCGTTGATCTGGGCACCGTTGAGCGAGATCTATGGGCGGAAAATAGTGGCTATCGTGGTATGCTTCTTGTTATGCGACTTCTGGGCAAGCTCAGTGACTTGGCTGGCTAACGTGAAGCCCAGCCTTATTTCATCGCCGGAATATTTTCGTTTGGGACAGCAACAGCTAAGGACATCCAGACCCTGCTGATCACCCGGTTCTTCTCTGGATTTTTCGGCAGCTCTAGTGTGGCGATAACGGGCGGTGCGATGGCGGACATCTGGAAGCCAGAGCACCGCGGGGTGGCTATCGTCGTTTATTCACTCACTCTCGTCGGCGGGCCCTGTCTAGGACCCATCATTGGTGGAGCGTTGACCTCCAGCTATCTTCGTTGGCGCTGGACAGAATACCTGACGGGTATCATGATGATGGCTCAGTTTGTGCTGGACTTGTTTCTCCTTGAGGAGAGCTATGCGCCCGCCTTGTTGGTTCGAAAGGCACGCCAACTGCGGCTGGAAGGCAATAATTGGGCCTTGCATGCGAAGGTAAACACCTGCGGATACGAAGTGACCCCCGGCTCAGTCAGGCTGACCGCATGCTCCGGATAGCACGAGGAATGGGACGTGTCCATCTCTGAGATGTCGCAGAAATATCTGATTCGCCCCTTCCAGACCTTGGGCACCCCCATAGGCCTGCTCATGTCGTCCTACGGGGCTTTCGTTTACGGTTCGTGGGCACACCTGCCGGGTCCTCCATTCGGTACTAACCGCCTGCCAGCGATCCTCTATGTCAACCTTGAAAGCTTCGCGATTGAATTTCAAGAGATTCGCGGCTGGGGGCCGGTTACCGGGAGCCTTCCTTTCATTGCCCTTCTCATCGGAATCTGCTTGGCCGCCTTGTTCAACGTTTATAACAACCAGTATTATTTCAAGAAACTGCGTGAGAACAATGGCAAGCCCGTGCCCGAAGCCAGACTGCCGCCGATGATGGTTGGCGGGTTAGTATTCACTGGAGGCTTATTTCTCTTCGGATGTCAGTCCACGCACTTTCCTCGGTCTCGATCCCCCGCTGACCTACCCTAGGGACCTCATCGCCCACAATCAACTATTGGCCGTCGTTAATCGGCATCGCATTCACCGGGTTCGGGTTCACCACCATTTTTCAAAGCTCGATGAACTACCTGGTCGACACTTTTCTTCGCTTCAGCGCCAGCGCTATCGCCGCCACCACTCTGCTGCGATCCATCCTGGCAGGGGCCTTCCCGCTTTTCGTGAAGCCAATGATTCGCAACATAGGGGTAGACTGGGGCATCACAGTGTTTGGCTGCATTGCTGCAGTCTTGATTCCAGTGCCGTTTCTTTTCTTTGCGTGGGGACGGAGGATCCGTGCAAAGAGTCGGTGGAGCAGCCATTCTGTGTGATGTAGATCCTTAAGCCATCTCTACCTCCCTCGTCTGCTTCTTCTGGTCTGCTATCTGGTGTATGTGATGTAACTCATCCGCTTCGGTTGACTACCCTGTGATTTCGGCAGATGACTCATAGGTCATCTCGATACTCCATAGTTAACCACTGGATAGTAATTGTTGGGAGAGATGACAATCATGATTGGGGCCAACCATCAAGTGCTTAGTCACAAGGCAACCTGGATAGTCAAGCTAACTCTAGCCCACTCTCTGGTCGTATACGTTTCTTCCAGTCTTCTCCTTGAACCGACTCCTCTGGGAGAGAGAACCGAAAAGGGCTGCGGGCGGCTGTTTCTGCGGCTAGATTCGCATCGAATGGAGATGTCGGTGAGAGTACGATCGTGCGGGCGGGCATCTTGGATGATAGTCAGTAGTTGGATAAATTGAAATCTGAGGCGGAGTTGTATACGGATAGGCGATTGACGTGAACGCGTGAATCGAGCAGGCATTGTTGCTGCTGTGAGCTGTGAGAGTGTTGCCATTGAATTAAGTCGACCCCATCCTAATGGTACAATGTCCTTGTCGATCACTATCCAGGGTGGCACGCATCGTCCCGAAACCTGAGCTTCACGAGAATTTTGTCAGGCACACTTTATATAGTTAGTGGCATGTACTATGTAGATGGTGGAGTGTCCGTTGCAAGGCTCCAGTAGCCTTGTGGGGAAGGGATGTGGTCATGGTGGCAGGGGTTCCGCCGGATTGGCGGGATCCGGAACCACCCCTCGTCTAAAGTGTGGCGGGTGGCTGATCGGAACCAGTGCTGTGTAACATGGATATGGGGTATCATTGGCCCTATGGACTACTATCAAGTAAACTGTGATCCTGGCTCTTGCAACTGCCGCTTAGAATTTAGTAAGGGTGCATGGCGTGGGGGCACGCACTCGCATGGAACGTTGGCGGCAGTGTAGTATGGAGTACTGTGTAAGGAATGATTGGGGACAGGTTGCAGATGGAACCGGATGAAAAAGCAGTCAGTTATGTCACAGCAGAGTGATGACGTTAACCCCCTCGGGATGCCGATCGGATCCAATCTTATCCGCCGCGTTTGATCAATCAGCGTCCCTGCAGGCGCCCTCGCTTGGGGGACTCTGGGTCGGTCCCTTGGGGATTCCCATGCAAAACTCCCCCCGGGGAAAGCGATCCACCGGCCAGGCTAGTCGGCAGTGATCGATCGCATCATTGCCGCTTCTCCGAACCCACCATGCCCAGGTACGTCATTGGAAAAGGTCCGGTTTCGCCTCGCCACGGCTTTTCCTCGTCCTCCCCGAAGATATTTCACCAGGGGCATATCCGCCTGTCTGGGCCGTCGCCATCTGTACATCATCGTCTTATCGATCCGTCCACTAAATCTCAGCCATAATGTCCACCGATGCCACGACGAGAAAGATTGTCTGTTTCTCAGGTAGGGAATCCCGGTGGATCGCGCCCTCCCCACTACGGCAGCCACTAATTTACGCCCTACAGACTTCGACGGGACCATCTTTATGCAAGATTCGGGCCATGTGCTCTTCGACAACCTGGGATGCGGCGCCAAGCGCCGCCAACTCCTCGACGAGCAGATCAAATCTGGCGAGCGCTCGTTCCGCGAAGTGTCCGAGGAGATGTGGGGGTCATTACGGGTTCCCTTCGAGGATGGCTTCGACCTGATGGAGGAGCAGATGGACATTGATCCGGGCTTTCAGGAGTTTCACAAGTTCTGTATTGAGAACGACATTGTCTTCAATGTCATCAGTGCAGGGCTGAAGCCGGTCTTGCGTAAAGTGCTGGACACTTTCCTCGGAGAGCAAGAGGTACAGTAATATCTCGCATGTGGGAAGAATCCACTCACCAGTGGCTTGTCGCTAATCGTTTCTCCATAGGCGTCGCGCATTCAAATCGTCGCCAACGACGCGGAAATCAAATCCGACGGGTCGGAATGGAAGCCAATCTGGAGACATGAAACGGAACTGGGCCACGACAAGGCGCTGTCCATTCAGGAGGGTCGCGCACAGGCAGCCGAAGAAGCCCTGGAAGGCGAGGTTCCTTTGATTATCTTCATCGGCGACGGCGTGTCGGACCTTCCGGCTGCCCGCGAAGCAGACGTCCTCTTCGCGCGCAAGGGACTGCGACTGGAGCAATATTGCATTGAGCACAAGATCCCGTACATTGGCTTTGATTCGTTTTCCGACGTCAAGCGAGATGTCCAGGCCATCATAAAGGAGGATCAGCAGAAGACCGGAGGCGTGGGCAAACCCGCCCGATTCAACCCCCGTGCCAATATGTGGCGACGGATTTCGAGCAAGCAGGCTGTAAGTCAATGGTTCGGTGCTGCAGATACATGTTCAGAGCTAATGTGGTCGTCACAGATTCCCAAATTTGTCGCGGCGACGCCATCAAAGGAGGACAAGATATTCCTGTGGCCTGAGAGCTTTTCCGAATACCAACCCAGGGGTACGGAGAATATCCGGGCGTGAAAGTAAGCGTAATGAGATGGATGATTCATTTTCAGGCGTTTGGGGGAGCGGGCTGGATACATAGATTTAGATGTGTTCAATGAATGTATAGGCTTTCAGATGACTTTTTGTGTGCAGCGGACCAGGGGACCATATCCAAAAGCAGGTTGATTTCTTCATCCTTTACTTGCCTCGCCTTCCGTCCCACTTCTGTTTCCTCGGAGTCGTTTACTTGACTCCTCACGGAGCCTACTTCCCAAGGCACTCCCACTTGAACAACTGCTATGAATACCCTCATCAATAGCATTGCAGCCGGCGTCAGGCTCGCTTCAGGGAGTGTCTCGACCAAAAAGGCCAGCAGACAGGAGAAGACGGCCCGGCACAATTTCAAATCCTCGGATGCTCAGACGTACGGCAACCTGCCCTTCGTGGAATGTACCCCTCTTGTCTTCCCTGGTCTCGATGAATGAGCTGAACACCGGCGAGACAACCAGTTTAAATTGAAGGATACGAAACGGAGAAAGGAACCAGTCTGCGACTAGCGGAACCGGTGATCACAGGCCAAATTTGTATGTTGTTTGAGCTTCGGTTTTATTGGACTCTGGCGCTAATCTGGAATCAAGAAAGCATTAACGAAACGGGCCAGTTTAGTTTATATGACCAACATGATACACTAAAGCCAGGCGATCACAACCCTTCGAAGGAGAGAGATATATATATATACATATAGAAACTGGCTGAAGAGATGCCATTCTGCTTCAAATGATATATGGTCGGAAAATTACAAGCAATTGCTAAAAAAAAATCTCCCCGACTGGGAGTCGAACCCAGGTCTCCCGCGCTTGTTCCCGAATGGGATTGACAAGCGGAAATCATGACCGTTAGACCATCGAGGATTAGATATTTTATTTCCTGCAATTTTTGTAAAATGTTCCAGATGTAAACGCTTGATTCAAGGCTAAGCATGGGCGAGCGCTCTTTGTGTATATACTTTGGATGGTTCTTTTGGATGCAGAAGATTTATCTATATTAAGGCTTTGGGGATCTGTGTGTTTTGCATTTCGTATCATATCTAGTAGCATTGTGTGTTTTGTCTTTCTGTTTGATAGATTTCTTTCCTGTTTTTGTCGACCACTAGTATATATACATACAGAGTTGATTTGGTTGAAATGGATAGTAGTATATGAATCACATGAAATGGAACCACAAACGCAGGGAATTGAAGGATACAATCTGATAGACTCAATCCAAACAGCTTCAACCCCCCCACTTCTGCTATACAGAAAATGCTAGTCGGCAGCGTGGGTTTTCCCGTTCTTTCCTTTGCGATCCAGTCCCCTCCGCAACTCTATCTGTCGCACTCTGAACCTTGATGGCCACCACAGCTGGGTGGTGTGGCCCCTCAGGCACTGTTACTGTTGCCTGCTAAAGTGCGTAAACTTATAGATGAACCCATGCAGTTAGTTCACCTCAATGAGCAAGCTCACTTAACCCATCCGGTAGACATGCTCGTGGCATCGCGGGAAGTCCGTGACCTATCAGCGCCACATTAAAAACGCGGAATTGGATACCAGAGATTTCAATGCACAAGGCTGCATACTGTCAGGGATCATTGGCCATCTGCTCTGTACCCCTAGTCGCATGACAGCTGAGACCAACCGCACGAGCTGTACATTGCAGGTCAAGGTTCAAATCCTCACCAGGCGTGTTTTGGATTATTTTGCCTGACACCATCCATCAACAGACTTGGTCAGTCTTTGCATGCAACAAAGACCTATTATTGCCAAGATTTCGATTCACACCTCATACGTCAGCCTGCATCCGCTGTCTCGGATATCTTTCAGAATTATGCGAGCAAAATTTCCCGAGCTGTCCAAGGAAGAAAGTGCCCAGAGGTAAGATATCCGGCCCGCATGACCTGTTTTGGATCGATCAAGAAAGCAGGAATACCTAGCGGTCGGCTCTTCCCGCTGGTTGACCATAAAACCTGCGGCCCAATTTAGACCATACTCAAAGTTTGGGCTGACCACGGAACCGCGACGGGTCAGGTACGAGCCTGCGATGATCTTGCAGCGTACCAAAGGCTGAGGCGACCGATTCAGGAACACGTTCATCAGGGGATCTGCAGGATCCCGCCGGGGTTTTCCCTGCTCGGGAGGCTTGAATGCGGAGTACCCGAGGAGGGGAAGTGCACGGACAACGTCACAGCCTCGCCTGGGTGGATTTAAAATGTCACCAACGAGACCAAATATCCCAAGTATAAGGCAGCGGTAGCGTAGAAGGGTTGGTACATGGATGGTAGTGCTAGTCGGCAGCTGCATGTAGATTATGAGATGAATCGGCCCGGTCTTGATCAGTTGACGACCGTCTTCGATCCGATACCTCACAAGTACACATCCGAATCCTCCGGTCGATTGCTGACAGGACACCGGTGACAGAGCCATAGCCACAAAGCTTGTCAATCCTACTTAGGCAAATTGGAAGTTCGATTAAGTACGCCAAAGAGATCACTTCCATTTCCCCTAGACAGGATAATGGGAAACTTCGACGGATCAAAATTACTTGATCGTCTCACTGAGGAATGGGCCAGATCGGCGCATCGTACGACCAGACAGGAGTCCTAAATCTGGGCAATCGGGGGGTTCTGGGGTTAACCGTCGGGGTTATCTCGGTAAGGTAGAAGCCAAGTCAAGAAATGGAGGGTGACGGCTAAAGGCGTGGGGATGGAGAAGAGAGGCTGGAGGGATGGACAAACCGGAGGTGGGAGGACCCAAGACATCTGCGCAGCCACGCTTCCCTTCCCCCCCACTCCCTCTCACACACTCCCTTTCTCCTGTTCCACCCTTCCATTGCTCTATTCAGTGCTGGCTGTGAAGGCCCACACTTGCCTTGCCCCTGGAGTTCAATCGGCCGGTTAATTTCTCACAGCACGAGTATAAAGGCGTCGAATGCGGCCGTTGAGACAATGCCATCATTCCCAGCTTTCTCAAGCGAGCTTTCAGCATGGTGGCCTTCTCGACCCTTTCGGGCATCAGTGCCGTCCCATTACTGCTCTCCCTAGTCCAACATGCCCACGGTATCTCGTTGGAGGTCTCCACTGAGGGGGGCAACTCATCAAGCTCACTACTATATGGGTTCATGTTCGAGGTATGCGCACGTCAAGACAGCGTGAGACACTGGAATTTTATCTATTGACGTCTGGATAGGACATCAACCACTCAGGAGATGGCGGTATCTACGGCCAGATGCTGCAGAACCCGGGTCTTCAGGGAACAACGCCTAATCTGACTGCCTGGGCCGCTGTCGGTGACGCCACTATCGCCATCGATGGCAACAACCCTCTGACCTCGGCCATTCCCAGCACCATAAAGCTGGAAGTATCGGAAAATGCCACCGGCGCAGTTGGGCTCACCAACGAGGGATACTGGGGTATCCCAGTTGACGGAAGTGAATTCCAGAGCTCTTTCTGGATCAAGGGTGATTACTCCGGCAACATCACCATTCGGCTGGTTGGAAACTACACTGGCATAGAGTACGGATCCACGACTTTTGCACATACATCTACCGCAGATAACTTCACCAAGGCCACCGCCAAGTTCCCGACGACCAAGGCCCCAGATGGCAACGTTCTGTACGAGCTCACGGTCGACGGCAGCGTGGCCGCTGGTTCTTCGTTGAATTTCGGGTACTTGACGCTTTTTGGAGAGACATACAAATCAAGGTTAGTTCAGCGGATACCATTCCGAATGTGATAGGTATTAATCGTGTAGAGAAAATGGCCTGAAGCCCCAGATTGCCAACGTTTTGGCTGATGTCAAAGGATCCTTCCTGAGATTTCCCGGCGGCAATAACATGTAAGTCCCGGACCGTGCTCTGTGGAACAGAAGCTCATCAGAAACAGTGAGGGATACAGTCCAGAAAACCGCTGGAAGTGGAACGAGACCATTGGGCCTCTTGAAGATCGTCCCGGACGGCAAGGTACGTTTGTCCTCTAGGAAGCGGTACCGGTTGCTAATGAGATGTAGGCACTTGGACTTATTATAATACTGATGGATTGGGTAAGGACGATGAAAGCCCTATATGCAGAGCCGCACTAACGTATCCAGGTCTTGCCGAATACTTTTATTGGTGTGAGGATTTGGGACTTGCACCGGTGCTAGGTGTCTGGGATGGGTTCGCTCTCGACTCGAGTGGCGGCACTCCCTTGACGGGCGATGCGCTGACACCCTACGTCGATGATGTCTTGAACGAACTCGAGGTATATCGAATAAAAACCACGAGGAGCTGCAGCTGACCGACTGTAGTACATCTTGGGTGATACGAGCACCACCTATGGCGCATTGCGTGCCGCACACGGGCAGAAGGAGCCTTGGAAACTCACCATGGTTGAGATTGGCAACGAGGACCACCTGGGTGGAGGCTGCGATTCTTACCCGGAGCGCTTCATCAAATTCTACGATGCGATTCACGCTGCCTACCCCGACCTCATCATTATTGCCAGCACTAGTGAGACGGATTGCTTGCCTGATTCGATGCCCGAGGGAAGCTGGGTGGATTACCACGACTACAACACTGCCGATGGACTTGTTGACCAATTCAACTACTTCGACAACCTCAACCGCTCTGTCCCATACTTCATTGGTGAGTATTCCCGGTGGGAGATTGACTGGCCCAACATGCAGGGCTCGGTTGCCGAGGCCGTGTTCATGATCGGGTTCGAAAGGAACAGTGATCTGGTCAAGATGGCGGCTTATGCTCCCTTGCTTCAGCTGGTGAACTCGACCCAGTGGGTGGTAAGTCACTTCGAGAGGTGCTGGATTTCTCGAGGACGATGAGCTGACCTGTTGTAGCCGGACCTCATTGGATTCACGCAGTCACCCGAGATGACCTTTCTGTCGACCAGTTACTATGTCCAGGAGATGTTCTCAACCAACCGCGGTGATACCATCAAGGAGGTCACCTCTGACACAGACTTTGGCCCCGTGTATTGGGTTGCTTCGAGCGCCGGGGACGCGTACTACGTGAAACTGGCCAACTACGGCTCTAACCCGCAGACCCTGACCGTGGCCATCTCGGGGACGACGACTGGAAAGCTGACAATCCTGGCGGACAGTGATCCCGAAGCGTACAACTCGGACACGCAGACGCTGGTCACGCCATCCGAGTCCACGGTGCAGGCCAGCAATGGTACATTTACATTCAGCCTGCCTGCCTGGGCCGTGGCCGTTCTTGCTGCGAACTAGCGGTCGAGTATTGCTGTGTTGATGGATTGGATGTAGTTTGTGGCTATCCGATAATGTGAATCTATTGTGTTCCCAAGGATCTGGTCTAGGCCTGTTCGTACCCGGCCACAGTGAGATGCACCTCCTGCCAATGGGAGCGAACGCCACCACACGTGGCGAGAGGCCGGGTTCAAATCCGGAATCTGGGCACCACCTCAGCTGCAAGTTGACTATTTCGCACTTGTGTTCGCCACGGAGCACTGGTAGGTAGTGCCTTAGGCGGCGCGACACTATCCTTCTCTTCTGGTTGTCAGTGGACCGTCATTAGACCGTCAACAAGGAACGAAAAATTTTCCCACCAGACGAGCATTTCTGGTACGTAGTCAGTGGTAGCTCCAACGGCAGGGGGCCCACCAACAAGGCACGCGAAGGGCAAAAATGGCCGCCAAGTTGACAGACGAGGCCGTGCACGTTTTCGGGCGGCTTCCGCCTGCAGCTCCCCACTGCCAGGGAGTCGAAGATTCTGTCACCCACACCCATCCAGCATTGGCGATCGAGCAGGTGGTTGGATGGAGCAGTTCGTGCGCAGCAGCCGGTGGGTGCTTACCTCCATACGGAGTAGAGAGGTAGAGATTATTTAGAGAGTAAAGAGAGGGACGATCTGGCCCCCGCCCGGTCGGGGATGCAGATGGTCAGCGGCGCTACGATTCGCTGCGGCGGCCCACTCCGATAAGTCGATATCGCGCTGAGGTTTTCCTCCGTTAGTTTGGCGCGGCCTGGCCTCGTCCTGCTTTAAAAGTCCCCTCACCCCAGCGGCCGGCTCCTGCTCGTTTTTTCTTCTTCTTTGCGCCCTTTGGTCCTAGCAGTGAGCGACTTCGGAGCTTTGCGCTCACATTTGCTGGCGAAAAGCTCCCATTTGATACCCTTAATTCTAATTTCCTCTGCGTCCCCGCCTCTTACAGCTGCGCCGCCATGTCAGCCGAGAATGAAAAGTCGTCGGCGGTCGCCGACGTGCAGCCTCAGCCCCAGTACCAGGGCGAGAAGAACGAGCAGCTCCATACCGTGACGGAATCGCCAGAAAATGCCAGCCAGGCGCAAGAGCAGCAGCAGCAACCGGAACGGAGTCGCGCGGCCAAGCTGTTCGCCTATATGAAGACCCGCGATTTCTGGATCGTCCTGATCCTGGGGTAAGTGAGCCCTTCATGGGCGGAGAAGCGCACGATGCTAATCAGGAATCAGTCAAATCATTGCTCTGGCCGATATCAGTTCCTCCACCTTCTCCTCCCTCTTGTCCAACGCGGGAACGAGTATTCCGGCCTTTCAAACTCTGTGGAATTACGTCCTCCTGAACCTGGTCTACACGAGCATCACCATCTACAAGTACGGCTTCAAGAAATGGTTCCGGGTCCTGTACCGGGACTGCTGGAAGTACTTCATCCTGTCTTTCCTTGATGTCGAGGGCAACTACTTCATGGTGCTGGCCTATCGCTACACCTCGCTGCTGAGCGCCGAGCTGTTCAGTTTCTGGACCATCATCTGCGTCGCCATCATCTCCTTCATCTTTCTGCGCGTTCGCTACCACATCACCCAATACATCGGCATCTTCCTGGCCTGCGGTGGGCTGGGCATGCTCATTGCCTCGGACTACCTGCGTGGTGCCAATTACCCTGCCGAGGACCAGGTGAAGGGTGACTTGTTCGCCCTTTTGGCCTGCACCATCTACGCCTTCAGCAACCTGTTCGAGGAGTTCATGGTGTCGAAGCGCCCGATGTATGAGGTCGTCGGCCAGATGGGCTTCTGGGGCATGCTCATCAACGGCGTGCAGTGCGCCATCTTCGATCGGAGCTCCTTCCACGGCGCCACCTGGAACGGCAAGGTCGGTGGGTACATTGCTGGATACACCATCGTGCTGTTTATCTTCTACACACTGGCCCCGATCATGCTGCGGGTGTCGTCGGCCATGTTCTTCAACATCTCGCTGCTGACGATGAACTTCTGGGGCTTGATCATCGGTATCCAGGTGTTCCACTACTCCGTACAATTCCTGTATCCGATTGCATTTGTGCTGATCGTGATTGGGCTGCTGGTGTACTTTGTCATGGAGGGCGAGATGGGCGAGGCAGCCAAGCCGTGGCTGGGAAATAACCAGGAAGCCGGTGTGGATGGCGTGGGTACTGGTCGTCGGGCGCAGCAAACGGGGCATGCGATTGTGTAGGGGTGGGATGGACGTGATATGATGCGACGTGGGACGAGAGTAATGTGTGCGGGACCAAAAGTTTTTCTTTAGATCTTAATACTATATACTAGACCGGCTGCAGTGCAATTAATGTTTTACGCTGTGCAGCTGAATAGTTCCTAATACGACATTTTATTTTCTGATTCGCGGTTGCAGCGTAAAAGAAAAGATATGTACAAGCCAATAACCCGACAATCCCACAGCTAACCCCTATATACCTTGCCTAGTGAATGTATTAATTGGCTATCAATCAATTTGCCAGAACATTTTCCCTTCCTTGATAGTACAAAATAGGGTATCATCTTTCATCAAATGGGGCTGTGGTTTAGTGGTATAATATTCCCTTAGCATGGGAGAGGTCCGGGGTTCGATTCCCCGCAGCTCCATTTTTTCCCCCCTTACCCCTTCTTTCCTTTTGTTGCTCTGGTGGTCGGCCACTTTTTTTTTTTTTTCTTTCCTTGGTCTATTTATCCCATTGTGTGAATAGGAGGTTGTTCTGTAGATTCACTCCTGGGGGAACTCAAATTCTTAGATCCCGGTCCGGTGATTAAGTGGCTGTACCATGCAGGTCAAGCGATCTTCCCTTTGTATATCCATGGTTATACGACCGGAATAATGAGAGATCGCTGATTCTGGGGCTAGCATCCTGATACTTGAATCAAGTGAATGGGATAAGTGGCATACTCAGCCAACGAAGTCACCGGATCCAAAGTATTACTGACGAATAAGATAGGCGTGGATATATTCTGTGGTCCCATGGGTCCTTGGCTGAATTAATACTTTTGATGCTCTGATCCGATGATCCAGTCACAGAGAATCCTTTCGATGCCTTGAAAAGAACCCGGTCCCTGATCCTCTCAGCTCGCACACGGCATAACAACAAAGGTGATGGGAAACGGTGGAACGCTTCCCATATCCCTCTCCGATTCTCAATGGTAAATGGGGTGGATGTAGGAGCAAGGCACATGAAAGATGCTGGTGCTTATTTCAACCTGACAGCGGGGGGTGCTGGGGAAAAGTGACTTCCCTAAAATAGATAGTAGCTGTATCCCGGCTTCAGGCCTTGATGGGGTCATATCCCACGATATGAACGATGCTCCCTCCACTAAAGGGACTTATGGCGCAACGATGACCGACAGAGACCATTGGAAGCCACCCACCGTAGCATTGCTACCCTTTTATTTGAGGGGTATTTCCCTTTCCCCTAAATTCCGGGGTACTCCATGTGTGAGTGAATGCTCTGAAAACGGCATGGCGCGTGATGGGGGTAATAGGCTCTGCACCATGGGATCTCTTGGCCCACCAAAAGGTGTAGTAATTGTGTTACTGCCTCTTGAGTCTACTCCTTCGAAGAGCTAAGATTCATGTGTAATTAGTTCTTCGTATACCACACCCGAGTTACATTATTCTTCCTAGACACTGCAAACTCACCTCGAGTATACTCAAACATGTACCGAGGAAACAACACAGGGATGACAAAGGACAAGGTCGTAGGGATGCTCCAACATCTACCTAGCGATGAACTTCCGATGGAAGTGATGGATTCTGATAGATGAATCCGACCCGAATGATCCCAGAGGACTGGGGAGGGGAGGGAGTGGTCGCTGTGGAAGCCGTGAGGGAATCACATGATACACAGACGATAGCGGCCATCGGGCAAAAAGAATGGCAAGAACGGGGTTCGAACCCGTGCATCTCACGATAATGGATCTTAAGACCATCGCCTTAACCACTCGGCCATCTTGCCTTGTTTCCCTTGCAAGGAGGCCTTTTCCTCCTCGCTAGGATTCGTAGATCGTGGAGCGGATGGGGGGTTGCCAGCTGCAGGAGGCCGGAAAGTGCGGTGTACAGGAGCTCGGTGTCTACCCGGGTATCAGTGTATGAGCTATTTAAGAGCATTTAGGAAGCATCTACGGGAGAGACGATGTCATCTGCGACTATCCTGCAGGCTCCGGAGTGGCATTATGAGAGGTAGACCCGTCTGGATGTATAGACACGCGGCAAAATGGCTCATTGTCAGACCCGTCGCTTCTTGCAGGACCATTCCGGCAATGGAGCGCGGGGGGGCAACCCCGCTTAGGGCCGGGCCGCCTGGAGGATGGGAGGCAACGATTTCGGAGCTGAAAGGATGCTACTGTGTACATAGTAAAACTACAGACGACAGAAATAGGCCACTGCGTAATCGGCTGATAAGAAGCCAGCAGGGACGGATCGACGAACCAATGGGCAGGTGAGAGTGGCTGAGACCAAGCATCGGGAGTGCAGCCAAGCTCGCCGATCCGCAGCGACGCAGACGAGAAATGATGTGATCCGTGCTGAGCGTGGCCCCGGCATTGACAGGTCGTACGACCTCGCCACTTGACAGGCGGCCGGCATCCAGGTCGGGCCAGCCGAGGAGACCAGTCTCGTGGGGCTTATCGCAGTCCGGCCTGGAGAGCGACCGCCCTCTCGCGTCATCGCGCCGATCTCGCGATCAGCTGAAGCCAATCACCCGACATGCTCACGATCCTGAATGCTGAGGAGTGCCAGGGCCCAGCTGAAATGGTCGTCTGCCGGGCCGCAAGTGGGACTGATAGATTAGGAATGACGTCTCCTAGTCGGGGGTAGCTGGCAGTCATAAAAAGCCGGTGTTGTACCCTCGTCTTCCGTCGGTTCTTCTCTGATCATCGTCGGGTTTCTCACATACCCATTGAACACTCACAGCTTTCACTTTGCCCACCATGGCTACCAAGATCAAGCTCATCCCCAACCTGAATTTCAAACGTTCGGGGACCAAGTCCTATGTGCATATGATGCGCAAGTACCGTTTCAAGCCCACCAAGCCCGGTCCCTACACCCTCAGCAGCACGCTTCAGCAGACTGGTCGGCCATACACCGATAAGCCCATCGGTGGCCGGGCCCATATCCGCCAGGTGATCCGGAAGACGACCTCGGCTAGCGGCGAGGTGGGCGAAGTCCCAGCAGAGGATGTGCAGAACGACTCCGAGTACCTGGCAACAGTCGGGATTGGAACGCCGGCGCAGAGCCTGAAGTTGGACTTTGACACGGGATCTGCTGATCTCTGGGTAACATCCGTAATCCCCAAGATAGAAACGGGTATGACTGAGACGTGGTTAGGTCTGGTCGACGAAGCTCCCGTCGACAATCTTGTCGGAGAACAAGACTCACGCAGTTTTCAACCCGTCCGAATCCAGCACCTTCAAGAACCAGGAAGGTGAATCATGGCAGATTTCGTACGGGGACGGATCCTCTGCGTCCGGTAGCGTTGGGACCGACGATGTCAACATTGGTGGACTGGTTGTCAAGAACCAGGCCGTCGAGTTGGCAGAGAAGATGTCGACCGCGTTTGCCCAGGGCGAGGGTGACGGGCTGCTCGGACTTGCGTTCAGCAACATCAATACCGTTCAGCCCCAGTCGGTGAAGACCCCGGTCGAAAACATGATTCTGCAGGACGACATTCCCAAGTCCGCGGAGCTGTTCACAGCGAAGCTGGACACCTGGCGGGACACCGATGAGGAGTCGTTCTACACGTTCGGGTACATTGACCAGGACCTTGTCACGGCGGCCGGCGAAGAGGTCTACTACACCCCCATCGACAACAGCCAGGGCTTCTGGCTGTTCAACTCGACCTCGGCGACGGTGAACGGCAAGACCATCAACCGGTCTGGAAACACGGCGATCGCCGACACCGGCACCACCCTGGCGCTGGTGGACGACGAGACCTGCGAGGCCATCTATAGTGCGATTGAGGGCGCGTACTATGACCAGGAAGTGCAGGGCTGGGTCTACCCATCCTCCACGTCAAGCGACAACCTGCCCGTAGTCTCATTTGCCGTGGGAGACAAGCAGTTTGTCGTGCAGAAGGAGGATCTGGCGTACACAGAGGCCACGACCGGATACGTGTATGGTGGAATCCAGAGCCGTGGCAGCATGGACATGGATATCCTGGGCGATACCTTCCTGAAGAGCATCTATGCAGTAAGTCAAGGGTCCTCCTCTGATGCAAATAAACATCAACTGACTGAATTGTCTAGGTCTTTGATGTTGGGAACCTGCGGTTTGGAGCCGTGCAGCGAGAGGAGCTGCGCCAGAGCCTTGCGCAGTAGGTGGGCTTGCCATGATGACGACTTATGTGACTATGTGCTTTTGGGGTTTATCTGTGTCAATTAGTTCGGGCTGCAATATGATATCAACGTACTCTTGAATTCTTGTTATGCTATGCTCTTAGATGTAGTCACTTGTAGCCAAAATAGCTACTTGACTGTGTAAATGTTGGATAGACTTTGGATGACGAAGATGGAGCTCCCCCCCACCCAGATCGATCCGGTTCGAGATAATTTCCATTTTGCTAAAGAGTCCCATTCGTCTTCAAGCACAGACAAACGTAGAATGATGAACCTGATGACATTAATAAAATCTTCTATCTGACTCGTAGGACGCCTAACCGCTGCGTAGACAACCAAGTCACGGGGAAGAAACGTGACCGAATCACATGATAATCAAAGAACAGAGGCCTGGTAAAAGATACAAACTGAACTGTCTCTAACTTCAACTGAAGCTATGCTTTCAGATGGAATTACCAGATTTACTCGAGTCCTTCAGGGGGTGCAGTGGCTGCAGTAAGCCCCTCCATCGGACAGTAACGCACTGACCACTCACCAGGACGCTAGACATTCACAAGACGCCATTGGTTTCGACTGCCCGTAGCAATTTCAGGTTATGTAGACCAGACCCAATGTTTCCCCGCAAGCTCCTGAGGCAAGACTTCATCCTCAGCTGCAAACTCGCCGTTACTGTGAACAGACACGCAGGCGAACAGATCGGAGACAGCTACGAGAGAAACCGCAAGCCTATCGATATCCAGGTCAATGAGGGCTCATGGTAACACAAGATCATGTGCTCGACAGGAGTGGTTACATCTCCAATATAGAGGAGTACTGTAACCTAATCGTTCTTATGTAGGATCTGTGTCAGTGTTGGGAAGCGACTCCAGGTATGTGGAATGGGTGAACTGCCGTTTGGGTCATGGGCTGTATGTTGGACCAAGGAACTATTTTCGACCTAAGAAAAAACGTAGAAGTACTGTCCATGTAAGGGTATTGCATAGTTTAAGAGAGTCTGGGTCGGGAGGCATACGAGGGAGCTAGTGCGGAAATAGGGCGGAGAAGAGGAGGAGGCCGCCGTGTTTAGGTTCAGCAATCTGACTGCCTATTTGGGGATGACTGGCCGACGAGCAGACGGGCGTTCATAATGGCTCATCGGGTAACTGTAATCCCCGGCGAGTATATCTCCCTCGTCATCACTGGACTGCACTCTCAACTCAGTCGGCTCTTGTTTTTCTCAATATGGTTCTTGATCTATTCCCACTTCCCAGCATAGCCTTATCATGACGTCTGGTACTTTTCTTCCTGAGAACCATTCAAACAATAAGGGTTCGGATATTAGCACCACAAAGTTGTCTCTTGAGCTACAGCGATCAGCTCAGGAGACAACTATGTGGCCATCCAGCGCCGTTCGGGAGTCGCAAATGCCTGGTCTCTGCCAATCCAAGCCTTTCCGAAATTGATCCACATTATGGCAGCATGCCTTGCGTCGGGGTCGGACGAGAAATTGCGGGCAGTCCGACTGGATATCCCGGTCCCCAACCTGGGCCGGTAGTATGTATTCACAAGGTTTCGAGGGTAAAATGCTGATAGATGACCTGGAAGTCCGTATCTCAATGTCCTTCTGAGGGAATGTAATAGCCGGGGGCGGCAGGCCTTTGATTGCGCCGGTAGATAGATGTCTGAACTTCATCGAGTCACGTTTTTTCGCATAGGAAAGGGTAGAATATATTCCACATTCAAGGCCAACTATCTGCGATTTTCGAGAGTTCGAAAATCTACCGAGTAGTCTGGCATCATTACATTCGTCCGGGCTTGAATCAACTGGACATCCTCGATCGTACTGATGTGACAGTTTACACCCGAGAGTCGCAAGCTCTGACTTGGTGGTGTGAAACGGCAAATTAGAGAGATTCAGCGCTTGGCAGATCAAGTAAGATACGGTGGCATCAGACATCGCATGTGATGTTGATCTATAACGTCCGTCCAATAGGGCACGAGAGACATCGACGTGAGCATCGATGCAAGCATTAGAGCCATCGTGAGTGCTACGATCAACCGAAAAAGAATTCTGGCTTTCCTAGGGACTTGGAAAAAAAAGGAGGAAAGCTGTTGGTTTATGGGGTATTGGTTCAGCATCACCAGGGGGGATCCCTTAGCTGTCCAGAGTTCCTTGATCTGGAGACAATGATTCACAGTACCGCTTGTCTAGGGCATTCTCTTATGTTGTTCGGCGTGTAACTTCGCTAAAGAATCCTTTCTCCCGCGACTATAAGCGTGTCCATCTGCATCGTGTAATATCTAGTCCCGGGCAACGGCGATTCAAGTTGCACTATACGGAAGTTTCTGTACCTGGGAGAGACAAGGGGAAGGCCACGTCTGCTGTTACGACGTCCGCGCTTTTCGCGGAATGTCCAGAGACGTCAGGCACTGATTGCTCCTGGGATCCGGAGTCGGGCTGGCGACCGAGCAAATGAAACGTGGGGAAAGGGAGACAGAGAAAGTTTCTGCGGCCGCCACGGACGGGCGCTGCCGAGCCGTTAGTCGGTCGGTCGCGGGTTCGGCCATCGGCTTCGGCCCTGCGACTGCTCCCCATCCCACGCACAATCAAAATGAATCCATCCTGGCAGGACCTTCAAAATTCATTTCGCCCTCGGAATCCTTGCGGACCCACTGAAACTGTTGGACCGCCGTGGGTCTATCCTGATACTCTATAGAGATTGCTAGTTTGACTATTCGGCCTTGGGTCGAGAATGCCTCCAACTGGCCTAGGGAGGTCATGATTTGTGAGCTACCATGACAAGCAGCAATGTTCTGCCCTGTCGCGTAAAATAATGGAGGACAGACGCCGGTCCATTCGCCCCCTCACGCAATGGGAGTAATCGGTGCGTGCTTACACATAGGATCCGAAGATGAGATGGAATTCGTATAGGGGGCCGGGCAGAGCACCAAGGGGTGGTGAATTTCATCATCCGAAGGACAGAAACAACGACTGGGAAAGAAAAGTCCCTGCATGTCCGAATGATACCCATGCAGTTCGAGGAGCAGATACCAGCAGACCATCGAGTCTCTACCCACCGAGATGACGAGCTACTGCAAGAGGAGTGTCCACCGCTGAAGGAGAGTGAGTCACTCTCACGGGGAATGATCCGGTCGCGTTCGGTTTCGCATTCCCAAAAATGACCTGTCTGATTGGTGACAGCTCTTTCCAAGTAGATCCGTCAGTGGAGAGATAACGGACGGCCACTATTCTTTGACACTCGGCTCTTTCAGCAAGAGTAAACGCTCGGGTGATATCCACGACTGATCATGATGCTTGGAGTCGCGCATCGAGAGATCGGCCTGTAAAGACCAATCCGACTGAAGGGCCACTTCAATCCTCAGGTCTAGAAGATAGAGTCAGTTCTGGAACAGTGGCCGACCGGAGTCGATTACGCAGCTTGACCAGGCTCTCGGGGATAGGGTTGGGACCCCGTCCTCAGGCGAACCCACATCCGGGCCTGGAAGAGTCGGCCCCAATTCTATTGACGAAAGACGTCCTCATCGGGGCGGTCAATGACCCAACCGTGTCATCCTTCCATTCGTGTGATAAGGGTCTTCCTGATTCTGGACGGTGACCTCGTCCGGTGCGGTTGACCCGGCACGTGGGGGTGGCCAAGCCCATTAGAGGAGCGGGAAATTTTCCAGGTACCGCCGTAGACTGGAGGCCTTTATCACAGGGAAATTCTAGACCAGTCAATCGCATCTCGATGCCTACGGAGTACGGTGGTCGGTCTGGTTGTGCCGCACTGCTTATGGCAAACACACAACATCAAATCGGTCCGATAAAGTTTTCTTACCCGACGCCTCCGGGTGGGAAGCACCACGCCGCGGGCAGCAGTGGCAAGATAGTTATGCAGACCCCAATGGCAATTGAACCAGATTAGCTCCCTTCAAAAGATTGGTGGACTCGGAAACCTTGAGGTTATTTCCCCCTAGGTTGAGGGAGGGGCAAAGGAAAGGGGAGAGGGGCAGGGTCGCGACCAGAAGGGAAAATGGCAAACAAAGAACCTTGAGAATCCCACTCACTATTGCGCCCTTCTCACGTAGTAGTTGCCCAGCCACTTCAATTTGGTTGTGCGCCGGTTGAGTTTTTGCCCCTTTTTTTTCGCCCATGGTCCGGGCGCATTGCCATGAGACTCTGCTGCTGTCGGGATTCGAGACTAGGAACTCAAAGGGACACCAAATGAAATGAACATTTCCCGTGGGAGGGGAAGATTTGACCAGGTTGATGTCAACTTGAAACTGGCATGGTAATAGTATGTAGTGTACGGAGTATGGGCGATAGCTTTTAGAGAGCGATGAATGCCCGACAAGGAGCTATGGCCTCTGGTCGCGACAGAATCATGTGCAGCACTGCAGAGAGTGGGTAGCTTGGGTCAATCCATCATCACATTGGCAAGCTCTTATTGGCGACGTGGATCCCGACATCCAGGTGATGGGCGGTGGAGCCCCTGCAGAGCAGGGATGCGACGCATTGACGTTGTCCTCGCCAGCAGCCCAAATGGAAAGCTGCATCATCCGGTTGGTAATTGGTACTACAACTCCCACCGCTTTCTGTGACCGTTTCCTCGACCTTGGAGTGATAGCAGGGATTGTCAGGGCCCTCTGGCGGGAGTTCCTGGTCCATTGGATCGACCACGTTAGCGTCTTATCACGCAAGATAAGAGCGTCAGCGCATTTGCCACAGAAGTGACGGGATCTGCAGATAGCACTGTGATGGCTGGAACGATCGCCACCAGTGTACGTACAAGGAGCCCAGCACGTCATGGAGCATGCAATGGTACGAATGGATGTGTCACTCCTTGACGAGCGAGCCACTTTTTGAGGGGGTGATGAGGACAACTGATGGGGGGGAGAGTACGAGTCCCCGGGGGGGGGGGGGGGGTTGGTGGGAAGAGAAGAGGGGAAGACGGCTGTGTGACTGTGAGACGGTGACACATTGGAAATCCGAAAATCCCCCCCACCGCCCAAGAATAGAACCTCATCCAAAACATCATCCAAATTCCCAAACCGGCGAGCTTATCAGTCCCACGTGCCCGTGCACGGACTTCCGCCAGCTTCTCGAACGTCGCCGCTCACCAGGATTATTCAATGTCTGGGATTTTCTCAACCCATTTAATTTATTTTGATTGTCCGATTTTCCAGAGGAACCCTCTCGATGACCAATGGGAGGCGGCGAGGACCTCATCGGACGCGTCTCAGGAACTGCAAAGGTAAATTCGTCAGGAGGGACCCGCGATTGGGCTGTGCCCGACGGTTTGTCGGCCTGAATCCAGGGCTGGACCAGCCGGTCTCCACCGGGCGATCCACCCCGACGGGCGATTTGGCTTTTCAGACCGGTTCTAGAGCGTTCGCCAACAAAGTTCTGCGCATCCCATGACCTTGGGTTATCATGGTCTTTGCTTTGCCCTCCATCGTATATAGACCGGGCCCCGACTGACCTGGAGATATGACAGCTAGACACCAACAAGCCAGTTCTCTTTAGCTCTCTCCGGACTTCTTGCTCTCGCCCTCTCCCATCCTGGGAAGGCATTCTGCAGCCGCCCTCCATAAGCTCCCGCAGAGAGGCAACCCCACCACGCACACCATCCATACAATGTCCTATACTTCCTCCTCCCGCTTCTCCAAATCGACTTCTCCCGCTCCTCGTACCCGACGACCCTCTCCGTTGGGAAGAACCTCGTTGCATCTCCGTCTCAGTCTGCTCTCCGGCGAGAAATATGAACAGGAAAGCAGTGCCAAAGAACCCGATCTCCGTCGCTGCCTCAGCCATGCCCACATCCACGCCAAGTCCATGGCCATGGTCAAGCGCGACATCCGAGTCCATATCCGCTCCATGGGCATGGCCATGGATGACGACAGCGACGAGGACACCATCGATGATGAGATCCTCCCTCCGCCCCCTCGCCGATCGGCGCGCAGCTCCAAGGCCGCGCCTGCCCCACGGGTGACGGCACCCTCTCCCAAGTCCAGCGAGAAGTCGAGCCTGCTTGACAAGGGCCGCAAGTGCTTGGAGAAGATCTTTCCCCGCCGGAACGGCGCGCACTTGGCTCAGTCCCGAGTCACTGTTGTTGCCTGATCTCGTCTCTCTCGGTTAAACACATCCTCACTACTACTGCTCATCGGTTTCGTCACCAATCCCAATTACCAATGGTTTCTGATCCAACCTCGGGGTAATCACGCCATACCGGGTCCCCGCGCCCATCCTCTTGGAATTCGGCCACGTCCCAGACTGCGTCAAGAGTCTCCTATCCTCCCGCCCGTCCGTTCGCGACTAGCGCGCTCTCCTCCGATTGAGAGTCTGACCTGATGCCGTCTGGGACCCCATTCCACCATCCACTACCTCCACACTCTTCCTATCGTGTCCTTGAAGCAGGCTTTGACGATTATGTTCGGAAGATGATATGTGACTGTTTCTATCTCCTGTATTTTCCTTTGTCTAGGTTATTTAGCGTGCTGGGTTTCTGCAAGAGCGATACCATTTAGAGTTTAGACCTCATAGATTAGAATCTTGGCCTGGGGCCTTCTTTATGAGAATTGATCACAGTCTCAAATCTACTCCTTTCCAGTGATTATTGCTTATTTCCAAGTTCTTAGGTCCACAGACATCCCTACATCAGCCAATCATATGTACGTGATTCACCCGGAAACGAGCCAATGATCCAATAGGTAACCGCCCGCCATTCGAAGCGCAGACGGTCGCACTGCTCACTGGCCTGGCCGGATCTTCATGCCCAATGCTTGTTTTTGCACCTCCAACTAGTACGATCCCCCCCCCCCCCCCCTGCAACTCCGACGATCTTCTGCCCCATTGGTGGGCGATTTAGCGCCGACAACTCGACGAACTCGCTCCGGGGCTATTGTTGAGGTGCTGCTCTCTTGCAGCGGCTACGTGATATTCAGCGGGAATGCGATAGGCCGAGAGCTCCTACCGATGCCGGCACCGCTGCAGCATGCATGCAAACCCCTCCTGGTCTGCATAGCCGAGACAACTGTCGGTCAGAATGATGACTGCCTTTCCGGACCACGTTGCGATCGGATTAACAGGTTTTGAATCGATGTGTATCAATGCATTGTTTAGGAAGATGTAGGTTTTTGGGGTGATGACGCGTCTGACTTTACCAGTAATATTTTCGACACGCATGGCAAAGGCTCATCAGAAAGACACATGGAAAGTCAACATCCAAGGGAATGAAGTGTCATGAGCTGATTGATAGGGAACATGCATCCCTCCGCGCTATCCGCCAGCGGTCGCGCAGTCCGAATCCTCAGTCGGTCGGAAGTCACCAACACTACACAGTAATATGGGCGGTTATGCATCAAAAGCAAACCCCCTTCTTATCTTTACAGGTGAGGAAGAAACGTCGTCCAATCCACCGTGCGATAAGCGCTCGCATCCAGGGCTCTCAACCCCACAAAAGCCTCATCAATCAAATACAGTCTTGCAGCAGCATACGTGCAAGCGAGGGGAAAGATACTCCAAAACTCCGCTTTTAGGGGCAGTTCATTGGGCGTCTTGGCTGACTCCCGGGCCAGTCGTGCCTCTTCCACATCTGCCAGCTTGGACTTCCAGAAGATTCTGCAGAAGAAGCGCTGCCAGCGTCCGATGCGGTACCAGGCCGTAGACGTCTGCACGTTCAGAGGCCAACTCGGGAGTAGGTCATCGATGAAGTTCAGGGGTGTCTGCTCGTATGGCCTCATGGCAAGTTCACTGGCTTCTCTGCGTATCTAGTCTAGGCTAACGTGAAGCTCTAGCCTCGTCGGTGTCCGGATATCGCTGCCGCCATCCAGAACAGACGTCGACGAATGATATACCAGGGTTACTCATTTTGTACGAGAACGTTGAGACACATTGTGCAAGCGCATATGAAGAACAGCGGCTCTCAGACAATTCGACTGATAGACCCATTCATAAGCAAGTCTATGGGTGGCGGCAGTCACGGCAGCAGTGGTGATATATGTCGTATTGTTAGACGTCGGGTACACCCCTGCATGGAGGAGGGCGCCTTATCATACAATGAATATCCCTGGACTATCTCGAATGGCAAGGACAGGTAGCACCGGAAAACGAAATAGTATTCGAAATGTGTCTCTGGGGATCACGCGGACGAACGAAGAGGACGCCTTGTGAAGCCCTGACAAACGGCCGTCTAAATATCTTTGCATCCCTGTCTGGGGCGCCGGCTGGGAGAACTTGATATAACCACACGGTAAAGCATGCCCTCAACGAGTGGCTCGGAACTGTCGGGCAAGCCCGTGCAACTAAACCCCGGTTGAGCTCCTCCCGGCGGGGTCTTGATCGCCAATTCGCCGGTGTCGGCGGCTACCTACATAGTAACTTGCCCGAAAACCCCTGTCGATTCCCGTCCCTGGGCACTTGTGATAGGCCATTGGTACTTATCATTGGCCGGCAAAACTGCCCTCCTGCATGGGATGGAGCTCGATTCCGGCTATACAAGGGCTCCCCAAGCCCCACCTTCTCCGAGTATTCAGTACACCTGAAAAACGTTCACCTTCGCTCTACTCCAATCATGCCAAGGCTCAAACACCCCATATTCAGTATGCGGCTTCTTTCTGCTGACAGTCCATCTATATCGGAAGTATTGCCGCGGCACCGGAAAACATCCCCTCTGCCACCGGTACCGGTGGTGGAAGAGCCAGCAACACCGGAAAAGGACCGGTTCGAGGACAGTGACCCGGTCCTGCTCTCTTACGACGAGATCCCGGAATGGTATCAAGACAATGAGTACATCCGGCATGGTTATCGCCCGGTCTCCAACTCGACTCATGCATGCTTCGCTAGCTGGCTGTATTTGCACAATGAAACGGTCAATATCTATTCGCATCTCATTCCCGCCGTGTTTTTCCTCGCGGGGGAAGGCCTATTCTATCAATACCTCCAAGCCAGGTACCCCGACGCCACATTAGGTGATCATGCCGTGTTTGCCTTCTTCCTTTTGACAGCCGTCATATGTCTCGGCATGTCGGCTACATATCATACCTTGATGAACCACTCCCTCCATGTCTCCGACTTGTGGTTGAGACTCGATTACGTGGGAATCATTGTCCTCACACTGGGAGACTTCGTCTCCGGAATCTATATGGTATTCTACTGCGAGCCTCTGCTGCGACGGATATACTGGGGCATGGTACGTTACAATGTCGGCTTTGGCACATCGGAGCTAACCGATTCTGTTTGTAGATCATCACACTCAGCTGTATCACTATTGTGATTCTTTTGAATCCAAAGTTCCAAGGTCCTCGCTGGCGAACGTTCCGTGTCTGCACATTCGTTGGTACGGGACTGTCAGGCTTCGCGCCTCTAATCCACGGCATCAGCGTCTTTGGATTTGCCAAGATGATGGAGCAGTCGGGCATGCCATATTACCTTGGGGAAGGAGCCCTTCTCATTCTAGGAGCTCTTTTCTATACGGTCAGCACGATGAAATCAGACACGTTTGGAACCAGATACTCATGTATTTCTACAGATGCGGATTCCCGAATCACTGAGGCCGGGGAAATTCGATATCTTTGGCTGTTCTCATCAGATCTTCCACATTCTCGTCGTCCTGGCCACTGCGGTCCAGCTCATTGGGATTCTGTCTGCATTTGACTATAACTACCGGCACCGAGAATGTAGGCACTCGTAAAGTGGCAGCGTCTCACCCCGGACCCTGGCTTAGATTTCATGGCGGTCCTTGTTTGGAAATATCCCTTGGCTAGGTTGTCTTTTCTGGTGCGACTTTTTTTGGACACGGATGTCCTGTTAGACCTCTGTATGTTGTCTAGAAGGTTGGTTTTGCTGCGGGTTCTGCTGCATGTTTGCCCCCATTTACTTTGGCTAGATGACATATAATTAGAATAGTCAGTCACCCTAAGGTTCCATAGCTCATGTAGGTCGTGAAGTGATTAGTCCCGTAAGAATCCTTCAATCACAGGGCCAACTTCCTCGACATCATCAGCGTGCGGGTAATGCCCTGTTCCCTCGACAACCCACTCCTGCAGCCACCTTTCTGAGAGATGCGCGCGAACGAATTTCATATACTCCGTCACATCCCCCTTTTGAATTCCGTGTCTTCCATTTGATCCCTGTGCCTCCTGACTCTGAATCAGCAACACCTTGGTCGGGTTCAAACCCGCTCCCACCGCTTCCCGATTCCTTTTTTCCAAACCATCAAGCACCTTCGCAAGCCCAGCATCAAATCCCCCGTACCAATAACTCATCCGCAGCGCATACTCAAAATCCAATCTCGCAAACCCCTCCCTCGTCTGCTCTTCGAACGCCTTCGACGTCCGCGGCCCAAAATACAAATTCAGCCGATCCTGAATCACCTCTCTATACTGCACCGCCTGTTCCCGGATTCTCTCCAAATCAAACCCCTCCGGTGCTGAATCCCTCGAATGAGCGCCATCCGACAAGATAGCATGAGAAATTACATTCCCGAGACTGGAGTACACCTCCAACGCCATGAAGATGCCCATGCTATGTGCATAGATGACCGTTTCGGTCTGATTATGCTGCAGACCGAACGAATCGAGAACCTCTGCGCATAGTTGGAGAATCAGCTTGGCGATCCCACCTTTTTCGGGCTCGGGGAGGGCAGATTTGGGGGATTGGCCGTGTCCGGGGAGGTCCAGGGCGATGAAGAGGTCTCCAGACTCGGGGGTGAGGCCGTGGCAGGCGAGATGGGTGATCAAAGGGATGTAGTGGGTTGCCTGGCAGCCCCAGCCGTGGATCATCAGGGAGAGTCGCTTGATCGGCGCATTGCGGGACGGAGTGGGAATGTTGGTGAGATAGGAGAGGTGGGTGGAGGGGGAGACGGTGCGATGGATTGTCATGGTTGGGATTAAGATGTGACAGTATAGGCTGTTTGTGGAAATTGTGGGATTAACTGCAGGACAGGTTGGGATATTTGAGAAACTGACTAGTTGATGATTAGCCCGGTGGGGATCACTTGATCTCGGCCGCCGGGGATCCGCCGGTCGCCTTTCACCTTCTATCTCCATCGTCCATCTCTCCTGTCATCCAAACTTGATTCATGTCGGAAGGTATACAATCAGAGCACCATTTGCCATTTCACTTTCGTTTCTTACCCCTGGGCTGTCCATCACCTCGCCCGCATACAGCTGCAGATTCCACCACTCTTCCTCGTCCAAGGCGTTGACCTGTTCGTGACTGAGACTTCCGTTGAGAGCACTACTGATCTCACGAGTCGAGCAGATCCCCTGGAGACACGGAACTTGCATCAACTTGTGAATACAAACTGTTGGAGACGACCACTGCTGCATTCGCGAAACCGAATAAACTCTTCGAATGGCATGAACGTATCCATTTCCTCCTCCGCTACCAGGAGTCGGTCGAGGTCCACCTGTGCCACGCAGTTTCTCAGCATTTTATGGCGCTGTTTGTGGATAAGCTTTTCGAATTCTTTCTCTTTCTGGGTGTACGACATCCGCTCTTCCGCCAGGAATTGCTCGATCCTTCTGCCTGTGCTGCTGGCGATCGGCATGCAGCTGGGACCTGCACAGCATTCTACGCCTTCCATTGACCAGTCTTAAAGAAATGGCAACACCTTCTGCTTCTCGGTTAGCTTTACTTTGCTGGGAGCGAACGTTTGAGCCCTAGAAAGATTGATATCCATTATGACGGCTGCACTGGGATACTGCCCAAGTTCTGCAGACTAAATTTGGCCAGGCCCTCCACCCATTCCTGATGTCCCAGCAACATGGGATTCGGTTTCTTCTCTGCCAACCCGGCTGCCGGTTGCCCGGCCTGCACTTCCTGTGTCAAAATGCGCACCACCCCCCACTCCATGTCCTCGATGATCCACGCATGATAGACCTCCAGCGCTGTCTCCTCGTCCCCTTCCTGCCACGCGCGCCACGCCAACCGGCCTGGCGAGTTCGAAGTCGGCGCCACTGACTCACACACTTCTGCTTGGAGCGGCGGGAAGCCGAATGTGGCGAAACTGAATCGGTCGCCCTTGTTTTGGAGTGTCGGGCCGGAGGAGGGGGGTGTTATTTGGTCCACGTTGGAGTAGTACGATGTCCAGCGTGCCGGGTCGACAAGGTTCGGCCAGACGCGGGTGGCGGTGAGCTGAGGAACGAAGATTTCATTGGAGACGAAGTTTTCGGTGGTGCCGGGGAGGAAGCGATGAGGCCAGCTGACGGTGGACATGTTGATGCGTGTGCTGCAGAGTTGATAAGGGATAGTGTCGGTTGTACAAGATGGAAAGGCCAAGACGCTGGCGAACAGAAGAGAGAACTTTGATCGTGCAGCGAACTTGTATACGTTGAACAGGAGTGAGGGGTTGGGGGATAATATACGTTGGTGGAAGCACTGCGTCATGATGGTTGACCTCGGTTGACGTCATGGATGCAATCGATCCGAGGCTGCCGAGCCGTGGATCTGCCATGGGTACCAGAAACTTGAACGGTGGAATCTCGACTGTCTATTCAACTATAACTGGACTAACAGGCACACACGCTCTAATACATTCATCATCAATTATCCCCAGATTTACACCAAGAACTGCTTGATCAACACGTTCAACTGCGCCGTCATGCCGGCATACAGCTCCTGGCGCTTGGGCTCAAAGGCATCAAAGATCTCCTTGGCGGAACCGACAGCAATCTGCTCCTCGCCCTGCTGCAGCTGTCCCCAGACATTTCCAACAAACTCATCCAAGGGCATACCGATCAAGTGGCCGTCCTTCAGGTCAGGCTGGTGCTTCGCGTCATGCAGCTCCGTCTGCACCGCCGGGGGGAAGATCTCGAAGACCTTGACATTGCCGGGGCCCTCGCTGACCTGAGTGCGCAGGGCGAGAATGAAATGGTGCAGAGCCGACTTGGAGGCGCCGTAGTTGGGGCAGCGCATCATGGGGACCAGGGCCATCTGCGAGGTGGTGAACATAAGTCCGGTGGGCTTGTTCTGGGCCTGGAGGTGGGGCAAGAAGGCCTTGGTGAGGTAGACGGGGGCCGTGTAGTTGGTGACGAGCTCCTGATCGAAGATGCCGAGGTCGACGGTGGAGGGCTTAGAGAAGTCGAAGGGGCGCTGGATGCCCGAGTTGACAAAGACGAAGTCGATCTGAGGGTTTTCCGCGAGGACCTCGGCAGCAAATTGGGGAATCTATGAACATTAACTTGGGGTCGATGGTGGCTGCGGGTGAAGCGGGACTTACCTTCTCCAGATTTGTCACATCAAACACCTTGGTCTTGACCTTGTCCGAGCCGTACTGGGCGGCGAACTCGTTCAGGTTGGCCTCGCGCCGACCAGAGATGACGACGGGGATGTTGTTTTGCACGAGAGTGGTGGCCAGGGCGCGTCCGATGCCGGAGGTGGCGCCAATGATGAGGACCTGGGAGTAGTTGAAAGGCATGTTGAGAAGTTGGCGGATGAAAGGGGGGAAGAGAAATGAGATGGTAGAGTTGAGACGGAGTGAAGATGAGAGTGATGAAGATGGAGACTGCAGACTATCCGGTCGGTCTCTGGTCTTATTTATGTCTGTGAGAGACCTGTAAGAGATTTCTGGATGGCGGTGTTTCTGAATAATGCCCCTCGGAGGATCCATCCATTCGGGAACCTTCTCGGTCCCTGCGGCGCGCAGCCCCGGGAAATTGGCACGCCTTCCGCTCCGAGTTTAGTCTCCGTTGGTGGCACCAACTTTAAATCGGCCAGCGGACACTAGTCCTATTACGGCTAGCCGGTCGATCAGGGGTTGGCAGTTGGCCACCATGACTGCCGAAGCGACATGACGTGAGCTCACGAGCATTAGCTGGTATTCAGCTGATCCAGTGACTACAGGAGAACTTCGTTTGTCCTGTGATATAATAGCATACCGTGGATGTGAGATTTAGAAAGCAACAAAATGTCACCACACCGGCGGATTGCGGAGCACTCCTGAAATCTCCATACTCCACACCCCCGACCAAATCTTTATCCAACCCAACCTCAAACTCAATCCGATCAGCCTAATGCCATATTATTCAGCGGGATTTTATCATCAACTCCGTCTTCTCGAAGATACCGTTCTCCTCTGCGCGCAACATGGGCTCTCCGGATGTGGTTTAGCCTCCGCTTGAGCAAAGCTTGGGCGGACTCTAAACCCTTTCGGGCCGACTTGGCGGATGCTCCATTTGTCATCTGTTTGGGTTGCCCTACATTTCCGCATCACCACCACATACAAATACAGACAGACATGGCAGGCTCAACTCCATCATCCACTCACTCCTCACTGCTCTCTCCTTAGTATCCTCCCTACCACTTCCTCACCTCATTTTTATACCACCTATCCACTCCATCCATCACAATGGCTCCTCAACTCGCATGGCTGGGCCTCGGCAACATGGGCCGAGTACTTCTCCCTCCCCTCCAACTTAGCAATCCCACTAACCAACCCATGACAGGGCATGGCCAAGAACCTCGCCGCCAAAGGCACCCCCAGCCTCCCCCTCATCATCTACAACCGCAGCATCGCCCGCGCACAAGAATTCCAAGCCGCGACCCCCAACACCATCATCGTCCCGACCATCTCCGAAGCAGTCACCAAATCCGACATCATCTTCACCTGCGTCGGTGACGACGCCGCCATCCAAGCCATCATCGACACCAGCATCGCCAGCGGCACCTCCCTCCAGAACAAACTCTTCGTCGACCTCTCCACCGTGCACCCGGACACCACCACCTCCATCTCCACCAAACTCCACTCCCACGGCGCCTCCTTCGTCGCCAGCCCCGTCTTCGGCGCCCCTCCCATGGCCGCCGCGGGCCTGGTCATCCCCGTCCTCGCGGGCCCCCGCGCCGCCGTCGACCAAGTGAAACCCTACACGACAGGGGTAATCGCCAAATCCATCGTCGACTTCAGCGACCAACCCCCCGCAAAGGCCTCCCAACTCAAAATCCTCGGCAACACCTTCGTCCTCGGCATGGTCGAAAGCATCGCCGAGGGTCTCGTCGTCGCAGACAAATGCGGTCTAGGCACGGACGCGCTACACCAGTTCTTCGAGGCGGTGTTTCCGGGGCCCTACGTGGCGTATTCGGCGCGGATGCGCTCGGGCGATTACCATGAGCGAGCGGAGCCGTTGTTTGCGGTGGATTTGGCGCGCAAGGATGCAAGACATGCGCTGGATTTGGCGGCCAAGGCTGGGGCCACGATGAAGAGTGTGGAGTTGGCGGATGCGTATATGGGCAAGGTGAAGGAGCACATGGGGGCCCGGGGGGATGTCGCGGGGATGTATGGGGCTGTGAGACAGGAGGCGGGGTTGGAGTTTGAGAATAAGCAGTGATTGAGTAGATGGGATTATGAGTTAATTTATGTTTGAATTAATTATTGGCTTGAGATGATATTGTCCTGCCCTGTACTACGATGGTGACATTTGTATGTTGTGTTGTGTATGGCATGATTCATGACATCTTCCTTCTTTCCCATATGGCCATAGACCACCTATCAGTTGCCCCCCCCCCCCCCCCTTTTTTTTCCCTTCTGGGGCATCTTTCCGTCTTACCGGTATAAGTAAAACGATGCACCGTTGGTATACCTACAGCGTCCGCCGCCCCTGCTTTTTACACCAACCCCAGACCCGTGATTATCAATTTGTATACATTGCCACAGATGGTAAATAGTATGTCTATCTTAGATAATCCAAAACCTCTGCCCTACCTGCAGTTACATTCCAACCCCCCCACCCCCCCAAGGTAATGATCTAGATATAGAATCTAGATCAAAGAAATGATGCTAGATGCTAAATGAAAGGCAATAAGCCAGACTATGTATTATCTATTCGTCAGTCGATTTATTTATCTCGGTCAACAAAAAGATGTACGAAAGGTAAAAAGAGGGTTTGGGGTGGGGAAGGGCAAAAAAGAAATCTCCCCGACTGGGAGTCGAACCCAGGTCTCCCGCGCTTGTTCCCCGATTGGGGATTGACAAGCGGAAATCATGACCGTTAGACCATCGAGGATTTCTTGTTCATCTTGCTTCGTTTTATGTTATATTAAGGTAAATCTTGTTATGGGGCGTTCTTGTGGAGGGAATATCTATGTAGATATTCTCTTTTGAAGTGGTAATAGTTGGTATTGATTGCTTAGCTAATAGATGCCGAACTTTTCTAATCGTGTTTTTGAATAGCGAGTAATATATAGATAGTCTGGACGCATATCTGCGTAGACCACCATGGTTATGGAATGCAATTACAGAAAGCGAGTCCTGATGGAGGCATTGTGCAATCACCAGATCTCAACTACCTGCTCATCATACAACTCCAACCCCAAAGACCGGAGCCCAGTATGCACCATCAAACTATTAGCGTCTCGGCCAGTGAGCTCAGGCGGCCGGTTCAGCTCCCATAGCTGCGCTCTCGCCCGGAGGTGGTTCTCGAACTCCTGAACATCCCAGTGGCAAGTCTCATCAAGAGATGGTCTCTGGTTCAACAGGTCCCGCGGCGTATCCATTCCCACGGCAGCGCAGAAGTTGTCGTAATGAGCTGTCCACTTCTGAGACAGTTGATTACCCGGAAGCCATGTCCAGCAATGCTCCACCACTAATTCAATATATTCGAACAGCCTCAACAGCTGCTCGGTCGTTTCCGCCCATTTTCGGATATCCGGGAGACGCGCCATCATTTGGTCCAGGATAGGAGACCAATGGGGCTCCGGGGCCGTGTTCGCTGGGTCGACGCGATGCAAGAATGACCAGCAGAATCGACGCAAGTCCCAGGTGTATAGTGTCGCTGAACTGTCTGTGCCGCAATATTTCATGACCAGGGCTGGGTGGATCTTCATGCGGGCTTCGCCTCGTTGCTCGGTGGCATTGAGTCGATTGACCTCTTGGAGAAGCTGCCAGATTGCCTCTTGATCGCGAAACATCCATCCGAGTTCGCTGTTTAAGGTGTGCCAGGTTTCTTGCAATTGTTGCTCGTGCCGTGGTAGAGGCGTCAGCGAGATCATGGAATAGCTCAGTACCCGGTCGCGAATGGTTGAAAAGGAGATGGGGACTGCGAGAGTAGCAGAAGAGGGAATCTGGCTAGCCTGTTCCAGACTCAAGTGGAATTCTCGAATCAGTATCTTCTCTTCCGGCGAGAGTGGCGCTACTGTAATACCTGGGATTCCCCTTGTTCTCGATGGCTCTAACACCCCCCGGGAAGCAGGCATCCAGAATGAGAGAGCGCATGTCGCTACAAGTGTATAACCCCTTGAGACAAGATTGTCTCTGAGAATGACAGGGCTGTCATACCCACCCAGGATAAACAGGCCGTCTGCCCCCGGCTGGTATTCCGGATCCGGCACAGTGACGTACAGTGTTGCTCTTCGTTTAAGTGATATACTGAGGTGTGTATAGCCTTTGCCTCGCTGGACTGTTCCTCTCAGATCGCACAGCTTGATGGCTCGTGTCCGCAGGACCGACGTAGCGGCGTCTCTCTGAATTTCGCATTCATGGCCAAGCAGACCATTGAAAAGCACATGGGTTGGGCCCGGTAGCTGACCATCCTCTTTATCGAGTGAATCTTCAGTTGATGTGGGTATATCCCGGGTGCACAATGCCTGAGACCAGTCCGGGACCCAGGACGGAAGATCGAAAGACTTCTTCCGCAGCCCAGCTAATTTGAACACATCCATCGCATTGCAACATTTGACAAGGTATTCAGTAAGTCCAATATATACTCGCTCCATGGAAACCGTATAGTCAGGGACAATTCCACTCTCAGCTATCAAGCCAGAAACGGCAAAGATCTTGTCACGCGGGTCGCAGCACTTGTACGGCGATGCCTTGATCAAAATTGGCAGAAGATCGCGATCAGTAAGCCCATACCAATTCTGGTTCCGGAACAGCCAATCAGGTATAGAAAGATCTGGATGAGTCTGTGCAAAAGGTGTCTTGGGCCATGGCGCACATTGTCTGCCACAGACTACTTCAAGCTCGCGAGCCAACAGGACATGTTGAACGGCCCATATCCTGCAAAAGTATGGTCTCTCTAGAAGGCTTTTTAGGGCCGCTCGGATCTCTTTGTCAATATGCATCTTTTCAACCGTCATCCCTGGTCCGGCTACCGCAATGCTCTTGAGAAAGCCCAAGGCGTTGGCACTGTCTGATGTTTCAGGGCCTAGATAAGCTATGACTTTGGTCGCCCTTCTGTAAATGTGACCGACCAAAGCAACTTGTTGGCTCTTCTCCCGAACATCTGCTGAATCGATGCTTAAAGAGTCCACCCAGACTATTCTGTCAGCCTTCTCACCCCGAATGGAGCGGAGCGCTTGCTCGCAGTTATGCGGCACATAAACAATGTCCCAGTACTTGCCCACAAACACTGGACGAAGCTCGTCTTGGCCGCCTATTTCGTCGAAAGAAGTGTACGATAAAGCGTCATACAAGGGCACAGGAATGCTATGAATGCGCACGACATCCAGTTCGACATGCAGGGGGCTGTCAAATGGGCCAGCCTTCAGCCGCACAAGGCGAATGCCGTCATTAGGTGTGATCTTTGGGAATCCTGGCTCTCGTGACTGCAAGCTTGATGGACCAGCTGGGCAATTGCCCTGCTTTGGCTTTTCCCCAGATATGCTAGAATTATCATCTTGGACAGCCGATGGCCAGGTATGGTCATAATGGGTGCCGTCCAGCGGCGATAATACAGGCAGCTTTAGGCCTTCTTCCAAGGTCGGAACAGCGAAACAGTAGTTGCAGCACAGGATACCACTAGCGGCACTGACATCTGGTCGTCGACATCCGGACTCGTGCCATCGGTTCATCGTATGCAGTTCTGCGGACGATATCCTGGGAGACGTTTCTGATCAAGAAACCCGAGGCGGAAGAAAGTTGAGGCTGAGGTCGAAATGGCGGGGCGGATGTATCAACTATCGTGCGCCCGCTAGCGGCAACATGTGACCTATCAGCCTTGTGGCTATAAATAAGCCTTCAACTGGCAAAACAACCCGTACCTGTCTGTACACTCGCCGCGAATCTTGGCATATAAAAGCGGACAAATTCATCCAGAAAGCTGGTCCCAGAATACTGAGTTGGGTGGATGAGGTCGTCACGATGCAGATACCGAGAGTCGAAGAAGAACCAACATCTTCACTAGGAAGCATCATCGAGCGTCAGCACAACAGAAAACCGGCCAGCAATGGCAATTGCTGAACTCGGGAATCTTTTCCTAGAGATGGTGGAATTCCCAGTTCGGCAACTATCCCGAGAAGCGCGGGTCGAGCCGGGGCCATATTCCGGTCTCCAACAGTCCGACTATTTTAGTAGTGTACACTTGATCCACCATCCAGAAAGTAACTCGATTTCCGACGTTCTCCGAGCTCGACTCTCGTCCGATCAAGGATACCGGACCAAGCTCTCCACACTGCCCCTCTCCTGGCTGTTCGCGTCCTTCGGCCCATCTACATCCCATCTAACCTCCAGCTCAGTGGTCATCAAAATCCCATCCTTGTCCACCTCTTCCTCCCAACCCGGTTCCAGAGCGGCCATGCTCTGGGTCGGTCGGTATCGCGACCTCCGAGATCGGTTGTCCAGCTCGTATGTCATCCCTGGCTTACTTCGTTTGTTGTAACCACCGTCGCTTCGATCCTTGGATGCAAACAAGCGCGGGATAATCTTGAGAACGAGCGGCTTCAGGGACGGTGCGCAGGCAGCTATAAATGCGAGCCCGACTTCAATGGTAGATATGCAAAATAGGACCGAGTGTGTCGAGTCGTATGGGATGTGTCGGTCATACCGGTCTAGGAGGATAACACGGACAATGCCGGCGACTACCGTTCTATAGTGGTCTCTGTGTCAGCTCAGCTGTTGACATAAAAACCAATAGGATCCAAAACCAGTGTCGTGACTGACTCACAAAAGTCCAAATGACAACACGCCAACGAGCATTAGCCGTTGTCTCCGTGGGATGTGAAGATTATACACGATCCAACTGGGAAGCATGAGCACAAGCACATCGGTACCGATGGAGACAGCGGCGGTTCCTGTCACAAGGTTCGCAAAGTTGAGACACTTCGCATTGGGATATGCTTCTGTGTCCCAGTTTGCTGCGATCGGAGTGCAATGAAACATGGTCACAAAGAAAGTCACAATCACAGCTATTGTATTCACTCCCAGAATGACCCATATTGCGCTTCGCACGGCCATCTTTTGGCCTGTTAGACGAAGCAGGAAAACCAGGACCGAGGTCTTTACGAGGCCGAGAATGGGATTGTAGAGGAGTTCGGTCTAAGCGATCAATAAGCTTTCTCTTCAGGTCTCTTCAGGCACCTGTCTTTCTTACCGCGTAAGCATATTTAGCGCCTAGGATCTTGGGGGAATCTTCCGGGATCTCCCAGACGTGGTAACCAATGTACAGACATTTTATGACTGATTTGTTCATATTAGGGGGAGTCCGCAACGGAGCATGGATCCTTACCATAGTAAGAAGTTATTGTTTCGCCCCAATAGAAGACCTGATTGTGTCAGTCTCGTTATTTTTATTCCAGTAGCTTTGATCCATACACCCGCTATAGAAATAATCCAGTCATCTGTTGGGTTAGCATATGCTTGGGTGAAGAGGAGCCTTAAGTACATACCAAGGGCAAAAGCCCTTGTATATAAACGGCTGTATAGACGCAAAACCACCGCCAGTGTCGCTATGACTGGAAAGGCGAATATCAAACCAATCGCCTGTGGTTGGAGATTGTCACTTGAAGTCATGATTAAAACAAGGAGGATATTGGGCAATAGATTTCAATGGCAGGTCAGGGGAAGAGTAGCACGCGGCTGGACTCTCAGCGGAAATAGTCTCCTTGAAAACGGATCATTGACCTACCACGATCATGGGTTGACAGGGGACACCTCCTCGTGCCCCCTGCAAAGGATTTGGTTCCCTGCAGACCTAATGAGAAGGAAACCATCCGATAGAGTCTGGCCATCACCTCACCCTTGTCGTTGACTGCACCGATACTATCACATTGTCTGACTCGCCTATCATCGTCGAAGCCGACAAAAAGCCTTTGCTGCGCCGCCGGATCGATGCTTCGAACGGCCTCGCACTAAATTCAGCCGTAGGTAACTAGCGGGGTATTAGACGGTTGGACCAGCAGGTTAATATCGGAAACCGGCGGTCCAAGTGTGTTTGCCCCACATTTATGGACACGAGAATTAAAGCGGAGTTGATCTCAATAATATCGCCGGGAAATGCAATAGCCGCCAAATTAGTGGCGCGTTTTGTGCTAGTTCAGAGTGGTTGTTTCACTATAAACAAGAACTAGTCTATATCCAAGTCATTGGAGTCTAGAAACAGGGTGGTGCGTACCCTTATACGAGGAATTGGATCCCAGAGTGACAACTGACAAGGGCCAATGGGCGCCACAAAGGCATGCCAGCCAGTCATGCCGTGCGGGTCTGTCTCTCTTCTAGCTTGAGCGGTGGGTCCTATTGAATTCGAGGACAATATAGTTTGCATTAGCCTGGCAACCAGGCGAAGGACCCCTGCATGTCCACGCAAACCTTTTATCTCACTCGATTAAGGGCCGAAACGGTGTCAAACACTACACCTTGGCGGTTGAAATGCCCCGTCCAAGCGGGTAAGAGCTTTGTGATTCGGTTGTCGAGTTGGTCAACTTCACCGGGAAGCTATATTAATAGCCTCCGTCGGCCCCTCTATTGCTCCTGCAGCAGGTCTGTAACTTTTTTTTCTTTCTAACAAGTGAGGTAGTGACCATGAAGGGATATTTGTCTCTAGGCTTGGCCGCCTCACTGGTGGCAGCCGCCGCATCTGCACAGAGTGCCTCGATGGCTTCTGCTTCGCTGAGTGCAGCAGCAGCAACTGTTACAACGAGTGCCTCTGCTGTACCGCCCCTATTCCCCGGCGAAACGGTGCAGCTGACCGATGATGCCTTGGCCAGGGCCGCTACCGCCCTGAAAAATGAGACTCTGGCGCGGATGTTCGCTTTCGGGGCATCGAACACGACCATCGTCAATGGAACTCGCGACCATAGTTGCAAGCTCATGCCAGGCGATGCGGCATGGCCTGCTGAGTCAACCTGGAAGATCTTCGATCAGTTGCTCGGCGGAAGCCTGCTGAAGCCTGTGCCTTTGGCGGCCTACTGCTACCCAGACTGGCTGGAATATGATGCGGAAAAGTGCTCCGAGATAACATCGGATTGGTTGGATGCTTCTCTGCAGTGAGTCCATTGTATCGAACACCCACTTCAAGACAGCCAAGCTAAATGCACCAGCTTCGAGGACCCCACCTCTATCATGCTACCCCTGTATGAAGGCCGCTCATGCATGGCCACCGGGTACAACTACACCACCACATGTACGCAGGGTGCGTACCCGACGTACGTCGTCAATGTGTCCACTGTTGCCCAGATTCAGCTGGCCGTAAATTTTGCCCGAAACCAGAACCTCCGGCTCGTGGTCAAGAACACTGGTCATGATTTCAACGGGAAGCCGTCGGGTAAAGGAGCTCTGTCCATCTGGACACACTGGCTCAAGGACAAGGCATTTTACCCTTCCTTCAAAGCTGACAATGGCTATTCTGGGCCTGCTATGAAGCTCGCCACGGGCATTCAAGCCTGGGAGGCGTATGAATTTGCCAAGGCGTGCAATGTGACCGTCATCGGAGGCGAAGGTGCCACCGTTGGTGTAGCTGGTGGCTATACATTTGGCGGAGGCCATTCGCCACTAAGCAGCATGTATGGCATGGCAGCAGATCAGGTCTTGGCAATGGAAGGTTGCTTCCCTTTCACTCAAATTTCCACCCACTGAGACATACGCTGATCAATCGATAGTTGTTTTGGCTGATGGCCGCTTCGTCACTGCCACTTCCAAGCAAAACTCCGATATCTTCTGGATGCTTCGCGGTGGTGGAGGTAGCACGATCGGTGTTGTGACATCTCTGACGATCAAGGCATATCCGAAGTTGCCCACGACAACAGTTACTTTCAACTGGACGATCAGTGACACGCCCAATGCAGAAGCGTTTTGGGCATCGTTCCGGTCCTACCTGGACAATTTCGAGACCTTTGTCGATGCCGGAACCTACGGATACTATTACCTAGGTGCTTCGTCTCTCGAGATCGGGACAACTTATGCTGGCGATACGGACTATTATTTCCGCATGGAGTCCTTCGTTGCGCCGAACATGACCATTCCTGAAACCAAGAAACTTCTGAAACCTTGGTTTGATACTCTCGATAGCCTAAATGTCAGCTACACTCCGTGGTACAACCACGCGGATAACTTGTATGATCCCCTCGCTCAAGTGTCAAATGAGATTTCTGACTTTCTCAGCCACGATGTCTGGAAGGTTGCATTCCCTCTGGAGGGCGGTGGATCAGATGTGGTCAAGACGGCTTCGCGTCTGTTGCCTCGGAAGGTCTTCCGCAGCCAGGAACTCCGGAACCGGAACTTCCTTGCCCATAAGGACGCCATCGAGAAGGGCTTGTTCATCGCGGGCTTCCACATCAGCGGCACAGGCATCTCTGTCAAGCCGCCGACCGACAACGCTGTCTTGCCGGCCTGGCGCGACGCTCTTGCCCACGTCATCGTCGGGTCCGAATGGAACTTCACCTCCAGCTGGGAGACCGTCCACAATTCGTCTCTCTTTGTAACGAACTGGATGGACGCCCTGCGAGATATCTCCCCCGACTCTGGTGCGTATATGAGCGAAGCCGACCTGCTGGAACCTAATCTCCAGGAAGCCTTTTATGGTGTCAACTACCCCCGCCTTTATGAGTTGAAGCAAAAGTACGACCCGACCGGGTTGTTCTTTGCACTTACCGCTGTGGGAGCGGAGGACTGGGAGGTCCAAGTCACCGACCCGTTACCCTATTCGTGGAACAACAATGGGCGGTTGTGTCCGAAATCTGCCTAATGAAATGAGGTCAGTGCTCAGCGTATGTATATAGGTGTCAATGCATTGAAGTATTCAAGCCAGCTCCAGTATCCTACTTTTCAGTAGAGAGAAACCTTGAGCATATCTTGGGTGTGACCAAGAAGGACAAAGTAGACTGAACAAGAAGAAAGAGGAGATAGACTTACCACAACCCAAGGTGATTTGAGGATAAACATATCAAGAAGAGATGGAAATGACAGAAGGAAGAGGGACAACACCGGATGAACATCGGATCGATGGAGGCTTCAAAAAAGAGCGTGACTTCTCGATGCAGCTAGCGTCGAGACGACCCCCTCGTGACTCCAGCTTAGGCTTCAACTTTCAAAAAACAGTCAAAGATCGCATGACAACCGTTGCTCACTCATGACCCCATGCTATTCGATAATTGAAACCAACCTGCACAGGCAATGCAACCAGGACAGGCAAGAAACTCAAACCTCGAAGCGTACTTCTGCACCCGATAAATCACTCACTCACTTTCTCCCACAACCGACTGAATAGATCTGCAACCGCGACAATCGCGAAAATCCACTTCTCCCCAGAACCCAACTCCAACGGGGAACCAAACCAACGCGCCGACGCGAATGATGGTGGCCCGCAGGCCAGGCGAGCCAGTCAAGAGTCGCCAATCTGCAGTTCATCTGCCCTGCGTGTCAGCAACCTCGGCAGATCGATCATCCGACCAGGAACTGGCGACTTTGCTGACCCCAATCTCGGACAACTAGAGCAGTCACTAGATCCCTTTAGCGCCAGACATCTTATATCATCAGTCAGATGAGCAGGGAAAAAAAAAGGAAGGAAAGGCAAATAAGAAAAAAGAGAGAGATGTGCAGGACTCGCCAAGAAACCGACCTCCAAAACCAGTTACTGGTCGGCGTACTTTATTCCAGGACGGCACGGTACTTTTGTCAACGGATCGGATTTGAAGAGAGAGGGGAAAGGATCGGCGTGGCCCATCTCTGGTACGGAGGTCTCCGGGGCGAACAGCACTGCAATCGTACTTTTGGCCGCAGCAGATCGGAAACTCCCGGTCGAGCTACTATATCCATTCCCATGGGGTTGCGGTGACTCGTCATACGATTTGACGGAGCTATCGAAAGCTTGGAACGGGGCTTGCCAGCGGGACAGCTATTGATTTATTATAGTCAATATAGGGTCTATTGGACCTGGCGAGATGGTTTGTACAGTGTTCATGCGACAGATCGTATGTGGCGTACGTAAGACATTCGAACATTCCATCGGGGACGGAGAACCTATGGTGTTGTACTCCGTGGCGGTGCGGACGGTTTCAAAGTCACGGACGTCATTGTACAGATCATCCTGGCCGCACGACGACCAAACACCAGCTGAGCTCTCGTATGATTAGGCCAGAGAGGCACACCGGCGATGGTGACGTCAGGGGTTAATATAACTTCTGGCGCATGGACAATGTCCCCCCACGCTACACTCTTAGCACAACAAAGGCTGGGATTAGGAAAGTGAAGGATCGACGAAATCCCACACGGAGTAGGCAAAGTAAAAAGTTCATCCTGGCATTCAACTGGGTCGGTTAAATGCATATTAACCACTTTTGAGCTGTCAACAATCGATAGATGGTATATCATGAAGCAACGCTAAAAGCAAATCTATTGGCAAAACCAAAGCCACGAGAATAGAAAAAAGAAAGACACAATTCCGATAAACACCCGATATCGCCATTCTTCCGGTGATCTGTCGCTGCTAGCTTGATGGGGATTGCTGGGACCGGGTGGCTGTGCGTCTCCTTTCTTGTTCTAGAAAAGCGAAGGCGTTAGGGCCATAACTCGGGGAATGCTTCTAGAAAAACACACACCTCTGGCTTCGTTAATCTGGCGAACGGTATCGTCATGGATTTTGGCCCATTGGGCTTGGTATGTGGCCAGGTCTGGTAGTGCAGCGGACGAGTTGTTGGTGCCATGGCTATTGGTGCTAGTATTCCTGGTGGAGGTATTGCGGTCCATTGTGAGTCTTGTATGGTGGATGCGTGAAGGCAAGGAAGAGAAAGAGGATGGGTTATTTTGTAAGGCAGGAATAAGCTTCACAGGTGAGGGATGAACGCGAGATAAGCTCCAACGGAAGGGAAGTCGTTGAAGACTACTTCTAGCAGGTCGTCGAGCATTATTTATAGATTACTGGTGCTGAACCTCGACCTGGTCATCCATCCGGTCTCATCGACCTGATAATTCACTCCGTGCCATGTGGCCGCCCATCGATGAAGAGTTGGCGGCTTGTGTATCGGCCTTGTTCGTCCTTCCCTTGCATTCCGTGGGATGAGTGAAATTCCGGAATCAAAGAAAACGAAGAATGACCCGCTGCAGAACGGGGAGCTTCCCCGTCGCGACGGAGTGGACGGGCGATGGAGATGCAGGTTAGGTTCTTTGGATACCACCGTCCGACGGTGGTGCGCCAGGCCCTTTTTCCTAAAGGGAACCAGTCGTGGCCCGCGAGGCCTTGGGACTTCAGGTTGCTCGCCCCCCGATTGGCCGGGGAAGGGCCAAAAAATCAACATCGGAACAAAGTCGAAGGGCGGGACGGAACACGTAGTTCGCAGGGTGAGGGTTTGTGTGACGGACTGTCGGGATCAACGGTTTTGGTGTGATTGGTGTCTTACTCTCCGATCCGCTCACGCGGATGGCTTTCCGGGCTCGCTAGTTTGATCCCGGGTATTGGGCACCGATGGGCCGGTTAGGCTATAGCAATGAATTCGATTGTGTGACGAGTGACGACGATGTTGGAAGGGTGGGCCTGCTGGAATGGCCGCGGGTGGGATTGGAGCTCAGGGCTAAAAGCTGCTGGGAGCTAAGAAGGGAGGGCGACAAAGAAGACGGCGACCGAAAAAGCAAAGAGATGCAGATCGACACATCGGCCCCATGGAAGTTTCGCCCTTCCTTCTTCGAGCTGCCCCGTTTGTACTCCGTACTTTGCTCAGTTTGCAGACTCCACCCATGGATCCGTTGGCGACACAGGCAAACATGTTTAATTTGGGGGTATCGTGATTGATCGTGTTCCGATCGGCTGGACCGCCGCGGATGGAGTCCGTCAGCCCGTCTATTGACCCATTCCGCGCACAACTGGCTGGGAATGGCTTCAGGCGATCAATAGTCCAATCGGGGAACGGGTTCCGCTATCCATCTTGCAGGACCCTGAGATCCACCAACCATGGCTTCATCGAGTCCAGAAAAGAAAGGCCACCATTGGGAGGTTAATTACGGGACCCTTCTAGGCCTTTCTTTTCACCGCCACTTCCGTCGCCCATTAATTAGCCCTTCAGCCTCAGAGAACAAAGACGGCGTGTGTCAGCCTGTGAGGGTCAATTTCACCGCCAGAAGAGTCGACATTGATTTCGGTGGGCGGTTATTGGATCTGGCAGTGGTGGAACCTTGCTGGGTTCGTACCGTCTGACAGACTCAAGGTAAACCCGGTCGGAGAGCATGGCAGAGTAACAGGCATTCCAGGTACCAGCTGTCGTCGCATGCAGTCCCATCATATGACAGGATACATATCGATTTCGTTTCACCCGAAAATCGGGGGCGCAAGAATTGATACGCTAGACGTGGCCTGTCATGTCGGTTTGCCTAGTGACGAGTTCCCTGTTTCGTTATAAACTCTGCTTCCCACATAGACAGACAGGTATGTTATGCTGCTGTGTCACGATAAGCTATAAGGCAGCGGGCCCTATTTGCAGATTTTCCTTGGCTCTGGCTTCCTTTGTCTTCTTCACTTACTAATTATAGGCAATGTCGACGCCCACGAATCCCGTGTCTCAGCCTCTGTCCTTCTGGTCCTTTCCCTGTCGTCTCCCTCGGCCCTGGCGACCTGTACGACCCCATTTCGTGAGGTGCTTCAGGTCTATCCCGTCCATACCCCTGTTGAGCCTGCAGTAGTTCCCACATCACAGCATCGCCAGCAGAACCTTGATCGAGTGAGACATCCATTGTCCTTCTTCGGATCCGGTTGCAGGTGTTGGAAAATAAGGCCTGTCGAGCGGCCCAACGAGCCACTGGGGCGTCGGTACCAAGGTTTCCATGGTCTAGACTCTATCGGTAGTTGTATATAGCCCACTTCAAGTGGGGTCAGGACAAAGACTGACTGACCTCAAGCGCGCGAAGTCTATTAAGATCTAATCGGGAGACGTCAGTCGTAGATGGGCCACTGGATGGAGCAACTAGCAAGGGGCGACGCGTCCTACCAGACTCGGAAATGAGGCTGTAGGAATCTTACCTGGGTAGCATAAACTGGGTATCTTTGAGTTCCTCAGCGGAATGCAGATATGAAGTACTACCCAACTGGTCTGGACGGTGACACACGTCAAGTGGACACTGAAACCGGTTCCGTCCAGGTAGACGAATCTCGTGACCCGGCACCTGATCTCGGCCTGGGACTCTTGTTTACCTCCCAATTACTGATTTGCTCAACTTGACATCAATCCTCATTACATGTCTGGTGAATTCTGATCCTAACATTATATACGTAACATGCATGCTATGTTCATCATGTTCAAAGTCTTATACAGAGCAGGAAATCACATCAATCCCACCTTCGTCCCATTTCTCGAACAAAGCGTCAGTGTGAAGCCTTCCTCCCATGGCCCCGGGTCCCTGCTCTCAAGCACGGAAAACTTCTGCGCGAGTCGCACAGTAACATATCCCGCCTCCGTGAGCGCATACTGTTGGCCAACGCAGATCCGCGGTCCCCCGTTGAACGGGAGATACTCCCATCCCGGCCGGATGTCGGCCCAACGCTCGGGGCGGAACTCATTGACATCTGGGCCGAAAAATTCCTCGCGACGATGCATCGCATAGACGTGGTATGCAACGGTGCAGCCCTTGGGTACGAAAACCGGCGACTTGCCGTCTGGTCCGCCACCAACGGGAAGGATCGTGTCGGTATGGGCGAAGCGCGCGTTTGCCGGGACAACCGGGTGCAAGCGAAGAGCTATACAGTCAGCAGGGTTCGCGAAGGTGGTCAACCTGTATTGGACTCAGGTGCTTACATTCGTTCAGGCAGTATTTGAGGTACGTTAGGTTACGCAGTTGCTCGTACGACGGCGCGCGACCTTGCAGGATAGCAACCTCTTCGCGCAATTTGTTCCATATCCGGGGGTTCTTTGCCAGCATGAAGAACATGTTGCTCAACAGAGACGCGGTGGTATCCCGTCCGGCCAGGAGGACATTCATGAGCTCGTCACGAATGCGCTTTCGGTCGCCTGTCTGCTGGGCCAACCCGTGGAGGAAGAGGTATTTTCTCTTTTCTTTCGTGCCGTGGCCATCTTCCGCGAGCGCCTTCTCTTCATCATACCGCCCTCGCACCCTGAGTGCGCTGTCGACAAACTGCTCCACTAACCTATGACAGATCCGGTTGCACTCCTCTGCCTTGCGGTCGCGACGGAGGTACCTGAGCTTCCCCAGTCGTAGGTTTGTTGCAATGGCCTCTTGTGCATAATTGAATGCCCCCGCAAAGTCCTGTTCCGTGCTGTCGCGAATCCCAGCGCGCCGCTTCTTGAGGCTGTACACGCTGTGCCCAAAGAGGAATTCCGTCGCCGAGTCAATCGTGAACTCGAAAAACAGCTCCTGTAGATCAACGGTACCGCCGTCCGCGGGGATCAGCGGGAGCAGATCGTCCATGAGTTCCTCGAAGATATCCAGATGGGCGACTTGGTCTTTCACAAAGTTTGGACGGACCATGGCACGCGATTGCGCCCAATGCTCACCGTCGGTGGTGAAGATGCCATGACCCAAAAGCGGACCGGCCGCATTGATGCGGCCACCGAGGCCATAATCCTTGAAGCGGAGTGAGAGGACCGTCTTGACATTTTCCGGCTCACAGGTTACGATAATTGGGGTGGTGAGTCGTTGGGTTTGAAAGGTGTTGCCGTTCTCCTTGAAGCGTTCGACGATGCGCTCGAGAAGCTTGTGCTTCCTAGCGTAGATCAGCTGCTCGTGAATAAAGTCGATGCCAAAGAAAGGGTCTTTCCGAGGGTAGGCGGGCGGCGGCTGACAGTTATTCGCTTTGGCGATGCGGCGTTGGGTCCATTTCCGTTGCAGGTAAGTTGCGATATACCAGAAGACGAGGACGGCGCTGGCAAGCGCCAGAACAGGATAGTGAGACTTGCCAGAATCCATGATGAGTTACGAACTTGCCTGACTATTAAGAGGTATGCTAACAGGGGAGCACTGACTCCTTTTAAGCTCTGCGTGGGGGAGTGGATCAGATGATGGCATACCGCGGTCCAGACGGAGTCTCGGGGGGGTTAGCACCGATGATGGATGGCGTCTCATAGCAAAAGGCTGAAATCATTGGTGAGCAGGGGTCGTCCGGTGGAGTCTTGCCTCGGCGGCAGGGTGCTGGGCTTGACACCAACCGCTCGTTCTTTGTTTGCGGGTCCCTTGCTTGGACACACAACGCGAATATGTTTGCAGGGCGGCCCGAAATGGGCAGGCATACCACGGTGCAGGAGATCCGTCTCGCTCCGAATCTCGAATGCTTCATACTTCGTACGGTATGTCGACATGGCCATGGCGACCGTACGAGAACGACCTAGTATACCGGACCAGCCTGATGTGAAGATGACGACAGCGGCCACGTTCTCAACCATATCCCTTTCTTATACTTTCCCCCTTTTGATCCTGACGATCACACTCCCCAACGTGAAGTGACTGGAGTGCGTGACACTGTGATTCAGATACTTACCCAACAGGCAAGCTAGTTACTCAGCGAGAGGTGGTTCGGGAGTGCGTCATCCCCGCATAACCGTGGCCTCTCTGATCTGTACGTACATAATGCGGCATAAAGGATGCCTCCAGCAATGGCCTGCTCCAGTGCTCCGTGGTAGTAGCCACCAGGAGTCACATCTGCCAGCAGCCGCCCGTGATAAGCACTAAGCCACGGAGGCTGGCCATGGTGTATTGCTGCCTGTCCTGTTTTCCCCATCCGGAGTCCCGACTACCGAGATGCTTTGACCGTGATTGCCGGGAGTAACAAATAGCCTAAAGCACCTCCCCCACCCACGAGCCCAACCTTGAACCTTCCTCGATCGACCCACGATCGCAGCCGAGGCTGGTGCCTATGACCGTTAATCAAAGCATATCGTAGTATAATACGGAGTAGAGAATCCCCAAACATACCTCTCATAATCAAGTCGCCACATACTGATCATCGCGAGCCTCAAGACACGCATCAGTCATCTTATCGATAGCCGCGGCCCGCTCATCCTGAGTGACCCAGCCGCGTTCAACCAATCTCCCCAACGCATCCCCAACCCAATGCTGGCAATTCCACTCGAGATCGAGATGACCATTCCGCACCGGCGTTCGCGCCACCGTCTCCCGAATCGCCTCCTCATCGTCTTCCCCGGAGCCCGACAAGTCCGTGACAGGCACCACCCGTACCAAATCCCCGAGTTCCATCGGGTCCGCACCCACGTATTCCACATACCGAAAGAGCCCCTGAGTGCCGATAATATGCAAGACACTGCGTTCCTTGGATTCAAATTGCACATATAACGCGGTGTGTCGATATTCACTGTAATCGAGAGGATCGCCTCGATAGACGAGAATGAATAGTTTATGCGACATGGTTAATTTGCTTTTGTTTGTCTTGTCTGATTTTGGGTTGGTTGGTTTCAAAATCAGGGACTAGAATTTTTCTGGAACAGGGAGGGGAATGTTGATCAGGTGGTCGGTTTTGGGGTGGTGAGTACGGTGAGGGGGGCGGGCGGGCGGGCGAGTGACGGGAGCTACTAGTTACTTATGATCCCCTTTCTCGGTCGGCCGCGCTAATCGCTTTACGGCGGCAGGTGCCTGGGTGCCTGATGTCTTTTCGGCGCTTGTCTTATTCCAGTCGGTACCTGGCGGGAGACGCAGTCTGGGCATATCACCCATCTGTTTCCTCGGAGGGGTTCTTTTTCTTATGGTTACCTTGCGAGTATGGTCGCTGATTGTCTGGGCTGCCTGGTATTGTTGAGCGATATGGCTTGTTGGGTAGGATACTGACTTTGTCTTGATCAAGTCATGCATGGGCTTGGTATACTTCTGCGACTAATACCGATATCAATCTCAATATTGTGATAAATGACGAATGTATTGAAGGTAAGTAGATCGAGTATAGCTTGCGGCGAAGCTAGCAGCTAGCAGCTCTCCAGCCTCATACTTTAGCTTCTAATTCCGGTTACCAACAGACTACTTCGGATCCAGCGAGCATCCCAAAATAACCCCACGAGTACTACACAGCTAAGGGGTTTGCCGCCACCAAACACCCCATCCCATCCCATCCTATCCCCGTTCCGAGCTCCCAAGCCACCGGCAGGCTACAATAACCCCCTTCCCCCGCCAAGCGCAAGAAAAGCAAGCATCTACACTGTATATCTATACTCCGTCCCCAAAAAGAAAAGGGGCAAAAAGCAACCAAAGACCCTGATCATTGGTGTCTAACCTAACCCCAATTGCATTTTCTGGGAGAATAAATACTCCGATTTCCAACCCAGACTATCACGTTATTGATAATATTGGAGTAAAGTAAACTTAAACCCAGCCTACCACGCTGATGCATAAATAACACTGCAGCATAGCCACAAGATATCAAGAATAGTACCTATGTAGGTAACTAGATAACTGAATAGCCTATCCTCAACGCCTCAACCACGCCAAATTCTATCACCTATCCTCATCAGGAAGAGCATCTACCCACTCCCTGCCGCAGTTGTTGTAGTAAGTATCCCCTCAGAAGAGTGTCGTAGGCCGTCCAGTGCCATTATTGTACTATATGCTGTTATCAAGGTTAAAGAAGCAGCATCATCCATCTCTGGATTCGGTTCTGTCGGTGGTAGATGGGTGAAGGAGGCTAGGGGTAGGTGCTTAGTTGCTGAAGTAGTGGTAGGGGTTGGGATTAATACCGTTGGGATAGGTTTGTGAGAAGCAGTGGTTTCTCTGTATTCTTGTTAGTTGGTTTGGCTGGCCTGGCTGTTGGCTCTGGAGCATCGGTGTAGCTCTTTCAGGGATGGGGCTGGGGTGGTTGGTGGGGTTGTTGGTATCGGAGGCACGTGTTGTTTGTGGGAGGGGTTGCAAGAAGGGGAGGATTTGAGGCTAAACAAGGGGTGTTTGCAGTTGATGGAAGTGGAGGTTGGAGCCGACTGGGTGATAGTAGGATGGAATGCCTAAATTACCGATGAAACAAAGTTGACATAGTCACAAGACCTTACGTTAGTACTCCGTATTTGGCTTTATCCAGCCTTTGTACCCAGCTGTACCTTGTCATTTATCTTACGCATGACTCCTCCAATATATCAGAACCTACGGAAATCAATGACAAAGGCACCGATAATAGCGAAGTAACTGAATCTCCTCCGGGGAGACTCCATATCATTGATCCTAGAAACCCCTGCAACTGCACCCCCCCTATCAATGCACAGCTAAACTCCAACCCCCAGTAGACATATCTCATAAGCCCATCACCCCCCTCAACACCGCATTCCACGCAAAATGCTCATTTCTTCCCCCCCGAAGGAGGAGTATAGGTCGAACCCCCATTGCCATTATTATAATAGGTACTTCCATTCGGATTGGAGTAGTAGTACGAGCCGTTACTGACGTGTCCACGGTTAGTCAATCAATTCCACCCTGATCCTATATATGAGTACCATGACGAACCTATTGGAGTAGTGGTACGAGTTCGAGTTGGAAGCTCCGCTGCCGTAGTCGCGGGAACACCAGTGGTTTCCCTACACACAGTGATTGTTAGCTGGTGCATCTGAAGCTGGTGCAGATATGATGTAGGGGCTGGTTACCTGGCTGTTGGTGCCGGAGCCAGTGTAGGTATAGCCTTTTCCGGAACTGGACATGGTGATGGTTGAAAGTGGTGTTGTGTTGTTGAAGGAGTAACGAGGCTCAGTCGTTGACGATGATGATGGAGGGGTAATGGCAGAGGGGAATTCAGTGGCTTATGAGCAGAGTTCAAATGACGTACTCTTTTCGTGTAGCACAGACTCAGTAAGCCTGGTATCTGCCTGGGCAAGATGTCCCTCACCCAGTATCTCCACCCCATCTGTTGCCTTCTCTGCAACTTGAACAAGTACCAATTAGCTATAAAACAACAAGAGTAAAAAATGATCCTACTGATCACCATCACAAAACTGCCTGAGTGGTCTAAACCTGTACAAGCACCTTGCCAACCAACCAAACACCATGCTCCGCTCCAATTGGCCAAAAACTAGCTGATTAAGCCCTTCGTCAGCAACAGCCACCTTCCCTTTTCGGCTAGCCCTCGAAGCATCCATCCATGCGATCTGAGATCTCCATCTCATCTCATCGTGTACCTGACGGCGTCTCGCTCATTATGGACCCCAGTCCCTGCATTAACTGTTCCACTATGATACCTCATAAAACCAGCTCGCTATTCGATCGCATGGCAGTAACCATGCTGCGTTACGCACCCTACCATAGATGGACTTCTTAGTGAGAGATATCCCAAGATGGTATGTGTACCCGGCTACTTCCTGTGTCTCTACTAAATCTTGACCTCTGTAGGCAGACCATTATTGCATAGAGAGTCTCCAGGGTATTCTACTCCCTGTACCAAGCAGTACCAGGTCCCGTGACACTATTAGCGAGAACAATATGAGCAGTGTGCTGCGACCAGCTGCGAGAGGCTACGGTGAGGCGACTACATTCCTGTCGGGATCGGTGTGTTATTCCACCGTCATGTCATCCATCACCTGTATCATTCTCGCTAACTACCTCTCATCAGAGCAGTTGATTCACGCCCTGAAGTTGGTTCTGACAGGAGGAGGAGCAGTATATAACGTATGACTGGAGTTTGGCATTCTTCCTGGAAGATAGAATATACGAGGAATGGTTCTATTGAAACTGGGACGATGCAGCATGGAATATTTCTGTGGCAGCATTTCTAGAGAGAATTTTCTCAAGATTACTTCTGACAGTCACTATAGTATATCGCTTCTGTGAACGTGATAGAACAGATGTGCTATTGATTCTACAAAGCTATTCTTCCGACCATTGGGCTATGATGGTCTTTGTGTGGCTGTCAGTCTAGCAAGGTTTCCCATGCATTTGAACTACGATCTATTGATACACAACCTTTACTAGTCATCTGTCTTGATGCGTTTTTTCTACGGGATAGCAAGACATTTTCAGCATGCGCGCACTTATTTTCTACCAAGTAGGTACAAATCAAAAAGCATCAGTAGAATCAAATCACAACTCAACAAGATCAGATCAATCCGGATAGCTCATCACTCATTTTCACTCATCCCCGAGGTGGTCAAGACCGGTCGCCAAGACGGCGACTAAATCCTCGTCTGATAGAGGCATCTAGACGTAGGTAACAGTGACGGAGTCGCCATCCACGGAGGTGGAGGTGAGGACGGTGCTGTCCTGCTCAATGTCCATGATGGTGGCGGCCTCGGGGCCAACGGTGGAGCCGTCGCTGGTGGCCTCAGCGTTGGTGAAGGTCACGGTACCGAAGTCAGCGAAAGCGACGAGAGAGTCACCGGACTCAAAGTCCTCAACAATCCACTCGGCGTTGGTCTCGCAGAGGTTGCCCTCAGTGCCGCCGGTGAAGGAGTGGGTAACGGACTGGCCAGTGGTCAGGTTCTCGACGGTGGCGGTACCGGTGCTGTCGCTGGAAGCCTCGACGGTGACCTTGACAGAGTCACCCTCGGAGAAGGAGATGCTGTCAAAGTCGTAGGCGTAGTCGGGGTACCACTCGTACCAGGCGTCGTAGGAGACCTGGCCATCCTCGTAGCAGAAGTCCAGACCGGTCTGGAGGATAGCGGTCTCGCAGGTGTCACCGTCGATACCGACCCAGGCGGAGGCGCAGTACTCGCTGGACTGGCGCTTGTTCTTGTAGTAGCCATAGCCACCACCGTAGCCGCCGGAGGAAGAGGAAGAACCAGCGGAGACACTGGGGACGGTGAACTCGCCAGTGACCTTGGTGTAGCCGGAACCGATGAGGACGGCACCAGCCCAGTTGGAGGAGTACTCAACGTTGGTGGTGTTGGTCAACTTGAGGATCTCCTTGTCGGTACCGGCCTTGTAGGGCGGGTTGCTGTGGCGGGCCTTGGCGGCACGAGCAGCACGACGCTTCTCGGTGAGAGGAGCAGCCAGAGCAGCGGTGGCAAAGAGAGAGCCGGTGAGAAGGGTAGAGAACTTCATTTTGAATGAATCTTCAAGAAGACTTCAATTGACGAGTGGATTGTGTTGAGTGAGAAGAGTGAGCCAGACGATGCTTGAGACTGTGCGATGCTGGATGAAGAAGAAACGATGTGAAGCGGAATCCAGTCTCTATTTATGCATGAGCTGCTGCTATCATTTCCATCCTCCTCTCCTCAGTCCGATAGCATGCCATCTCCGGACTATGACACCACAGCTCCTCCTAGTCCGACGGAGTTCGATCTGCAGCTCCGCCCGCTAACGTCGTATCAACGGGGATGCAGAGTGGTTCCCCGTCGGTGCAGTTCGTGCCCACATTGCATAGCTGCAGAATCACGAATCGAAGAAGCCCCGCCGAGTTGACCCCCGGGGAGTACCGTGTAGGATCCAGTGGAGCCATTCACCCAACACCAGTGGCTCCAGCGCAGACTCTCGCTGGTTGGTGCGTACTCTTCTAGCCAAGGCTGATCCTACAGCCAGCCATCCTCCGCTTCACTTCCCCTCATTGAGCTCCCGCTTCTACTAAGGTACCTTAAACTCTAGACAATGCCTGCCTATACGAAGTACGGCGTAGTGCCGCCTTACGAGGCAAGGAACGGCACGGCACGGAAGACGGCAGACGGCCATGGCGGACGAACGAACAGGCAATCCTAGCACGGCAGCCACCTCGATCTGAGGGACATCATTCCACCAGTGGCTGAGTGGAGAGGAGAAGGAACGGACGTCCGACGGCTTGGCTGGCGTCGGGACCAACGGCACCACGGCCTTATCTGCCGGAAGGAGCAGCAGATAATGGTGCGCACGGATGAGGAAGTGGGTGGCGTTGACTAGGCCAGTTGGTGGGCGCCGGCGGAGGCACAACAAGCTTCGTAGAAGCCTTGTGGGCGAATGATAAGTAATTGAGGGGGTGTGCGGGGGGAAACGATAGGAGTGCTGGCTGTTATGGTTGATTGGCTTGGCCGAAGTCGGAATGTAACCATGTAGGTATGTTTATGTCCGTGGTGGGGATGGAGACTATGCTCTGCTGGGCAATAGACAATGAGGTTATATTAACTGCGCGAGTCTAATTCTGCAGAGATAAAGCCGGCGACGGGAGATAGACCAATGAGAATGGGGTAATCTGGGCAGGATGTTAGTGGGAATCCAATCATGGTAGAGAGCGGGATCCGTCCGGCCGATCCCTTCTTCATCGAGCGGAAAGCTCAAGGTAGAGACTGCGATTGGTTGCTCGGTCGGCGAATTTATCTCCGGTGGCAGAGCGCGGATGGCTGCCCTTCTCCCCGTTCTGCAGGCACCAGCCAACATCTTGCTGATCCCAACACCATTTCCTATGTTTAGCTCGTCGGAAACCTCCGAGTTCGGAAAGTGATCATCCTGTGTTCAGGAGCTTCCGGTGTGGCCGACTGCGGTGTGCCCTTCCTTCTACTCCGTACCGAGGACGCAGTAGTACGGAGTGGTAGGGAATCAATAGGCGTATCGCTCATCCCCGATGAGGGATTTCATGTACCCCACTCGCACTTATCATGTAGTCTGATAGATACGGAGTAGTTACCATGCAATCTGCATGTGTCAGCCATCAGAAGTGATCCTGACTTAAGGTGGCGGCGGAACGTCGGATATCCCGGCCAGGCGAATCAACCCTGAGGGGTAATCAAGCTGAAAGAGAGGCCAGGGTTATCCCATCGGAGATGCAAGGTACATGGACATGGGTGGGTTGGTTATACGCGGTCTGTGACGGATATGCAAGTTCATCTGGCAATCATGGTTGTACCTTCCAGCACGTTTCTGCGCGAAGAGTACGGTACTCTGTAATGCTGGGCTGATTCCTGCAGCCTGACCAAGGCAGGTAGGTTGGCCATGGGGTCTAGGTCCCATCTACCGAGGTTTCACCAGGGCTAGATACCCCTAGGTACTCCGTGCTCCGTAGATAGCTATCAGGGGGTATCTCGACCACCCCAATTAACATAATCTGGACTTTCATCGGGTCTCCGGTGAAACTCCTCATCACCATCGAATGAGACCAAACTCCCCTGACGATTCGGAGTATTCGGAGACCACGCTTTCCTGATTCTAAGCATGCCCGATGCGTTGGTGGTGCTTTGATAACCTCCAGCATGTGCGGGACGGTCTTCCGCGGGTCTCCGCTTGTTTGCCGTGCGGAAGACCGATGGAGGCAAAATTCGGGAATTGAGTTGGCTTCTGCATAGGTTGCAGAGGTTGCAGAGTGCGTGCGGACTGGGACTGCGGACTGTGGACTGGGAAGGTCGGTCCGGATTGACAGGGGTAATCCCGGTGGAGTTGGAGTTGGACGTGGGGGTGAGGGACATTGCTATTGCTTTCTTGCACTTTTTTTCGCCACTCGTTTGCCTGGATCCTGGGGTTATTCTGGTTGTAAGCATGAAGGGTGGTGATTATTCTTGCGACCGGGAAGTGATAGTTGCAGGAGGTTCAAGTATCCTGGAATTTCTGAGTGCTGCGTGAGTCAGTTTGGCTGGCAATGCATGGGAAGGTACTTAGGTATTCACTGTTCAGCAGTACTCTCGAAGTTACTGACCTGTCGATTCACAGACGAGATGCTGCCTGGTTGAAATCCAGCGTTCACTCTCTCTTCTTTATTGTGAGGGGGTGGTCTGCAGAGAGCGAGACAGTACAACCATCACAAGAGATTCCCGTGAAAAGCCAGAGATTGTGGCACGCCCTGACAAGTGATGGCGCGGTCAAAGCCTCGAGTCAGCGCTTCGTCATGTTTGACGTTCGGAAAAGCAAAAGAACAAGATATGATGATATTGTGTGGTGTTAGGCACATCGAGAGGAGAGGTTTTCTGGGTCGGCCGCCCGCTCCGTAGGGAAGCGGCGCCTAAGCCCGGTACAGGTGAGTTGCACCTGTTGATACTGACAGACGGGTAGTTACCACCATCCTCGTGGCACTTCAGCCAAGGTATCCTGTAAGAATTGTATGAGGAAGCTGAGTATACTCAGATGAAGTCGGTTTATCCTCGACTTCGGATCGACGGATCGACGGGGGATGGTGGCGTCATTAGCCTCACGGTTGACCTCAGGGCCCAGGAATAGACAAGACGCACAGCCACGATCAGCTGTACATCTAGTTAGTATTCAGGCCAAGCATGTATCCAAGCCACTGTACACAACCACACTCAGCCTACATCATCAAAATCCAACCCAATCATACACAAATCAATTCTATGTACCTTTCCAATCTACTCTATATAACAACCTCCAGGGAGAAAGAAGAATAAATCACCCACTATAATCCACAACCGCCTTAATGCGCACCGCCCCAGCGGAAATATTCCCCCCAATACCACCGACATCCTCCTCCGCCTCGGTATACGCATTATCGACACTGGCCGCATCCGCCGTAATACTTGAGCAAGTGCCCCCCAAAACATCACACAACTGCAACCCTTGCACGGTAGCATCATTCTTCTGGGCCTGAATCGCCGAAACATCAAACCCACTCCACTCATCATTGACGGTGGATCCGAAATCAAACTCGCCCCACGTACAATCATAGATGCCACTGCTGCCCGTGGGGAGGGAGCTGCCCTCCGCGGCGCCAAACGCACCCTGGGTGTCTTCGTCGAAGGCGACGTATTTGGTGTCGCCGGGGGAGAGGGTGAAGGAGAGGGCGGAGTAGCCGTAGAAGCCGTCCATTTTGCCGTCGGGGCCGTATTTGTTCCAGAAGACGACGGTCCAGTCGGAGGAGGTGGAGGACGGGAGAGTCAGTTCCATGACGTATTTGTAGCTGCTGGCTGAGGAGGAGGACACTTGGATGATGTTGGAGCCCCAGGGGGAACCCACGTTGCCGATGTAGGTGTCGCCGCTGCCCGTCGCGTTGGTGCTGCTGCCGAAGCCGGAGGTGGATTCGGAGCCGCTGGCGGGGGTGGAGGTCCAGTCGCTGGAGCTGCCGGAGGAGGTGCTGGCGGAGGTGGAGGAGGCGGAGGGGATGGAGATGGAGATGGAGGCGCTGGCGCCGACGGAGATTTGACGGCGGGCGTGTCCGTGGGCATGGCCGTGCTGCGGCTTGGTGGGGGTGGGAGAGGAGAAGGCGGAGGTGGTGAGGAGGGAGACGGCGAGAAGGAGGGGCGTGGTGAAGTGCATTTTGGTGGTGGTAGTGGTGTCGCGTCAAGCGATGTATATATATGTGTGTGTGGTGTATGTAAAAGACAGTGAATGTATGTATGTAGAAAGAATGGATGTAACCTATCAAAGGTACAACAAGTCTAATACAGACGGTCTAGTAAAGACTGTGGGTAGTTGGAGTCACAACGATGGATGAGAACCGATGAGAGACAGGAGAAGGAGAGACTCTATATACCTCGTTGCTGACCGTGCCATGGCTGTCTCTCTTCTGGAACCTGACAATCGATGCATCGAGAACAGGGAGGGGCCGGGGTGCGTCAGCTGCATGCCATGGATGGAGAGTGGGGGACCGTTGACGCGGTGGGGGGGCAGCCTCAGCTGGATACAATGGATGCAAGTCATGGAAAACTCAAGCAAGCAAAGTAAGCCGATTGGTGGGGTGGGTGCAGTCGAGCATCCACCCAGCATAGGGCATTGGACTGGGTCAGTGCAGGGGTAGGGTTGGTGGGGGAGAGCCTCTGTTTCAGCAGCAGTTGGAGTGTAGGGTAGGGTTTCAAGTCCGGCATGATTGACAGTCTAAAAACTGGCCGCACATTTCATTGTCTGTGATTCAACATTGGGCGGTTTCAGATTCAAGGACTGACAGGGAGATGCTCGGCGGGTCAAGGGGTCAAAGAATAGCCGCTTCTAGACTGACTTTGAACGCGTCTCGAGACTGGGCAAACCGGTGGAGCTAGTGCGCGTACTAGTAAATCGCTCATCGGGTAGACTAGCAGAACTCTACATACTGTGTGGTTGTACGCAGTACTCCGTATGCTATCCATAGTCAATACCCATACTCCATTTGCATCGGTACCACCACAGCCTCCACCAAACATCTACATGCACTTTTTCAACTCACAACAGCCATACAAAGGGGTGAAACCCACAAAAAGAACAGAAAACCACAAAATAAACCGTCCACGCATCCCTCGGTCGAACCACGGTTTTCTCCTCTGGGCCAGGGGCTCGACCCAAGCAGTGGTCCGGCTGAATCACACCCGCACTGCTGATTGGCTGGGAGTCTAAAATAAATCCAGGAGAACTTCCGCGCCCACCAATCACATCACAGTTTGTCTACAACTCCAAGCACGGTCAACCACCATTGGACACCTGAACCACGGATGTACACCACACATCTCCTAACCCGGCAACGCAGCTGCACCTGGGCGGGGCAACACACGTTTTTCAGGCTCGGCCTGTGCGCGGCGTTCCTGGCGACCCAGCATCCAGCAGTCTGGATTTCCATGGGCGGGGTTTTCCAACAGGGTCAAGAATTTTCTTTCATTATTTCTTGTTTGTCTGCTGATTGTGGGTGGGGAGGATGTCGTTTGTTTATCCTAGAAGGAGTAGGTGGAGCCATCCAGTGTGTTGGACGCAGCAATTCATGCTCGCTTTAGGGTGTGTCCACGGGTGTGGGAACTGTGCTGGCCAGGATGCTGGCAATTGAGTTCAGCCACGAAGTCATGGCAGGTTGGTGTCGCGTTGACTTGTTGCGGAAGTGGTCGGAGTGGCAACACTTCTATGCTCGGTGCTGACTAGTGTCTTGTTGTCGCAGTCTATACGAGCTAACAGCCTAACTGTGGGCGAGATTGGCATCTGGATGGGATTACGAGGTAGTACGCACCACAAGAAGATCATCGTATACTCATCACATCCACAGGTGTAGTCGTCATGAGCAAAGCAGAAACTCCCAGACTCTACCTAGTCAAACCTTCTGCTGTGGCAAGAGGAGCTCTACCGCCTGAAGAAACCTGGAGAAAGCTGCGCAGCTCAGATTGACTCAAAGTATCGGGACTGCTGAGTCTGGTTCCGCTATACCCGGTGGTGCTGCTAGCTCAAGTCTGTTATTCAGCGTGCATGATTTTCTGCTTGCTGTTCTTGGTCATATCATTGGTAATCCTGCTTCTTTTACAGAGTAGGGTCTAGCTGGTTACGTTCTTTACTGCGTCTTCGGCTGCAGCTGAAGGGAGGTATTAAATACGGTTTACTTCTGGAATTGACAGGAGAGGAACCTGAGTAAAAATATGGTGTACTTCATCACCCGAGACATTATTAGCACAACCATTAGCAATCTGCTGTCGAGAAAGCAAGAACTGCAAGTGTCATGCTGTCCATGCACTCACCCATGCAGCTCAACTCTTCGACTACTACTTAGTAGAATCATAGCTCCCTGTCCAATTAAACCTAAATGACCAGTCAAGGTCAACCCCAACACCCAGTCCCAGCACCCAACTATGCAATCAATATCAGCCCCAACCTACACTCTAACCCATCCTACAACCTACACCACCTAAAGTCCCTACACAATACCCTACGCCCTCCTCCCTCCCACCCCAACCCCAATCTCAACTCCTAATCTCAGAAACACAAACAAACAATAAATTCCGAACCCAACCCAACCCATATCAACCAACACAAATAACAAATCCCATTGAAAAAGAGAAAAAAGAAAAAACACAAACACCATAATTTTATTATTCCCTCTGCAAAAGCACCAACACCCCCATAACCCCCAACATGACCGTCTTCAACCACGGATGCTCCGACAGGAGAATCGTCACATACCCCACAAACGGAATATACCCAAACACACTGCCCACGACATCCTCTCGATCGAGATAATCTTGTCCGCGCGCGTAGAGTTCCGTGTCGTCGGCGATGTTGTTGTCGCCTTTTGTGAGGAGTTTGGATTGTGGTCTACCACAGTAATCACCATTGTTAGCGACTGTCTTTTCTCACATTTCTTTGCGCCCGACTCAATTTGTCGCAACCCCCAGAACAACATCAACAGTATCGGGATAGGTATAGGGTATAGGATCGGTATAGGAATAAACGCACCCCTCCCCAAACTGCCTCACCACCCGATGCACGATCGGAATATCCTTATCCTTGACCTGATACACCACAATCTCACCGACATTCAACGACGGCTGCGTATTCCGAAGGAAGAGGAGATCGCCACGCTGGAACGCAGGTTCCATGGATCCACTGAGAACGACCACGATCGGGCTGGGGGAGTTGGTGAGAACGGAGAGACCTTTCCACATCTATTCATTTATTCCATAGGTTTCGCTTTGTTAGCTGTTGTTTTTGTTTTTGAAGGGTGTTGGCGGAGGAAGCAGTGAGGGAAGGGGGGGTACCATAAAGGCGGTGCTCAGGACCAGCCCGAAATTGAGGATCTGTATGGCGTTTTGCCGCACATTTTGAATGCCGGAGAGCATGGTTGCGATGGGTGCGGAGAGGGATGTGGTGAGTGACGTGATGCGGTTGGATTGTATGGATGGTAAGGTGGCCTTGTTGGGGATGGCGGTGCGGCCGGAGAAGGGATTATGTAATGTGGCTGGTGGATGTGTGGCTGGTGGATGTACGGACTACGGAGTATGGGGTATTTATCTTTCTTGGAGTATTTCGTGAATGGAGGCACCTGTTGGCTTTTTTGTTGCTATGGATGGCTCATAAGGTATATATATGGATGGTGGGTGTATTCATCGGTAAATGCATGAATCTATCTATGCTACTAACAGCCCTCCCACCTTGACCGGCTTAATCACCGTGTATGGCTGCGTCGGCGGAAGCACATCCTGACTCCAATACACAATGCCATGTCTCAGCCAATGCGCATACGTCCCCGGTACATTATCCGATCCCTCATTTGCCCTCCACAGCGACCCCAGCGTCGCGTTCATCACCTCCAAGATGTATCCATGCGCAAGCTTGAACCCGAAACTCTTGGACAGACACGCCTCGACAATCTCCCGGGCCTGTTTCTGCTCCGGACTTTCCTCCTCGCCCTCCTTCGGCAACGATAACGACATCAGCTCAAACGCTTTTTGACCATTCCACGCCGTCATCTCGTTGATCAGCTGCGATCCTTGCATAAACTCAATGCCATAGAGATGCTCGGCAATGTATTTCGGTCCGTTCCAGTTATCTTCCTCGTCCACTAGCCCCATGACTAGAGTTATCACCTGTCCTTGGATGATATAATCCGTCAACTCCCTGCACTGCTGCTCCGTCAGACCTCCCGACCCTTCTATGAACGGGAGGTCCTTTAACAGTGGACTGCGGTGCATTCCCTCTGTGCATGTCTTTCCCTCCCATAACTTGAGCAGGAGACGATGAGACCGCTTGAAGAGCGGGTTATTCGGCCGCGCCATGAGAAAGTAATTGGTCAGACTGCGTTCATTGACGTCGCCGGCATTGTAGGAGAGCACCTCGAACCGTGAGTCCGGGTTGCCGACTGTCTCGCGCCATAGCCAGTCTACATCACCGATCTGGATGAGTCCGACGTCGGCGTAGATACCGCCGTATTTGAGAAGTAAGGGCAGTCGGACGAGGTCGGATGTGTGTTGCTTGGCATAGGTACCGGTGATGGTGCCTTCGGCGAATGCGCGGGGGAAGTAGTTTGGGTCATTGATGTCTATGTAGTTGGCGATGTTGAGGGGGGATGATGGGTGGCAGTCGATGACTCGGACGGCCCAGCCTGCTTTGGAGAAGCGTCGGTGCCAGGCGCGCACGTTGCGCTTGGTATATGCGTGCATGGTGGAGTAGCCGCTGTGCCAGAAGAGCCAGATGTTTTTCTCGTCGGTGACGGGTCGGGGATGAAGGAGGTCATGGTCAATTTCGGAGTCGGGACGGAGGTCCAAAAGGTGTTCGGGGATGATGTGTACGCCTGCTGGGAGGGGGTATTGTTGGCTGAGAGAGTCCATGTTGTGTGCGGTTGAGGATGTGGTTGTTTGTGCAGTTGGCATTGGCGAGTGTGAGTAGATGAGAAGAGGCTTTCCTTTTCCTCTCCTCTGCTGTAACTATTGAAATGATGTTGTAGTTAATTTCTTTGGGATTCGTCCCATTTATACAAACATGTTCCAATTGGTTTACCCGATCGGGTATATCCCCGACCCACATAGTGGTGAAGCAGTGTGGGATTGAAAATGAGTGCAACATGACTCATGATGAGTGAAGCCCCCAACACCAATCATATAACATGCTGTATAGCTTAGTGCTGACTTTGACATGGGTTAGATCCCCAGTACATCTTGTGTGCCATTCAGGGGAATTTCTCGCCACTACCTACATACTATGTAGTCCCATAGTAAAAGAAGCAGCATGTCGAGATAAGCTGTAGGATCTTGGGCCCACTCTGTAACTTGCATATGCATCTCATTGTTCTGGCCCCTGACTGACTGTGGTAATCAAAACTCGATTATGACCTCATGGAATGTGTTGCAGGCTCTTTGTTCGAAAGGGGGGTGGCAAAAGAGTCCTGGTTGTGGTCGCTAACGGCGCTAACCCCAAATGGGTACACTCACATCCTAAGGTGTCGAGTATTACTGATTCACACCTCTACTATAAGTTTCCATGGGTTGAAATACTGTTATAGCTGCTCGCACATTCCCCCGTATATAGCGGGCATCAAAACTGTAGGCATTGGGATACCCAGAATATCCAGCATGAATCAAGTTAACCCCTCGTTTCCTTATAGTCCGTATGGGTACTTTTGGTACTGTGACAACCTTCATACTCCCTAATTCGCCCTATTCGTATACCTAAACCCAGCCAGCGAAAATCTCGTACAGTTGGGTATCTTCCAGATGAGCCCAATTCACAATGCATTGTCTGAACATACAGTGAATACACCCCCCTACGCGTCCCACGACACGTCCCTATTGGACAGGGACTGGAAGTGGATTTTCGCGATTCCTTTGGCATCTTCCTTAATTAGGACCTCTCATTGGTCTGGCTGGATCATATCAGATTGATATCTGGGCACGTGGCTGCATTGAGAATGTGTATTCACATCTGGGTGGGGATCATTCAATCTGGTATCGGGTGCTTTTATGTGCCTTGTGTTGTCCTTATAGAAAGGCTCTGAGGCTTGTCGTGATGGTGTACGGTGCTTTTCTTGGATAATTAGTTGAGAGGTTGATCATGTTGGTAATTGGTGGAGGAACACATCCGCTTCCTCAATATATATAGCTAGACATTCTGGACTAACAGGCGCAACACTACCAACCAAGATAAGGGATCTACATCGATATACAAAACAGTCTATTTGAAATATTACAACATAAATAAGCAAAATAACCACCAAAAGCCATCCCAGAACCTCATCAAACACCACCACCAACACACTCCTAACAAGGTCACATGACCTCCAACACCAAAGCCACGCTAAGTAGCCCCCATTAGGCCCTTTCTTATATTGCCAAATTATTACCCAGCTTTCACCAAGCAAGCCCGGCTAGCTCAATCGGTAGAGCGTGAGACTCTTAATCTCAAGGCTGCGGGTTCGAGCCCCGCGTTGGGCTTCACAATGGCGAGTTTAGTACTAATGATCCTTTGCCCGGCTAGCTCAATCGGTAGAGCGTGAGACTCTTAATCTCAAGGCTGCGGGTTCGAGCCCCGCGTTGGGCTAAACTCCCATTCTTTTTATCTCCTTGGATTTCTTACTGTTTGTTGAAGGTGGATGTTGGTGGTGAGTACGGGAGTACTATTTTTGCCATTGCCAAGAGGTTCATGTGCCGGGTCACGTGCGTCGGCATATTCGGCGTTACCGGCATAGCGTAGCCTATTGCCACCGGAGACATACCGAGAATCTATCAGAAACTCAGATGAGATCTGCGACTCGTACATAGTATCTGTCCACTGTCAGATCCAATAATAGCCCCCCTCATTGGACCTGTGACTCACCTAATCGCTCCCACCTGACCGTCATACTCGCCCTCGGCCTCGGTCTCGGTCTTCGGATACAGCTTACCCGATACTGACAAACCCGAATTGAGACATATACCACCCCGATGAACGAAAAGTCTATATAACGCCGTAATATACCACTGTAGCACCTGTGCAACCCACCATCAGCATCACCCTCACCCACACCCTCACCAAACCAACAGCAACGCAACAGCAACGCAACGCAACATGTCCCCCCTCATCGGCCTCATTACCTGCAGCCAGAGATCCCCTAGAGCAGGTCCCCAAATCACCACCTTCATCCAAACCACCATCCTGACATCCCACCCAACCGCCAACCTCAACATCATCGATCTCGCGGAATGGAATCTCCCCATGTACAACGAACCCGGGATCCCCTCGTACATCACCTCCGCGGATGAATACGTGCACGAACATACCAAAGCCTGGTCGAGAGAAATCGCCCGCCACGACGCATTCATCTTTGTCACCCCACAATACAACTGGGGCTATCCGGCAAGTGTGAAGAACGCGATTGATTATCTGTTTCATGAGTGGAAGGGAAAGCCGGCGTTGGTGGTGAGTTATGGGGGCCACGGGGGCGGGAAGGCGGCGGGGCAGTTGAGGGAGGTGTTGCTGGGGGTGAGGATGAGGCCGTTGGAGGCGGAGAGGATGGTGCAGTTGAGGTTTCCGGATCGGGAGGAGGTGATTAAGGCGGCGCGGGGTGGGGAGATGGGGTTGGAGAAGGAGGGGGGGTTCTGGGCGGGGGAGAGGGAGGGGATTAGAGTTGCTTTTGCGGAGTTGGTGGATGCCGTTGAGGCTGTGGACGGAGAGGGTGCTTAGATGGGTGGTGACTGTGTATAGCTGATCGTTTAATGAAGGGATCTTGCTTAGTTAGCTCATCTGTGAGAGGTAGATGGATTCCAGTATTACCATGTGATCCAACCCGTCATATACAAGCGAGATCAGATGCACATGTTATGTGCCACTGTAGCACAATCAGCTCATCCTGACATGCAGTAAAGACCCGCAAGGTAGATTGACTCCCACAGAAGAATACACCTGTAGTCTGATTGATCTGGTGCTCACGAAGCGGAACCAGGTACCAGGCACCCCTGTGTGTCCATGTTTCACAGCAGGTAGTGGATCTCATGAGGGTCTCATATGATTATCTGCCAGTCATAAGGATGCTTAATCCTCCCAACGGAGATTCGAAGGCGTCATATAAGTAAGCCGGGCAAGTGCTCACTGACTCCTGCCGATAGCCATCCAAGGCACCTGCTACCATATCAGCCACCCAAAGTTCATCATCGAAGCCTGAATTCTAGTGATCCTGATGGTTCGCTTCCCCATATTAACCCTCGTAGGCTTCCTAACAGCCGCCGCCCTCCCCTCAACGTCCCCTCTCGAGACAATCACCTGCGACATCTGCATCCTCGGAGCCGGAAGCTCAGGGATATACAGTGCTGTGCAACTGAAAGATGCAGGCAAGCGAGTGGTAGTGGTGGAGCCCAACAACCGCCTGGGAGGTCACACGGAGACGCTCTACCTCCCAGACGACAACTATGTCGACTACGGCGTGGAAGGGGTCTTCAACGATGAGGTATCCAGGAACTATTTCAGACGGCTCGGAGTAGAATGGAAGAGATTGCTTCCGTTGAATAAAAGAACCGACCATGTCGATTTCACAACTGGCGAATGTGTGGATCCTCCGGCGAACACTATTCATACGCTCCTGGCAACGTTTGAATACCGCTCAGCAATCAAACACTGGACAGGTCTCTTGAAAGGGGTTTACGATCTCCCTGACCCCGTGCCCGAGGACCTGATCCGACCATTTGGGGAATTCGTTGAGAAAAACTCCCTCGAGGACGCGGTGCCGATGGTCTTTTTCTTCGGCCAGAATGTAGGAAACCTCCTCGAAATGCCCACCCTCTATGCCATCCAAAACTTTGGAGTTTCACACGTCGACGCTCTCGTGAGGGGGTACATTACCCCCCGGAACGGTGTATACGAGCTGTATCGAGAGGCAGGGAGAATTCTTGGCCCAGATGTCCTGCTGCAGACGACAGTGGTCGATACGAAGCGGTCTGATTCCGGGGTGGAGCTGACGGTGCAGCATGCGAACGGCACCCGCAAACTCATCAAGGCCCGGAATCTCCTGATATCATTCCCCCCAATCATGGAAAAGCTCCGAGGTTTTGATCTGGACGAGACAGAAACGGAAATGTTTCAGAAATGGTTTTGGAGGACATACTATGTCGCCGTGCTCAACAATACCGGGATCCCGGATCGGATCTATGTCTCCAATACGGACCCGAACACTGGCCCAGGGAATCTGCCTCGCATGCCCTTTGATTACCTGCTGCAGTACATGGGGGCCCCCGGGCATCCAACTAGCAAGATAGTGGGTGACATGAATTTCACTGCGGAGGACGCGAAGAATCTCATGGCGTCGGACTTTGCTCGCATGAAGGCCAAGGGCACATATCCGATCGAAGACCCTCAAATCGTGGCGTTTGGTGACCACTCGCCAGAAACCCTGATGGTTTCGCCAGAGGACATTCGTAATGGTTATTATCGGAAGTTGTATGCCTTGCAGGGCAGACGGAGCACGTATTACACAGGTTTGACATTCTGTTCGGATTACTCGTCATTGTTATGGGCCTATTCCGATACAGTGATTGACAAGATGAGATGGGGGATGTAACATACGCTGTCTGTAGCCTGGTGGTAATTCCTGCTGGACGAGTCACTTTTACGTTCATCTAGCAACAGTTCAAAATCTCAAATATTTCGTGCGAGTAGAATTTCAGAAGCGCTTCTGAGCTTCTCTCAGACTTTAGCATCCGCAAGGAACCCGGGTGCGTATTGTGGCGTTTGGTTTTGGAGTGGTCTTGCTTGTCGTTTCAGCCAGCGGGACATGAAAATTTGAGAGGATTGAGTATCCGAAAATAGACGTGGGAATAGAATTCTGGCCGTTGCTTTGGTAAATGACGTCCATGCAAGTGATGAGCTCGGAATCTAGTACTCTTGCGGCATCAATAACAGTGTATTCTATAGCCCGTCGCCAATATTGTCCATACCATGCTTCCATTTGTAGGCAATTGGCATTGGCTGTCACAATGTGACTAGTGGCCTGACACATAAGCCTGACACATCGATCTCCCCATGACAAGAAGCGCAGGCCACAGCTGAATGACGCAATACGTCACCGCAATCAAGACACAGCCATCCATCGCCGATCAAGGAGCAATTGCCGATGTCATCTGCCCAATGAATGGAGCTGCAGGACACGGGATCGATAGGTGACGATAGCCGGGGCCGGCTAAGAAACGCTAAGCCTTCAGGATTAGGGCTGGTTGGCTACGGCGCCGGGATCCCGCCCGCCATCGGCCTGGACGGCCTCTCCCGTGCAGTGCACGTGGGGCAAACCAACCTCCCGCTTGGCTTATCGCTGGCTTGTGGTCGTCGCTTGATTTTTGATGTATCTGACGTCGCTTATCTGCCGATAGCTGGCATGATGATCATAGAGCTGGCGGGGTTTATAAGGGGTCATCCCTCCCTCCCCAGAGGTGTGTATTGCCATTGCCCAGGCACTCCCTATTAATCCGTCAGATACATCAGATCCATCAGTTCCTTTTCCATAGCACCTGGATACGCTCTTACCACCATGACTATCCCCCACTATGGCGTCTGGGTCGCTCGGCCGACCCGCTACACCGCCCAAACCGAGCAGGAGGATCCTAAGTCCCCTCACATCTACCTGTACTTCAAGGACGATTCCTCATCCCGCAGAAACCTCGAAGCTGCCATCAACGTCAAGTCCACGGGCCGTGACTCCCGTCTGGTGTACTGGTTTGACCAAGACTTCACCCACCCCATCACCGAGACATTGACCGACTTGGATGAGGGCTTCCACCTTCTCAAGTCTTATGCCCACCGCCGTTATCGCCGTGATGAATCCGACCTGAAAGGGCTTGACTTCATCCGCACAGAGGGTCTCGTTGATATCGAGGCGGGAACTATCCTTTCCGAGGCCGACACGGGGCCGAACAATGCCGTTCTGCAAAAGTTGGAGCCTATCCTGAACGACGCGATTAGCAGAGGTGCTACGGTGTACATCTTTGGGTCGTCTTATGGCTCGGGTATTCATGATATCCACATGAACCAGGGCAGCTCCTCGAGTTATGAGAACGGAATCTATGAGGATGGCGCGTTGATATTTCGCTTCGACGACGGGCATTGGGAGGCGGTGTTCTTGGCATTTGCGTCGCAGGAGATCCCGACGAATGACAAGGGTGAGGCAGAGGAGGATAGCAAATCTTTGGCAAGCATTCTTGGGCAGTAATGTGTCGTCTTAACATTGAAAGGATATACGGTCATAAGTGTGACGAACATAAATACTTGAATAGAAATTAGCATGGGTATTGCGAAGACGTGCATACTACCTTAGATTCATTCCCGGGCTCATCGTCCATCTTTTCTGCCGCGATATTATCGTATCTGTTCAAGTCAAACGGATGCCATTTAATCTTGACGGAATCCCGGCTGCGACTGTGTATTCTTCTTCCATCTTTATTCCAAACTCTAATCGAAGGTCCGTAGGACTTACGACGATTTTCACCATGAAGGTCGCCAATAGATAAACGGGACCTCGGTTGTACCAATGTCTATTTTTAGGTTGTTTGTCAACACTAGTCATGTCAACCTCCAGGTTGCGGTTCGATTTGAAGTATTGTTTTGAATCTCCGTAATCGCCATCGTTTCCGGCCGTTCTCGCAGAGAAACCCCAGCTCTCCACTGTGCATGACGCAGAGGCATATCGGATCTGACTTGGGACTTTGTTCGCGGGCTCTGCGCTCAAGATGCCTGGCCAGCGTTCGTTGGATAGGCCCAGGGAGCAACTAGTCTGGGGCGGAGGAATAGGCAATTCCTGGGGGAATTGAACATGTCAGCTCGCGGGATGAAATCCAAGAATTATAAGAATACTCAAGACGATGATGGGTCCACGATAGCAAACAAAGCGAAGATACCAGTCAGTGCAGGTCATGCCAAAGTCGACATCGACCACAATATCCGGGGTGCAATTGTCCAGCTCCATTGCTATGCCAGCCTTGCTGATGTGGTTTGGTATGTGACCCTCTGGCTGGTACAGATCTGGTTGAGCAACAGGGTGGCTTCTCCTCGTCCCATGTGATGAGCGACTCCTCCCTAGTAGAGGAGGCTCTCTGTGTTGGAAGTTTTGGCCAGCAAAAGGCATTCTCGCCATACAGTGCATACGGTATGGTTAGTGGTTTATTGGTTCGGTTGTAATTTACCGGTCGCTGTTCCCCCGCCAAGATTGGGCTCTTCGACTATCATCATCAACTGCCACCTCACCGAGCAATTACTCCGAAGGGGAGTCGCGTCCACTCAAAGAAAAGGACGATTGGGTCGCCCGGATCAATTTTACTGTCATATCCCTGCTCTCTACTCAAAATTATTATGCACTCTTCCGGGGCTCTGCCATCCTGGCAGTCATTCCAACTCTACCGTCTCCCCATTCCCTTTCCCATCGTGGAGGTTCTTTTACTTACTCTGCCTCTAGGAGAGTATTTGACTTAGTTTGGAACAGCATAGCCTGGGACTCTGTCCTTTTACATCATGCATGGCTTGCTGATCCACGAGGACAGCCTTGTCGCTGACTGTGGAGAAATGTGAGAACAGTGGTGAGACTCCGGTGGCAGACAATCACGCGCGAGTGATGAGCTCGAATTCGCCATGCATCTTCCAAGGCCCCAAGCAAATGTTTTCCCACGCTAAGCGTGCGTTTGCAGCCCCTGTCTTGAGCCCACCACAGCAAGGCTCCAGAAGCCGAACCACTGACTTGAGGGCGTCCTCCATGTCCGTCACGGTGAAATCGACCCAAGTGCGCTCATCCAGCTCTAAGAGCGCATCCTTGATGCCGCAAAGACATCACGCTTCACAAATTTCTTTGTCAATGTGCTGGGTGGTCGCGAGAATTTTCCTGGCTTTGCTTGTGGGATCTAGTTGAAAGGAGGTTTCCATAAGCAATGCAACAAATATGGCACCTTCTTTGAACGTGCTTGGAGAAGGGAGATCAGGCAAAGGGTAGCCTAGGGAAGGACAAATTGTACAATAATGTTATTCACTTCACCCAAACACCCAGCATCCAACGGAAACCCGAAATTATGATACGATACCCCTTGTCAGCTCAGCTGGAAGGTCTGTGTTAATCCACGGCGACCGAGTTTCCATTCTGGTGTGAGTCCGGACCGAAGCGCACGAACTAATACAAGGCTGAGAGAAGACTGTTGGCCGACTACGCCTTGGCCCCTAACCGGTGAAGATTGCTGGCAATGTCTTCTCTGACTGGTCACAAATTAGGAGCAGGCAGGACTCTGAAATGTGCATAGTGATGAGCTGCATCCCATATCTTATCATCTGTCGCAACCTATGTACCCCTCGCGCCCTGTGCAATTTGTACTATTATTGCTTACATGCCCAGGGGCCGAGGCTCAGCGTGTCTGGTTTTTTACCTTTCCTGAAGTGCTCTTCCTACCGCCATCTCGGGCTTCCTTGATACTCATGATCTAGTGGTTCTTAGATTCAAATTAGGAATCTTCTATAAGCGCATACACATCCATGCAGACTTTCAATCTGCAGAAATGAGCCCCGATCGGCAAACATGCTCACAGCAACAGCCACTGGCAGTGGAATCAACGTACGAGGGAAACTGGAGTTTACGACGTCTGAGAGATATGCCGCCTGCTGTCCAACATCAACATCTGCGAGCTGTTCCTGTGTGACAGAGTGTGAAATAGTGGTGATGTATCTTTTGATTGGTAAGAAAGCTTTCTTCCAGGAGATGACGATAACTAAGCGACCGGTCATACCACAGCTCTTCCGGCCATGCCTTCCCATAGCAACAAAGCTTCTACAGCTACCGATGACTGAACCGTCGCTGGATATCGGTGCCTGCCATCTAATGCTACTGATATTTTTTACCGAACCCTTGTCGTTATGAATGTGAAAGCCGACACAGCCACCTTTCAGAACACCATCGTTTGCTTACTCCGACTTGTACGACTCACAGCATAATATCAGGTACAAACTCGAGTATTTTCCACTACAACTTCCGCTGGGGGTGATAAATGAGGGTTCTCAAGCAGCCACAGCAACACAGGCACCATAGCGAGAGGGGTGGTGGGCGGCGTGCTGGAGTAGCATTGCTTATCGCGGCCGGTTGGTTTGTGATGAAAAGACGCAAGAAAAGGAAGCCGAGATGCGGGAAATTGGAACAGAATACCAGGAACCGGGTTATCAGGGAGGGGATGGTTACAAGTAAGTGACTGAATGTAGATCCCAGAGAAATGGAAATTCCAATAATAATGTCAGTGTTTTAAGCCATTTTGACTCCACGGGTCAGCAGAACTCCCGCTACCGGAACCCTCCGGAACATACGGTAAGCTCCTCTCCAGTGAACCGACAGGCTCGGAGATTGTACGTGAGTCTGCGTGAATTTGCCTTGTGTCGTGGTCACGAGACTTACATCCATATTCTGCTGTATTCACGGACGCCAGCACTGATCTAATTTCTTTCTCTGCTCAGCACCTGAGATGACTCCCCCTCATGTACGCTCCATGCTTCCTCATTATCATTACAGCTAACACCCTCAACTATCTATCCAACCATGTCGAGCCCAAAGCCCGCCATGGTTCGTATGAGGCATCTCAGAACCCCGGTGGGGAGGCTTGTCAATACCAAAAGCGCGGCGAATACTGAACAATCTCGAAGCCACAAGAAGACCACTGAGCAGCCTCAAGAAGATGAAGAGGGGACTACAACACCCACTGGATTCATGAGCCTACCCATCGAGATCCGTAAGCGTATCTGGGAGGCAACGTGGCCCAAGCCTCGGGTTATAGGACATTGCAGGGCTTGGACTGGGATCGGCGCAGAACGAAGAACGACCCACTACCTTCGCGCAGTTGGAAGCATCAAAGATTACTCCCACCTTGACTACTATTGGATCCTTGGCCACGCTATCATAGAACCCTGCCCTGACCCAATGGCCCTACAGATCTGTCGCGAATCACGGGAGCACACCCAAAGCACCTACATCCCAATGGTAAACAGCACCTTTCGCTTTGGGTCGTTCTACTTCGACCCGCAACGCGATACATTACTTTTATGTTGGGACTTTGATGAATGCATGCCTGATCTGGTCCTCTCCTACGGGGTCCAGCTGCGCAAATTTGAAAAGGTCTTGGTCGATGGGCATTTTTGGGCCAAAGAATTTAGCGCTCTCTACGAGGACGTGCTACGGGCATTCAAACCAGCTACGCCACAGCCGCAGTGGCTATTCGGTGCTCTCTACGAGATCTGGGGAATAGATCTCGACCCTTGTGGGGTTCGTGCCGCGGTCAAATTTGTTTCCAAGATTCTCGAGCGGACTGAACTTTTCCAACAAGCATACGACCTGCAGATATTGCGCGGAAGCACCGAGGAACTGGCTGTAGCGGAGGACTTTGGGAAGATTGTGGTGGCTGGCGGTGGGGAAGGGGGTGATGAAAAAAGCCTCGGGGTGACCGGCAATGAGATTAGCTTGTACATCTATCTGAACTTTTTGCCGTTGTCGGAGGAGAATGGTACTAGGGTTGATGCCTTCTATCTGTGCGAATGTCCCAGACATCCTACAGAGGAGTGACCGATATGAAGGAGTTTGCTTGCTTGTGGCATTTGATGATCACGATGATGACTTTGATGTTTATGCGCATACAAGACTTTTTCGAAAATTCAAGGATATCAATGCTATGTTTTCATTCATCCATCCAGTGTAAACAAACCCAGTATATCGTTGTCCACCCTTGGCTTGAATGACAACCGTACTTGACCACTGCAGCAGCTTGATTCCTCGAAAGCCAATCCGGATACATCTCCCCACCCTGTAGCAAGCCAGCAGTGATCAGCCGCTACCCAGTAGCCCCGACTAGAAGGTAGCCCAACCATCTCACCAGCATCGAGAACTAGACCGCCATTCTTCGTTCTATAGGACGATAATAGCGTGTTGGCAGGGATATATCCTTTCCCTTCTTAACACAATCTGCTCTTGCTGTTCGGCGTACACGTCAAGAGAATAGACTCAGTAACATGCAGCACCATCCGACAGTGAGCACAAGCACTACCCAGTTTACTCACTTGACCATCATAGTAATTCGAGTAAACCCGACATTCCACATCATAGTCGATGCGATAAGTGCAACGAGCACCACCCGGTCGCTGACCATCTATGTGACGGAACAGAGATGCTTATTGTATCTTATGATGGTATTGAAACAAGAATCGAAACAAACCCCCAAAGCGGAGGGGGAGTCCCCGGCGGTGGAGGCAGGAGGGGAGTTTAAGCGAGCAGTGCTGGAAGGATCACCTTAGTTGAGGGTATAACTTCGTCGAGGAGACTGGTTGGTCCGATTCTTCTGGAGAGTGACTAGCATTTTTAGGAATAGTTGGGGTATATAAGTCAGGACTAATTTGAGACTTCAGTGTTTGTATACTCCATCGTGATTCAGGTGTATTAGGCCGGTATTGTGAATCAAGGTGATAGAATTCGAACCGGTTACCGTCACTCATGCATGATATTGACATTGATAGCATTCACAACGACATGGCGCGTCGGGTACGTATTTTTTCTCACGTCGACCATGAGCATGGTGTCGATGTCCGTGATGCGATTAAACCACTGGAAGACACTGCCTCCATGGTATTCAGCTATCAATGAATGAAGATTATCCCCTTCATAGAAGACAAGACTAGAGCAGCGCGCTGTACTAATACGTTCATCTCCACATAGTGCACGCAGACGGTACTTCGATACGCTAAGCGAGTAGAAGCGTAAATATCCTATATATGGACATAACGGCGTAGAACTGTATCTGCGAACAGTATCATCCTGGTTGGAATCAAGGATAATCTCTAGACATTTAGGGGGCTCCCAGCTTCTGTGAAAAAAGAGGCACCTTGGGAGATGTCTGGGATGTAGCATATGCATATAGTTAGGACCAAGGTTCTTTAGTATAGATCGGTTATAATGCAGTTTCTGTAGCTGGCAGATACATTAACGGCCCAGGATCCGGAACTCCATTCTCTCCGCGGCATGGGGCATTTCTGGAGTATTTGTATGGGAGATGATGTTCGGTAGCAAATACAGGATGCATTCGGTATTGTTGTGCTGATTAGATGTCATACAGCACACATTTCAGGGGAACTTGATCGCGGAACTTGGTTTTCGATTCCGTCATATTTCAAGACACCAGACGAAGCTGATAGCAATGGCCAAGATTGGTTGTTGAGAGTGTCGGGATATACCCACATCTGAATGTGTCTCTTATATATTGCTGGGTAAGCAAGAGCATCGAATATATGCCACTAGCATAAGACGTCCGGATTGTAGGTCAGTATTCTCCAGCCGGCGACAGTTATCGACGCCTTAAGCATGGGAATTCCCATCTCTTAACTTCTTGCTGTCAGGGAATGTTGCACTCATTAATCGGTTGATATGTTGTGTTGAATCCATTAGAAATTAGAAGACTGGGGTTTCTTGTTAATGTGTGTGCCTGTTTTTGCTTCGCACATTATTTCGCCGTAAGGATATTACTCATATCACCTGGTCAAGTTCCGGTATGCCCCAAAGATAAAGATAGTTGTCGACAGTAGACCAAGGCCGTGACAGGTCTGTATGTATTATCTCGACAATCACCAGGAGTTAGATTTCTGTATAGTAGGTTGGTTGAGCCTGGATGTATTTTACCCAGTTGAACGGGCTAACTATGCTAGCATCGTCTCTGATTAGATTGATGGGTCTTGTATGGTTAAGTATCATGACATCTTGATGTATCAAGGAACACGCTGACTGACTGAGGCTTCATTGGAAGCGGGTTTGATCATATACCCAATTCTGGATGGCGTTCATGTTGTACACGAAGATCAAGTCTGTTTATGGATAGGCGGTTACTTGGGGTAGGGTCTGATGTTCTGCTGGCTGAGAGAGTCTATGGTAATATCCTTTATTTGATAGTAAAAGTGTCATGATGAGATCGTATGACGTTGCAATTGTTCCGGAAGATGTTGGAGAGGGGTCCAGTAAAAAAGACAGATATATATGCGAAGATGCAAAATGTGAATAAAACCGAGCTTGAATATACCTAGCAACAATGTCGGTTTCACAGGTATTGACCATTCCATGACCAGTATTCAACGTACAGGGAAATTCACAATATACAGCGCCTACTAAGATCATTGTTCAGTAGACTATTCTCATATGGCAATCTAGCATTTATCTGCAATTTACCACCACCACTACCCCTTCAGCAAGTGTTTCTGCCTTCAAATGTAGGGAAATGACGCAGCTGGGGGAGTCGTAGTTCATAAAGTGGAATAAGCTCGTTCGTGCTATAAAGTCATTTAGTCCTCTATTTACGTGCGTCGTATATATGAACAAGTGCCTGTTACCCCTTCGCCAACTGGCAAGACAATTGTCAGTCGAGGTAGAAAGATCCATGAAATGGGGTAGTGTCACCAGGTGAAATGTAAATTCCCGCTAGGATGGATCTGGCAACGGTGGTTCTGAGCCCTGGCACGGGCCTCGCAATAATGTCGCTGCTGCATTCGTCTGCAGCATCCTGCCTTAGCTCCTGAGTAGGCTGCAGGAGAAGCACAGCATTAGTGGTATGATATGTCTTGCACAGTCATGTACCTCGCTCCAGTCTATTGGTGTTCCTGAGTCTTTGGCTTTTGAGTTGACAAGGATTGTTCCCGAGATAAATCCCGCGTGGTGAAACAAATTGCTCGATTGACTTGCAAACTAGCCAAACAAGGCTTACTCACATACAAAAAAGAAGTGACCATGGCTTCTAAGATGCATTCATAGACTATATGTCTGTCTGACTTTCCAGCGCAGCCTCAAATAACTTGATCAACTGTAGTATACAATGTGAGCGATATAAACGAGACCTCATAAGAATCTAAGTGGAGGCACACTTACATAAGAAGAATACAGTCGACTATTGCCAGCTTTGCGGAACACCTCCCGCCGATCATCCAGCTGATCTGGACAGCAGTACAATGTCTCCTGTAGATCCTTATTCATCCTAAGGCTGCTCAGAAATGCCACCGCATTGGGGTCGTTGCCAACTCGTGAGATGAGAAACACAGCACCCTCTGGTTCTTTGGAGAGTTCGCTCAATCTTCTCTTGCAATCCAAAACAGTCTTCTCAAGACAGGTTGGAGCTTCTCCTTGTGGCTGGTGTTTATCTCAGATTAGCATTTGTATCCAGAAAACTAGAGTAGAGGTCCACTCACATCCCCATCAGTTATGATGACCGTGATAACAGGCTTCTCAAGCTGGCCCGACTGGACTTTATCGATGATGAGAGGGTTGACAATCTTGGACCCGAGCACAGTCCCCAGTCGAGTTGATCCAGAATACTTGATATCCTTCATTTTGACCTTGACCTCCTTATCGGTTAATTCGTTGTAGTGCTGGTCTTGGGAATTGTTTAGGAAGCGCAGATACACGCCATGTGGCTGAATAGAGCTACCGAACTCAGCAACACGTTCACAGGTATCTTCGAGCGCCTGAATGCGGATACGCCTGTCTTTCCTCATTGAACTGCTATCATCTACATCTGACAGTCAGTTCAAGGTTAAGGCATCTCGAAATGGAAGAAAGACATACCACAGAGTATCACAAAGTCATACAAGGCCATGATGGCCAACCTTGGCGTGACCTCAGGCTCCAACTCATACTTTTGGGTGAGGTCCTTGGCACGAGTAGCAGCAATTTTCACCAATTCCTCCACGTATGGGTCCCCTGGCTGATAATAGGACTTTAGGTTATTTTCGATGAACCTCCAGACATATCTTCGATAGTCCTCTTCCGTCTCTGGTACCTTGATCGCTGGCACGTGGACTTCGGACAGCGGGGTATGGGGCGAACTTTCGGGCTGCGAAATACCAAGATGGCGACTGAACTCCCTGAGAAACTCATCGACAACGTCAGCGACAATCTCATTGATGGCATCCTCTCGCTCATCGCCGACGCTTGAGGACTCATCGTACTCATCATCGCTATACGCTGGAGCCATGACTGGTTAGCCGAGAGTGGAAAAATACCCGATAAGGATTCAGCTTGGGTTGTGAGTTGCCCAGAGGGTATCATGAGTATGTCGTCTGCTTTTGACCTGGCATGGCAGTGTCGTCACCCCAAGCCCGACAGCGCATGACTGCTATTGACCCTGGATGCATGACTCTTCATCGTCAAGAAGCCCAACCGCACGACATTAAACCCCGAACTGGCAGCGAAAACATGAGGCGCCAATCGTGAAGAGACTGAGGCTAATTTTAGGTGCTTTGAGTTGCTGGGAACGGTTTGTTTGTCGAAGAGGCAAGGAGGTGAGGAGGCGAAGAAGAGAGAGACGGAGAAGCTGACAAGTGGGGGACACTGCTGGGCACTGCTGGGCACTGCGGGGCACTGCGGGGCACTTCATCGTCGCTGCTGGGATCTAAATTCCAGGTTGCGCGGCAACCGCGGACAGCCTCGAGGAGAAACCCAACCATATTGGTAAGGCAGGGGTGAGATGAAGTTCATTATCCAAAGACACACCCTGGACAACGGTTCTTTCGGGGAACTGCCTGAACATGCTAATTTGATGCCTAAAGCCCGGTGTCCCAGCGACGGGCAACCAGATCAGCGACTGCATATGTACCTCTCGCGATATGCCCATGGAAGCGTACCAAAAGCTATCGGCTATAATCACCCATTTGGACACAGATGCAGCTAAGTTCACCTGTTACAGCATAGTAAGCAGATAACTAAGGAACAGAGCCTTCGATGACATCACTCACTTTCCATTCTGCCCGAGCATTGGTGTGAATGGCTGGCTATCTGCATGTGCAGGGATAGTATCTGAGCGGTGATACGGCTATATGGCAATGCACCAGAAGATTGATCCCCCGTGACCAGGCAGTCCAGAGACACGTCAGCCGGTCTGCTGCCACCCCCCTTCGGCATCTCACCGGTTGTGCACAACATGTCCGCACATGTCGCAGGGGGGCAAATTCACTACCTGCATATGCTGATGTGATGTCCAGCAGGAGGGCTACGTCTCAGGTGCTTTTCTCTGAGCTATCCCGATCTACGCTTCTTTCGATCATCTGCCCCTTCGCCAGTTTGCGGTGTATGTTTCAGATTTTCACACGCCTGATGCAACCACGCCTGAGTTATTCCGGGAGGCGGAAAGATGGCTGACAAGGTCGGAAGTTACGGCTTGCTTTGTGCCCTAAGTTACCTTTTTTTCTTCGACCCTGGAAAGGGGCGACGGATTCGGCCTCGTTCGGACGAAGGTCGCTGGTATCTGCTTTGATAATAGGAATAATGATTGAACTGAGCTCGTACACGCTGTCCAATGTTGGGCGCTCTTGCCTGACCGGGCTGCTTTATCCGGCGACAAGGCTATCTCGATGTCATTCAGCCTCTCGTGAATCCACCACTTTGAGTGTTACGCTCCTGGCCTCGATAACTATATAAGTGCGATTAAACTCGCATCAACGAATTCTATCTGCAGGCACGGAAAAACAACAACAGAAACACAGAGCTTCTTCTTAGGATTATCTTTGAAACACCATCTCTATCCCTGAACGGAAACATAATGCCGGACAACAACAACAAACAGTCGCAGCCGTCACCCGGGAAGGGAACTCCCGAGCAGTCACTTATCGAAATGACCCTCACCGAACTTGATAAAGCAACCAAGCAACCATCCTTGCGAACGCTCTTTAGAAGCCATTTGCTCCAGACTTGCGGCAGCGACAAAGTGAAAGAGTTTAACGACTCAGCAGACAGATATAAGCGTTATATTGTGTCGTTTCTCGCCCAAAAGACCATCACAGATGTGTTTGCAAATTTTGCTCAAGAATTGGCCAAGGAACTGAATGGTCAATAACTTGGACTCACCGGGGCCCCACAACAGAGGTGAGTGGATATCAACTCTGGGTTTTGCCTTCTAGAGTGAGAGCAACTGACTTGGCCGTGGAAATTGTAGACTGTCTATGATAAGACGTGGTTGCTGAAACTAGGTGGAGAATAGGATGGATAGGGATTGGTCATGTTTGAGGATTAGTTGAACGTTCTGGTTATTTTTCAACGGCAGCAAATTGTCTTCCCTTGTTAATTAATGCAAATTTCCATCATGCTTTGATCAGATCAGCAGAATGTATTCTGAGATGTTGTGTAGGTGACGGGGTAGCTATCACCCCGAAAGAGGCAGCATAAACACAAAGGATCGGATGATCTTCATCGTAACCTGCAAACCGAAAACATTCGATATAGCTTTGGAAATGCCAACTCGGCTTCCATCATGTCGATCGGGTCATTCATCCATTACGCCACGGTTCAACGGCTCCACGTTTATGTTTCAAAAGGAAACAACAGACCACTCCCTACGCTTCCGACACAGTGGGCGGCAATGTTTGACCACCTAGCCATGAAGGATTAGCTGCCCGATCACCAGAGGGAGAATGGCGTATCAGTAGCTGGCACCCATCACTTGACAGGGGGGTTGGAAGACCTTTGCGGCCCAACCATCAGAGCAGAGACACGGTCAAAAGACGATGAGATGCCCCCCAATTGAGCTGCAGCGCTTTCCTTCCGTTGCTCACTAGACCCCTCCATTCCATTCAATTATCTCCCCTAAGTTCCTTATCATATCATCATGAATGGATACGGCCATAGACCATCGTTACAATGCAACGACTATCGAATAGGCTGGGTCTGCGCTTTACCACTCGAGCTCGCCGCAGCCAAGTCCATGTTGGATATTGAACACGGCGTTCCCTCGGACTTCTACCGGAAGTCGCACTCGGACCACAACAAATACACCTTCGGCCAGATTGGTGGCCATAACATAGTGCTGGTTGTTCTGCCTGCCGGCATCTACGGGGTCACCCAAGCAGCCATTTCTACAAAACTGATGTCATGGACCTTCCCCAACCTACGGTTCGCTCTGATGGTGGGAATCGGAGGTGGAGTACCCAGCAGAACCTATGATATCCGCTTAGGAGATGTGGTGGTCAGCAGGCCAGTGCCAGGACATCCTGGAGTGATGCAGTATGACTTCGGCAAGACGGGACCCGACGGCGAGGTAATTGCTACTGGAGCCCTGAATCGACCGCCGCTGGAAGCCTTGGCAGCCATTGCTGTCATGGAGACAAAAGCTATGATGGAGGAAGGACGTCTATCAGACATCATCTGCGCTGTTTTGAGAAAGCATCCCAAAATGCGGGCGACATTCAATCACCCTGGGGTGGCCCATGATGTTCTGTATCGTGCGGACTATAGCCATATTTCCGATGACCACTGCACAGACTGCAGTCGAGACATGACTATAGATCGACATTCACGGGGAACAATTGAACCAAGCATTCATTATGGACTCATTGGGTCGGGTAACCAAGTGATCAAGAATGGAGCAACCAGGGAGCGCTTGCGAGAGAAGCACGGCATCTTGTGTTTTGAGATGGAAGCAGCGGGGGCCTTGGTGAGTACCACAACCAAGAATTTCTCTGAAAGATGTCCCTGACAGCAAGTAACCAGGAAGCATTCCCCTGTCTTGTTATCCGGGGAGTTTGCGACTATGCAGACTCCCACAAGAATAAATCATGGCAGGGATATGCGGCGCTTACAGCAGCTGCATACACTAAAGATCTTCTGTGTTCAATTGGGGGAGCAGTAATTCCAGCTTGTGAGTATCTCAACTAAGCTTTCGCCTAGTCACTAGTTATAGAAGGTTCTGACGACTGTTTATAGCTCCAGCCTCACCTAGTACTAGCGATGCTTCTGAGGCCACCGAGTACGATACAATGGCCTTTCCACCTCACCGGCGCAATCCAGAACTAAGACGGCCTTCGCAACCCGAGCCTGTGCCGGCTTTGCAACCCAACCCACAACCACGGAGGGGCCACACGGATCCAGAACCTTCCCCTCAAAGAAGACGCGCCTCGAATCCACAGCCCAATCAGCAGCAGATCGACCCCCTACTTCGGGCGGACCTTGGAAGAAGGATCCTCCAGGCAGCCAAAGCCGGAAATATGCCAGTCGCCAAGAAGTTCCTCGATCGAGGAGGGGACCCGAACACAGCTGATGAGAATTGGGATCTCACTGCACTGCATTATACCGCTCGAACGGGTCATAACGGCCTGACCCGATTGCTGGTGAATGTCGGAGCCAATCCCAATGCTCGGGCTAAATATACGAGGAACACCCCTCTATTTGATGCAGCTTACAATGGCCATGCCAAGGTCATCCAATGTTTGTTACAACATGGTGCCGAGATTGAGCTTACTGGGGAGCGTGAGAAAACTGCATTGCATGCAGCTGCTGAGCAAGGACATCTTGCGTGTGTCACAATTCTCATGCAGAATATGGCTAATCCAGACAGCGTCGACGGCAATGGAGACACACCGCTAGACTTGGCAGAGAAAGAAGGGCATTGGGAAATCGTGCAGTATTTACAGCAGGAGTAGTTTGGCTTTGAGACATCCCGCGAGATTGTTCAGTCATGATGCAGCACCAATACATTTGCATAAATTCATACTAGGCACGGAATGATGAAAGCTAGAATTACCAGCAGCCATGTTTCTACCGTCGGGATCAGGTGATTGGGGTCTGCGGTTGTCTTCGTTCCCCAATTTCTGGAATTCCGGACCTCTCTCCTTCTGCTGCGCAATATCATCAACATCATCTACATTCATTACATCTATCATCAGATATCAAGTCTTCGAGGCGTCCATATACTCGCCAAGTAATCTGCACATTCTACTTCCATAACAACACCGCCTTTAATGTCTTCCCTTCCTTCATGTCGCTGATTGCTTGATTATACTGATCAATCGGGTAGGTCGTGATGAGCTCCTCAATCGGATAGTTCCCCTGCGAGTTCTGTTCAATAAGGTAGGGCAGGAACTATGTATCATTAGCAACGCTGACTCTATGGTCTTCGATAGGCAATTCTTACCTTTTCTGCCTGTGAATCACCTTCGCAACATCCTACGTACTGACGACCAAAGACCAACTGTGCGAATATATCCACCTTGGCTGTCTTGCCGGGGGTTGGAGCACCAACGGTGGCCAGCTTGCCTCTTGCCCCAAGTGCTTGGATCGCCTTCTCAACGACGGCCGGCACACCGGTGCAGTCAACAGCATACTGTACACCAAGGGGCGGGCAGATCGTCTGGATATGTTGGATGATGTCGTCATCAGACCCGATGATGGTATGTGTTGCCCCGAGCTTCTTCGCCAACTCAAGCCGTTCCTGATTCAAGTCCACCGCAATGATAGATTTCGCACCGCGCATCTTTCCGGCCATGATAGCACTCATGCCAACCGACCCAGCCCCAAATACTGCTAAACTGGATCCAGGTTGCACATCAAGTGTGTTTATCACAGCTCCAGCCCCAGTCTGGAACCCACAACCCAAGGGTGCAAGCAGATGCAAGGGAGATTCGGGTGCCACCTTCACAACGCACGATACATGGACAACAGCTAAGCTGGCAAATGAACTTTGCCCGAAGAAGTTTCCGCGCAGGGGATCCCCGTTTTCGAAAGATAGGGTAAAGCTACCGTCTGGTCTTTGTTGACCGAAATTGCTCTGCACAAACTGATAGCAATAGGCTGGATGACCGCCGGTGCATTGGTCACAGGCCCCGCAAGATGCATAGCTTAACAACACCTTATCGTTTGCCTGCAGATGTGTGACATTCGCCCCGGTTCTCACGATGGTGCCAGCTCCTAAGTGGGTCTTAGCGAGGTTCCAGAGAAGTAAGCTTCGTTCATCAAACCTTCGTGCCCGAACACGCATGGCGCAGAGGCGGGCAGCTGCCCGTTCATGCAGGAGAGATCTGTATGGCAGATTCCGGTTGCATAGATGTCGACGAGCACTTCGTCGGCCCTTAGTTCACCGAGGTGGACATTCTCCATACTGAGAGGGCCATTGACCTCTCTCATCACTAATGCTGTGGCGGTCGCTGCCATGGTTGCGTTGATTAGATGAGATCAAGAAAGGATAAATGCTCTCATATGCGAAGTTTCGTTTCCATGTTGAAGAGCGAGATAACAAAGGCGTCCGTTCCTATTTAAGTCCCACCCTTGGAATCCTCCCTCACGACCCAAATCAGGGCCGAACAGAAGATTGGCAGCCATGTTGATCGGTCATAGCTCCAATCTGCCGTGATCTGGACCCGAGTTTTGGTCATCCATCCAAAGACAGGCAGCAGCCCCCGGATTTATGAACGCGGGGAGAGCGAAATTAAAGTTTAATAAGCACCCCACTAGTGTCTAGAGTGAGGTCAATTGACCGGCTAATATTGCCCGTCTTTTGTCGCCAATCACGAGTGGATGGTGAATAATCAGTAACTGGCCAGCCTAGACTAATGCCCGGCGGTGTGTTGAATTCAGGTGTGTATCACAGAACTATGTACACACGCAACGATCACATAGAAGCCATTGGTTGGTTCATCACACTGCTGATGTGATGAACCACCGCTCTTCTTCAATGGCTCGTCGATGGCCGTGGCAACCGCAGCTGTGGATCCCGTGGAGAGCCAAGCCTCCGTGACGGCGATCGGTTCGCAGATCGCAAGCGCGGGGTTCACACCAGTCAACCAAAGTTTCGGGCGTAGAGGGAATGTAACTCCCGATCCGATCTGCCGTCGACCGTCTACCAAGCCGAATCCCCATCCGACAGCGGGTTCATTGGAGTTGCGAGCCGCGGGGCCCCGCAAACCCCATCACAATATTTCTCCATTTGTGACTGGAATGCGGGGATGGCACCAATCCTGACAATCAGAAAGTGCCCATTATTCAGTCAACACTAGCCAAGCCAGCATTACTCCGGGATATGCTCTGTCAACGCCGTCACACGCGTCACACATCTCGTATTTGTCATGGAAGGATTCGACATGTCTACTGTAGTGGGGATATTCGAAGGTAAGGCGCTTGGCTGGGGTATAAATACGCAGCTATGGAAGCTGATGGGATTGAAGTATCGAACAAGGATTATATTTTGATGCCCATGTAATTGCCTCTGCTTCATCCTTGTATCTCCGACACCTGCTTGAGCTACTTACTCCGCCAATATGGGCTCCATCAGCAAGATCGACTTCACTGTGCGTTTCTCCTCATCTCCTCACCCTTCATTGAGAACACCACTAACATTTTGCAGACATTCTACAACACAATCAACAATGAACTCACAACCACTCCCACAACCCGCCACAGCCTCAACCCAGCTACGCGCAAGCCCAACCCGCCCGTCCCCATCTCCACTGCATCAGACCTCAACCATGCCGTGACCAGCGCCCGCACCGCTTTCAAAAGCTGGTCCAAGCTCTCCCCATCTGACCGACGTGCCAAGGTCATCGCCTTCGGTGAAGCCATCTCCCTTCACGCGGAGGAATTCGCCGACCTCCTAGTGCAAGAACAAGGCAAAGCACGCTTCCAAGCTACCATCGAAGTGAACATGTCCGGAACATGGTGCAAGCAGATCCCGCAATTAGAACTCAATGACGAGATCCTCCAAGACACTGCTGACCAGCGTGTTATCCAACGCTTCACGCCCATGGGTGTAGTTGCGGGCATTGTACCGTGGAACTTTCCGCTGCTGTTAGCAGTGGGGAAGATCGCCCCGGCAGTGTATACAGGGAATTGTATCATCATCAAGCCGTCACCATTTACTCCATACTGCGCGTTGAAACTTGGGGAGTTGGCGGCGACGATTTTTCCACCCGGTGTGGTGCAGGTGCTGAGTGATGATGGGAACATTGGACCGTTGATGACGACGCACCCGGGGATTAACAAGATTAGTTTCACCGGATCAACGGAAACCGGAAAGCGAATCATGAGAAATTGCGCAGAGACGCTGAAATCCGTCACACTGGAGCTAGGAGGCAACGACCCTGCCATTGTTTGCGAGGACGTGGATATCGACGAGGTTGTACCACAGGTATGTCATCTGCCACAGTGCCAACTACCCTGTAAAGCGATAAAGCCTAACCAACAACCAGATCGCCACCCTAAGTTTCCTCGTCTCGGCCCAAGTCTGCATGATGATCAAACGCCTCTACATCCACGAATCCATCTACGACAAATTCCTCTCCGCCTTTATCAACTTCACCAAGACTCTCAAGACAGGCCATGGCACCGAACCAGACGTCTTCTTCGGCCCGGTGCAAAACGAAATGCAATACGAGAAAGTCAAGGACCTCTTCACCTCCATTCAAACCGAAAACCTGAACCCCGTTCTCGGCGGCACCATCACCGACTCGGAAGGTTACTTTGTCACTCCCACACTTATCGACAATCCCCCCGATGACTCCAGGGTAGTCAAAGAAGAAGCCTTCGGTCCGATCCTCCCGTTAATGAAATGGTCCAACGAAGAAGAAGTTATCGTGCGTGCTAATGATTCTGAATCGGGACTCGGTGCGTCGGTGTGGAGCAAGGATGTGGAGCGGGCGCAGCGGATAGGCGCGCAGTTGGAGTCTGGGTCCGTGTGGATTAATTCGCATTTCCAGGTTGCGCCGAATATTCCTTTCGGAGGGGTGAAGAGTAGTGGGATTGGGCGGGAGTGGGGCATTGAGGGGTTGAAGAGTTATACGCAGTCGCAGATGATGTGGGTGAAGAAGTGAGCTGTTTGAAACGGATGCTTGTCTGCAATGAAGGTATTACTCCTATCTTGGATGAGAGGGGGCCTGATCCTTTGGCGTACTGAGAGGAAGGGTGGGGATATATCATTTTATCAGTTGAAAGAGTATCGAAAAAGAGATCCTCACGAGCCCGGCTCTTGATCTTCATCTTGTCCGTGCGCATTTGGGCTGAAGCACCCTCCCCGGCCCTGAATACTCGAAGACATATAAAAGGAAGAAAGCTGCCTAGTAGACTGCTTCCCATTCACCTAGTCCAGAACCTCTAGCCGTATTTCCCCCATCACATTAGCCTCAAGGCCGATAAGAGCTGACTTTCTTCTCCTATATATCTAGTATAACATTTTTCCAGACGGAATTCCGTCTGCCCTTGATCCCAACCAATGCAGAACAGCAGCAAGGCAATCCTACCTCGCTGGCTAATCCATCAAATTTCGTGCTTCCTCTCCCCTGCACAAATCCCTACAATCCTCCAACTACATTCTCTCTACCATCCTGGAGTTTCCCATTTTCACTTCCTCAGGATGTCAGTAACAATTCATTCAAAGGTAGTCGAACTCGATCACTTGATTCCAAGAGTAGTGGATCATGACCGGGAAGGTAAGCCTGTATTAGTCTCCCCCCGATTATCCTGACGAAGAGCAATTCTCCAGACTAACCGATAAACTCAGACTCGGATGTGGAGAACCTCATCCCTTGGGTCTTCCAACAATCCGACACAGCCGATGAAGGAGACAGCACATTTAGCTGGCCTGACGGGGACACCAACTTCCATCTCTTCTTCAATGAGTTATCTTCCTACCGTGCAGAACTAGAAGCCTATGGTGTGGTCAAACAGGGAGAGAATACCCCTAATGATGATGACAACGGTACAGCCGTCTCAAGTACCATGCAAGCAAGCGAACAATCACCATGCCCCGAAAGAGTTGGCGAATAGCCGGGCGAGAGCGGTTCCGATATTTTATCAATTCGCAGTGCATTTTGTCGAGATTATTGTTGGAGGGGATTTATTTGAGTTTGGATGATGTTCAAGCCTGGAATCTAGATTGCAAGGTGAGGTAAGTCGCGTGACAGATCTTTCTTCTTCATATCAGTCCCTGAAGTTATATTGATCCCTCGTCAGGTTTACTACATCACCCCGTGAGGTAAAGTATACCATCGGCGGAACCCGATATGTGACGCGACTAGAGGGAGCCGCGGTCATCGGACCACGAGATCAGTATCTTCCTATCATTACTTTTACTGGGGTATGTGTGTAGATTCTCACATTCCATTCCCCACGATTAGACCAAGACTGACTGTAACGGTGTGTAGTGGTTCCCAGGCCAAACCTGGGAACAATACCTCATTGAAATACTCAGCGCGATGCTGGGCCAGATGACGCAAAACCTGGACATTCTGAAGACCGGGTTCCAAGATCGAGAAGTGTTCGTGGTTGGGTTCCATGGTCCGTACCTTCATATCGTGCGGGGGTTCTTTCCGAAGGATCTGATTGCGAGGGTCCATGCAGAGGGGTACGCAGGAAATGAGGTTTTCCATTTGGAGTTTACGCGGGGCTATTATTTGTGGTCGAAAGGAGATTGGCTAGATGCGACCCGGGCGTTGACGCGGTTGCTTCGATATCTTCTAGGGGTGCAGAGATAGGGGGATTGGTTTTCTTTGGAAGATACATAATATTTGGGTAATAATCTTGGTGCTAGTGAGAATGGCAGTGCCCTTGTGCCATCCTTTGCCCTGCAGACTTTCTCCACTCATGACTAGACATTTGGTCGGATTACACTCCGGACTCGCTCAATAGTCACCGGATACAACGGACGACAGCGGCCATCGGGCAGAGTCAGAATACCACAATGAGGAGGTCATTCCCAACATTCCATGGAATCTATGCAAAATATGATACCAGATGCTTTTTCAAGTTACAGCCTCCACCTCGGCTACCCACGTCCGCCATTCCGAGTTCAGCCTTTCTTTGTCCATCTATAACGAGCCGTGAACATCCCGGCGCCATCGCGGTACTTTCTTTCTTTCTTTCTTTCTTTCTTTCTTTCTTTCTTTCTTTCTTTTGTTTTCGGCTGGCTGGGCATGTTGCTGGTGCATACATCCTCTCGTCTGCTTGCTATGGCAAGCTGAAGATGTGTGGATCCTCCCCCCGGGTCTTGTGGGAAATATCACATTCTTGATTCTGTATGGAGAAAGTATGTAACGGTTTGATCCAGTTCAGAAGACAAAGAAAAGCAGCACCGCCTTACCGGCTGGATGCTCAGCTTCTCAGCCTCGTGCACGATCTGTTCCACGCTGACAGCCCCGCTAGCTCAGGATCGACACAAACGCATAAGCACTATCTCTCCTCGCCACCAATCAGGAAGCAATTAATCTAACCCGCAACAGTGGCCCCTGGGAAGTGGGCACAAAGCACCCTCCCAGACAAAGAACCGCGATGAAACCAAGTAGGCTTTTGGGCGATGAATCTCAACCGAACGGTCCAATAAGACGGGAACACAGCAGACAAGCTTCCGCGCGGCCCTCTCCTCAGGACATTTATTGCGCTCCATCCGCCCATCGTTCGGTTTTCTGTTCATTCATCGTAATGGCAGTCAGCATCTCTATCTACACGGCTGTGGTCACAGCAGTACTGGTAGGATACGCATCCATTTCTCTCTGACCCACCCCCCACTAACGGCCCCAGCTCCCCATCCTCTTCGCCATCCACCGGCTCTACTTCCACCCGCTATCGCGCTACAATGGTCCACGGCTCTGGGCCCTGACCCGCCTCCCGTACATGCTCGCCTTCCGGTCCGGCCAATTAGCCCACAAAATCAAATCCTTCCACGAGATTTACGGCGACACCGTCCGCGTCGCCCCCAATGAAGTCTCCTTCATCGACCCCACCGCCATCAAGGATATCTACAACCGTCAACCCAACCCACACTACAAATCCCTCCCCAAGGACCCCGTCCGCCAACCACCCCCGCGACCCGGCCAACCCATCAACATCCTCGAAGCCAACGATACAGACCATACGCGACTCCGGAAAGCCTACGCCGCCTCCTTCAGCACCCAGGCGCTAACCGCCCAGGAACCACTCGTCACCACGTACGTCCACAAAATGATCGCCCAGATCAAGGCCCGGACGACAACAACGACCAACGGAGCGGTCATCGACCTCCAGGATTGGATCAGCTACTGCACATTCGACATCATGTGCTCGCTCAGTCTGGGAGCGGACTTTGGGTGTCTGGACCAAGATCGGTACCATGAATGGGTGGGGATGCTCGTACACTCCCTGAAAGGCAGAGTACAACTCGCCTCGTGTCGTTTCTACCCTTGGCTGTTCAACTATCTGGTCCAGAGATTGCCTGAAACCGCTCAGCGGATGGCGGCCCAGCACCAGGCTACCACGAAGGAAAAGGTGCAACAGCGTCTGCGGACCGAGGTCGATCGACCGGATTTTCTCTCGCATTTGCAGAGGTCGAAACATGAGCTGTCCGACGGGGAAATGGAAGTTAATGCGGCTACGTTGATCTTTGCCGGGAGTCATACCCTGCAGACGGCCATCACGGGGATTGTGTTCCATCTGCTGCAACATCCTGATGCGCTAGCCCGGGTGACGGGTGAGGTCCGGAGTAGCTTTGCCACAGCCGAGGAGATCGATTCGAGGAAGTTGTCAAGATTACCTGTGCTAGAAGCAGCCATCAAGGAAGGCATCCGACTCACCTCCCCCGTCCCATTGGGCCTCACTCGACTCGTCCCCGCCGGAGGCCACACCATCTGCGGCGACTTCTTCCCTGAAGGCGTAAGCTCCCCCCTTTCTCCCTCCCTCCCTCCCTCCTTACTTACTTCCCTCCCCGTCCACCCCACCCACACTCCCCAACTAACCCCCCCAGACCATCGTCTCCTACATGCAATGGGCCGCCAACATCTCCCCCCGAAACTACACCCACCCCACCGAATTCCACTTAGACCGATGGCTCCACCCCACCGAAGCTCCCTTCGCCCACGACCACCGAACCGCCACACAACCCTTCCTGCAGGGTCCCCGAGACTGTATCGGACAGAATCTCGCTCGGATGGAAATCTCTCTTATCTTGGGCCATCTGCTCTATCATTTTGATTTGGACGTGCCGCGGGGGGTTGAGAGTCTGGGGAAGTGGGACGATCAGGAGACGTATGCGGTTTGGTTGAAGGCGCCGTTGTCGGTGAAGGTGGTGGTGAGGTAAGGTTGTTGGTGCCTGTGGGGTGGATAGTATGTTGAGACTTGTGGTGTGGGGGGTGGGTAGAGCGGTTTCTGGGTTTGGGTATAGATTTGGGGGGTTGAATGAAGATAATAGAGATGTGTGATACTACAGTTTAGAAAGACTCAATATATAAAACAGCATACATACATAGATAAACAAGACCACCAGAGCAGCATCTACTCACATCATCGGATCAATTGAAGTCTCCAGTGCGGGGTATGATAAGCAAAGCGGGGAAGCACGAGCGGGAATGATGAAATCTCGATGTCGGCTGGACTGGCCTAGAACCCTAAACTTTTCAGAACTGTGACACTGCCCTAGCCCTGTGGGACGTTGGTGGGGTTGGCTTTGGCTTGAGGTACTTATCACACGTCTTTCCAGTCATCAGAACACGTTCAGATTTAGTGTCATTACTTGACAACCTGGGGAATTCCATCGGGAGAGTCTGAACCATGTTCTGAAATACGGCACGGTTCGTCGATGGTAGAGAGTGGATCCAGGAACATGTCCATCAGTCTCAATGACAGCGCCGAGATTGCGAGTCCAGCCGGAAAGTAAAAGCTTACTGTGCCTTGCGCTTGTCCGTCATGCCGATTAGCTGGGACAGAAGGCCGGGAGGTGGGGTGTTGGTTTATTGGTGGCGCTGTACACAGTGGTCTCGGCCAGGAGGGTCATGGTTGTTTGTCATGGTGATGGTTGAATATTGAAGATGCTGGTGGTACGGGGCTGTTCTGGCGCTAGCAGCCACTGTCATCGAACGGGTGACCTAGTTCGATGCAACGCAGCGGGCTCGTATGACTTCATCGGCCGGAAAGACAATCAGGTCAAAATCCGGGGCCAGCAAATCGAGCTGGAGGCCGTGGAGCTCCTGTTGCTGGAAACCGGCCTCGTCCGCGCCGCCACCGTGCTCAAGGTGCAACCGGAGGATGCCATCCTTCCGGCCCTTCCTGCTGGCCTGCGTGATCCCCTCTGCGACGACAGTTGATGCCAATGCAATCATCAGGGAGTTCATCCGGCGCACGCCACATATGGTGCCGCGGATCGAGTTGCTTGACGAGTTTCCTCTACGTCTCACTGGCAAGGTCGATCGCGAACTACTGGAACAGCAATACGTCGACAAGATGCGGACGGCGAGCCGCAGCCTCTTATTGACTGGCAAGAAGGGCCCTCGCGGCCAGTCTTTCCCTGCCCTGTTAGAGGGTCACTTGTCTGATCCGGGCCAAGGATGCAGTGACGGGTATGGCTCGGCTGCGACAAAATCTCGCCAAGTATCGAATTTATCTGGAGCCAGGCATGGAGGAGAAAATACTCATCGTGCCGGGAGATTTTGGGCAGCCCAATCTTGGGCTGGATCAGCACATGTACAAGCTCCTGGCAGCCTCGTCGAGTGTGGTCTTCCCCCTAGGTGCCCAAGTCAACTATGTGCAGCCGTACTCCAGTCATCGCGCAGCCAATGTGCACAGCACGCTCCGGATGATCGAGTTTGCCAATTCACAGCGACCCAAGATGCTCCATTACTGCTCCAGCATCGCCGCCTACGGCCCGTCGGGTTTCGTGCTGGGGGTGCGGGCGATTGCAGAGGATGCACGCCCTGGAATATGACATGGGATACGCGCAGAGCCAGATGGTGGCTGAGACGGTGGTCTGGAATGCCATTGACAATGGGCTCCCCGTAGCAATCTACCGGTCCGGATTTGTCCTGGGGCATACGCAGAGCGGGATTGGCAAGCCAGACGACTTTGTCGGACGACTCTTCAAGAGCTGTTTCGAGACGGGTTGCTATCCTATCCTTCCCGCCCAGCGCAAGGAGTTCATCCCGGTCGATTTTGTTGTGGGCGCTTTGCTGCATATTGCCACCTCTCCGGCAAGGCTCCGGAAGGCCTACAACCTCATTCAGCCTCGACACGAGGCAGCTATCGATATGGTCACAACCTTCAAACTGCTCAACGGCTTGTCACCCACCCCGATGCAGGGAATGCCATATGCTGACTGGGTTCAACGCTTGTTGCTGGAGCTGCGCGGCCCTTTGCACCCCTTGATCCCCATGCTACAGGAGACGGTCCTCGGGGAGATGACACGGTGGGAGATCCAGGAGCACATGGCAATTTACGGCACAGAGAATATGCGGCAGGCGCTTTCCGATGCTCCGGAACTATTGCGCTGTGAGCCCATGTCGGCGCTGTTCGAGCGATATGTCGCCCAGTGGATGCCGTCCCGGTTGTCACGAAAATGATCATCGATTTCCCTACGGGTAGGAATCTTCCATGATGTTCCTAATTGTTCTGCATTGGCAGAGTTAGGGTCTTCTCTTGGTCTCCGATTTAGCTGTTGCATAGATGCATGGCAAGCAGATGCTTGATGGGCTGCTTGTCTACAGAGGAAGGTGTATCCATACTAGGATGCGGCATTGTCCCCGTTGATAACTTTCTGCGCCCATGCAACCTCTGGCCCAGACTCTGGTCCCAGCCGATCCAGGGCAAGGTGAACCAAGAATGTGCCCCAACCATCCATCCACCAATTTTCCATCATCATGTCTAGTGCAACACCATAATGAGCGAGTACCACGAGAGCACTGGCATTATCTTCCAGCAAAAGATCCAAATATTTCAAGTCTACCACAGCAGGCCATCTCATAATAGTTGAGGCGGGGTTCTGAACAGTGGTGGACAGTTGCAACAAGTCGAGCAGCTTCTGACTGGCAATTGCAACCACTGAGTTGGTGCTATCATCTGCCTCGGCAGATCGTGCCTGATCATATATTTTCTGTATCCGAGCATGTAGTTCCCCGACGTGCGTGGTCTTCGACGTTTGACGCGGCTGCCGACCGACTTGTAGTAGATCCCTCATGCCTCCTGCTTTAATCCACGGGCGAGCCTGCGCCACGATAGAGGCCACTCCCCGAACCAGTTTAAAGACTTCGAGAACATCCGAGACACTGTGGGCTCTCGGAGTGACCTTTGGGCCATGCGCAGCAAACGAGAACATGGCGACAAAGCAGGCAAATGCAAATAGAGCATGGCAGTTTCCCGGTGTCACATTGTTCAGCAGAGGGGTACATAAAGAGAGCGAGATGTTGTTGTGAGTCATGGCGGCCTCGGTATATCGAGGCCGTCGCTCGACGGGACCATGGTGACTGAGGTGGAGAGCTGATAAAGCCAATAGACTGTGCATCAGAAACGGATGTGAAAGAGCCTCCTGCGGAACAAACTCCCGCAGTACTTTTTCGGTCGATCTTTCGTGGACCAGTGTCTGCACGGTCGTCACATGCCAGTGGTTCAAGAGCTCCAAGTCGAGCAGTTGGAGCCGGGAGCTTTCTGTACTTATGGCCGATGTCCCAGTCCTATGATGTGCTGACGTTAGTGTGGCATGGCTGGTGAAAGAGCAATTGAGCTGCTTCTTCTGACAGGAGCTGCACATAGGCCGAGCCTCGTTGCATTTGATTCTGCGCTGCTTGCACTGGGCGCAGCCATGGTGGGATTTAGCATGACTGCGTCGTAATGGCATATCTTATATCCACTATCACTTGACCCGAAGACCCACGGACAACATCCGCGTAGTCGAATCGTGGAAATGTGCGCTGTTAGAGGCGAGGAATCCCGGTGAAAATCGATCCAGCAAATTAGTGCCTGTCCCCTGAGGCACCCATAGACATCCACGGGAAGATCTTCGTAAACTATTCCTCTTTAGGCATAGTTCTCGAGAGCCCGGAGATTGGTTCTATTCTTATGCTTCGCTTGTCCACTTCAACTACGTGATTTCAAGGCATAACTCTTCCCGGAAAACGACCTGGCTTTCGCACTCATCCACAATGGCGCTCTTCTTTCTCAAAAAGGCATGGTTATTTCCAGCCGAGTCCAGAGCCATATGTCTACTTAAGTCTCACTTATCTTGCGTCCTAGCCTTCTCCGCGCTGGAGAAGTCGCTTACAGCCTTTGCCAGAGGGGAGTAGCACGCAGAACAAGCAAGAGAGGGATAGAGAACAGCAGCCATGATGGAACTCACCGCTCGCTCAGGCTTTGAATACTACTATTACTATCCCTCCCTCGCGGCAGCAGTGATATTCATCATCTGTTTTCTGCTCACCACACTCTTGCACACATTCCAGCTCATTCGGACCAAAACATGGTTCTTCATCCCATTTCTTATTGGGGGATACTGTAAGTTGAGACTATCATGCTTAGGATTCTCTACATGTTTCTCATTCCCTGTAGTTGAATGGATAGGCTACTGCGCCCGCGCCGTATCATCGAATCAATCCCCTAACTGGACTCTGGGTCCATTCCTCGTCCAATCTCTACTACCCCTCGTTGCACCGGCTCTATTTGCTGCCAGTATCTACATGGAGCTGGGGAGGTTGATTGTTGTGCTGCATGCTGAGAAGCATAGCCTCATCCGGGTGAAGTGGCTAACCAAAATCTTCGTCACTGGTGACGTATTGTCATTCCTTCTTCAAGCTGGAGGTAAGGACAATTGCACCCACAAACAGTGCTGTCAACACCTACTCATCACTTGTCAATAGGAGCCGGTCTTATGGGTAGTCACTCTCAAAGTGGTGCCACGAACGGTTCACATATCATTGTTGTCGGTCTCGTCGTTCAGATCCTTTTCTTCGGTTTCTTTATCATATCGACGGCCATTTTCCACCATCGCATGGAGCAAAGTCCGACATCATATTCTTTCAATATAAATTGGAGGAAGCTTATTTGGGTGCTGTACTCGGCCAGTGTGCTCATTCTTGTGCGGTCCATATATCGTCTTATCGAGTATATTCAGGGGTTCGGAGGATATTTGCTTTCCCACGAAGCATACCTCTATGTTTTTGATGCGCTCCTCATGTTTGCAGTCATGCTGCTATTTCATGTTGTCCACCCGAGCGAGCTCAATGCTTGGTTGAAGTCAGGCGGCCTGGTCAGCAAAGGATTTCGCTTTGAAAGGTTACAGGGTGGAATGAGTGACCTCACGGATATATGATGGGTTGGAAGTTTCTAAAGCAGTATTTATTCTATTGAAAGAGAACACAATATCCGGCAGTCACTGGGCATCAAGTGACACCAACTGTACATAATAGTCAAACCAAGCAAACCCACTTTCAATCAGCTGACTCGAACAACTCGAAAGCACTTCCTGCCGGGTTAATTCTCTTCACCCTTGCAACAAGCACCCCTCCTGCTTGAACATACCAGACTGTCCTTGCTGGCTGAGTACCCTGTCCTCGAATCCTGTTTCTGTTTTTGGGAACCTTTTGCTAATTAATCGTGCGTTCTGATCTAGTGCCTTGATGACATCCCGAATGTCGTTATCTGTGGTTTGTGGGTTGATGGTACATATTCGAAGGCACACTGCCCCGTGAATGCATGTGGTAAACACAACTCCAATGTTCTGAGCAGCCAGTTCCTTCGATACCAGACCGTTGATCCTATCGACATCGTCTGCAATCATACCCTTTGGATTAAACCGAAAGTCAAGGACTGCCAGGGTATTGGGTGAGACAATTTCCCAGTCCGCTAATTCCCTCAATTCACTCTCAGCAAGGCCAGCAAGCTCGAATCCGCGCGAGATCATCCGATCAACCGTGTCCGTTCCGAGAACCTGCAGAGAAAACCAGAGCCTCATGTGGCGAGCAGGCCGGAACAATTCTATCCCATAATTAAAAGGGTTTTTAGTTTCATCCTCTTCGAGGTCGCGCAAAAAGTGCGCCCCCACCGCGAAGCTCTTGGTTGGGTGGGATCTCTCCCTGGACATGACAACACTACATCCGAGGGTTTGGAACAGCCATTTGTGTGGGTCCCAGGCGATGCTGTCAGCGCGACCCATTCCTTGCAGGAGTGCCCTATGGGATTCACAGAACGCAACTGAGCCTCCGTAGGCGGCATTGACGTGGATCCACATCTTGTACTCCTTTGCTATGTCGGCGATTGTATCCAAAGGATCGATACTTCCGGTATTGGTGTGGTCCCACAGGTTGCGACGACCACATAGGGCTTCAGGCCATCTTTGATATCTTGAACTATGGCACTGCGAAGATGATCCGGATCCATCTGAAACTTCGCATTGCAAGGCACAGTCCGTATCTGACGCTCAAGAAGTCCGGTAACACGAAGTGTCTTTGCAACACAAAAGTGGGTCTCCTCTGACAAATATGCCACGGCTTTGGTGCGCATGTCCTCTTCCACGAGCTGGTCCCGAGCGACGGTCAATGCGGTTAGACAGGCAATGGAAGCGCCAGAGACAAACTGCCCTCCAGCTGAGAGAGGCATACCGAACCTCTCGGCCACCCAGCGTATGATGGAGTCTTCAATGGCACTAATACCGGCTCCCGACTCGAAACTCCCTGCGTAGTTGTTGAATGCGGTAGTAAGAGCATCGCCGAGCTATGATAGTGGCGAGGCTGGTGATGGCACAAACGAGAAAAACCTCGGGTTGCCAGTACTGAATCGAAAAGACAGGATTTCCTCGGTGTCTCTAACGACATTTTCCAATGACCTCCCTTTTTCTGGCGGGGAAGACTCTGACAGGTCGGCCACCTGCTTTCTTGTTGGGCGCTTGATCAGGTCCCCTTGCTCACAGAAAAGTTTGTGCTCTTCGACAATACCTGGGAGCTCTCGGAATACATCCCACACAATCTTTTCCATAACGAGGTGGCAATGAGAATATGCGTTATACAACCACGATTTAATAGTCGCTGTGGTGTGTGAGGTAAGAAGTCGAACAGTTGCAGCGAACGCAATTCTCAAAATCAGCGGGAGACAGGCATTCCTCCGTCACATTTATAGTGCAATGTATTTTCAAGGGTACATCATTCATCAAATTGAAAAACTGGCGCCAATAACTGCACCTAGAAATCAATTCGAATCCACCGGTACGTCACAGCCACAGCCTGCTCAACTCTGGACAACGGGGAGTTGCCAGGCTTTTACAAGGTCACTGCATCCCTCGCACTGGGCTTGCCACACTAACCTAATTTGCCTGTGGCTGTTGGTTCCAGCATATGGAATGATGGTGGTTAAGGTTCAGCGGCGCAGCTTTCTTGATTCAGATACCAAGATCCGGTCTACTAATAACGTCATGATTGGGATCAAGCTTGATCCAGCTACCGGTGTGGGATGTCAGGAATCAGGAAACTACTTTGAATTTCAAACGCTGGTTGCAAACCAGACTCCTGTCGACCGGGGCTTGAGCCGCCCTCATGCTTGAATAGTACTAAATCCGCTCTCCATTCCTCGGGCATCAACAACTTTGCCATTTTGTCTATTCCCTGGGCAAGCTCTATATCTCCAGTACTCGGAGCAACTGCCTGAGTCTTACAAGCTGACTTGAAGTCTCCTCATGATCCGCGGCTGTTCTACAGCTTATCTGGATTGGCTGGTTTCTGGGTCTTCTGGTGTGTTCTGGTGGAAGTATGCACCCTGGAGGTTTCCTCACATGGGGATGCTAATTTGAAATTCTTGGTCCTTATTGGGGAGCTCTCGTGACAGCGGCGTTGCGTGTTGCTTTGGTTCGATAAAATTCATGCCATAATGGTTCCATCGGTTGACCCGCACCCGTCAGGATATATATATCGTAACCCACCAGATCCAACGGTAAGTACTTAACAGCGTGCAATACTAATTGACGAAACCAAGAGAGCGGGAAGGTTATTATTGACGCAGTGGCATCAATCAATCTAATAATGAAGCGCTACTTAAGGAATTAAAGATAAATTCACATCGTGCGACAAGGTCAAGTTGAGCAATTTGATGGAGTTGGAAGCGTATAGGTCTAGGACTATATAACAAAATTGGGAAACAATCCTTCATTAAGAGCTGATAGCTCAATGGCATCATTGGTCTAGTGGTAGAATTCATCGTTGCCATCGATGAGGCCCGTGTTCGATTCACGGATGATGCACAGCAATTTCTTTTTGTTTTTCTGGACTGCTTCGGCTGGGCAACACGGGCGGAATCATCATACGCACTTTACCCTGCGCCTTCCTTTTCTTTTTGTTCACAGGAATCTAAACTTGGAGATCCTAACGACATGCGAGGTATCCAGAACACGCTTCGGATCGCACTGCTTTATATTCGCAACTGTGTACGGAGTTGTCGAAGCCTGGCACCATATCTGACCTGACCGACCGCACCTACTCGACCTGGCCTGACCTGGGTTTGCTGGGCCCGACCGCAGGACAGGACGCAGCTCACCAGGCCTACGCTAAATTCTCCTTGAGCTCAGGTCCATCCAACCAGGTCCTGGCTCCACCCTGACCTGACCTGACCTGACTCGATGACCCGTGCGTCTGGGTTGAACCGGTTGACCATCAAGGGTCAAGTGACCCGTTATCTGGTTCACGTGATGCCAAGCGCACTGCTGAGCAGAACGAGTCAAGCGACCCACACAAAGTTACTGTACTTACATTGTGTATTACGCTGTTTTGGTAACATAGTAACATATTACTCTACCTCCTAATCATCGAATCCTGAGACAAATATACAGAGTGTGCAGTACAAGCCCTCTGTAAGACTTTGAAATAGCTGATCTGACTCGTAATATATTACGCTGTATGGTAATCCCAGGAGTTGCACCCTCAGCAGTTTCGAGTCATTGGAGCTTAAAAACGTTTCTAGCCGACCTGTCTGCAACCGTGTTGAACCCCTGGGCCCGGGCCGTGTCAGTTCTGCTAGATGACCCGCAATCAGATTCTCAGCGAGCTTTTACGTATATTACCCGTCTGATTGGGGATATGGCGACGGTATATCTTCTCCAATAAATTCGCAGCTCCCTAATACGGAATACGATAGAAGAAGCGACTGGTATCATTACAGTCACTGGATCTATTTCACGGAGTAATTCTACCACATTGTACCGGGACGGGCCGTCAACAGGGGATTAACTGTTACCGAGTCATTGTTCTCCTGCATAGCATGCAGTATGCAATAGATCCTCGCATTAAGCGTTATTAGACACGGAATTGGGACTTTTATGGACCGCAATGCATACTAGTAGCCTTTGCATGTCGCCGTGGAGAGGTAATCGCCGTCAACATGCCGTGCTTATCCCCAAGGAATGTGGGACGAGAGTGTGCGTCATCACCATCATCGTCAACGATCATTGATCCTATCGATCATGATGGTACAGCATTGGATATAATCCGGAACTGCAGATCACCAGGTCAAAGAATGGTCAGAGAAGATCAAAACCTCGTAGGAAGGCTCACGGCCATAGTAGCGCCCTTTCCGCTCCTTTTTATTCTCTCTTTTCGTCGTCAGAGGTCCTAGCCTCCTGATGTCTGGAGTCTGTCGTCGAATGAAGATCCCGAGGTAAGATTAGCTGCGTAATGGAAAAAAACAAGCCTCTGTCTTCGATTATGGTGCCTTTTGTTGTGATGAT